ACTAGTTAACCCGCTATGCTATTACGAAAGAAGACCTCTTCCGTAACTAACTAGAACCGAAAAAGCTACCTTCGCAATTCATACTCGAGGGACGCTACTCTGCCTAGAACTTCTAAGGGATTATGCCCGACTCGGGCGTAGCAGGATTCTTAACCGCTAGCTACCTATAATTCGTAGCCTTATAACAAATTTACGAAGGAATTACGTTAAATACTAAGGCGGCTAGTAGCGTTATAGTAAAATTCGGCGATAGGATACTACTAGAGTCTATAAGGACTACTAAAGTACTAACGCCGTTTAGAAGCGTTAAATTTTACGTTATTGTTGGAACGGTAGGTAGGAATCTCGTAGATAGTACGATATCCTTATAACAGGGTATTAGAGTAAGGGAACTTGTACTTATGAAGTAGGGCTTTAATAGTAAAGAATGTATAGGCTTATATTGAAGCTGAGTTGGTTGAGGAACTAATAGCTAGCTAAGGGAGAGAATTAGGCTAGTTATATAGTAGTATAACGTCGCCTATAATAGCTAATATAGGAAGCTATAAGCTAGGTTTAGTATACGTAAGTATATACGTCAACTAGCTTATAAAGCAGCTTATAAATCAGACTAGAATCTTCTTTAACTAAATAGACTTTTAGATAAGGTTAAAGAGAGTATTCCATAGGGATCTGAATGTCATATGTTTAAACTAGCAAGCAGCCATTCTTAGCTAGTTACTTTTGTAAGTCCTACTAAGTCTTAGATAAGACTAAATAGGATAAATAAGTAAAATAGAAGTATAATATACTTATACTTCTAACAGTTATTAAGACTAATACTCCCTTCCTTATATACCTAGGAGATATAGACCGATTAAAGGTCTACTTTAACAACGTTACGAATACCTTTATCTAAGGAAACAAGGTCGTACCTATTATTTGCAAATAAGGCTACCTATAGTTATTACTCGATAAGGAGAAACTACTCGCCTAAAACTACCTTACAGACGCTAAATTGCGACGGGTTTACCGTCGCTTCGGATACCTATCTATTTAACGATTATATAAAATACTCTAGAAGGCTAGCTACCTAGTTAAAATTATAGTAATTAAGCAACTATCGAAAGTCTACTATCGATACTAAATATACGTACTAGCGCTATTACGGTTTAAATTTACGTTACGAGACGATTACGAATTTAACTATAAGGTTATCGCCGACATAATATACCTTAAAGGTAATAGACCGGTCTTCTACGTCGTCGATACTGCTACGGCGTTTAACGCCGCCTAGTTCCTTAAAGATATTTCTACGAAAGCTACTTAGGAAGCCTTACGCCTCTGCTAGATAGATATATATTAAGGACCCCTAGACTAGCTAGTTACCGACGCTAGAACAAACTTCTACTTAATAGAATTCCGAAACGTAGCGAGAGGAATAGTAATTAAAATCAAGGAAATTCCTATAAAAGCCTATAATAGTATTAGGAAAGTTAAACGATACTATATACCTCTAAGGAAGGCGTACGAAATCATTAAAGTAGAAGACTTAATAATTACGCTAGAATTAGTATTTTAAATAGTAGTTAAAGTAGTTAACGATACTACTAGCCTAAACGGAATAGTATTAATACTCTTAGTATTCGGCTTATACTTACGAATTACCGACGATTCGCCGCTATCTCCCGAAGTTATAAGGTAGGCGAAAGCGATTAAGAAGGCGATAAGCGAAGTATATAAACTTTACGCAAGGCGATAGGTAGTAGAAGCTATCGCTACTTGTAATAGCCTTGATATAAGGCTAATTATTAATTTACTACTATAGTTATAAGTATAAGTATAACGCGAAAAGAAAGGCTAGACTAAACTATTTACTTTAGTAGTTATAAATAGCGAAACCTATACTATCGATATGCTACGTAGTCCGAAGACCTTCTAGTCTACTATAGTTAAACTATACTACGAAGATCCTGATTAACTACTTAATTCCATCGCCGCGCTAGAAGAAGAAGAACCCGAAGCTAAGATACCGTAGTAGGAAGTAGTACGCGACGAAATTATCGTCGCCGGCGGAGGTAGTAAACCAGACGAACCGCAAGAGGCACCGGAGCTACCGAGAAGACGCCTAGGCAGACCCCGGAAGAGACCACTACCAATCGCCTACTTTATAAAGGAATTTAATAATAACCCGGATTATTAATAAATATTCCTATCGATTAAGGAGTAAGTAGACGAAGAATTAGTAATTAAACTACGACGAGAAGGTATTATTACTATACTAAGCAAACCGTTCGAATAGTTAACTAAATAAGAGATTAATAGCCTTATCGCTAGAAGAGTATTTAAATTTACCTAGTTTAATAAGAGAAGGTACTAGAACGTATGAATCTTCCGATCTCGTATCGTTAACAAAGTCAAGGGTAAAATAACTAAACCCTATAAGAAATCGAGACTTATAATACAAGGTTACGCCGACGATAGCAAGAAGGCTATATTAACCTAATCGCTAACGATTTAGCAGGCAAGTTAATAGCTAATTCTATTAATTACCCTGTTATTCCTACGAGAAGGGAAATAACTATAGCTTCGAGATATTATACAAGCCTACGTTTAATCCTCTATAAGGCTTAATCGTACTATTCTCGCCTACCTACCGAAGCAAATTCAAGACTAGTACCTAAAAGGGACTATTATAAAGGTTATAAAGCCTCTATACGGAATCGCAGAAGCTAGAACCTACTAGTAGGCAACGTATCATAAGCATTATAGAGAGAATCTCTAGATAGTTACTTCTTCGTACGATCTATGACTATTGATCTTATCTACCGAAAATCTATACTTTAGCTATATCGGCATGCAAACCGACGATACCCTCGGTTTATTAGACAAGGCGTTCTTATAATTAGAAGACGAATAGTTAGAAAAAGCAGCTTTTATAATAAAAGCGAAGAATATCCTTATAATTAACAAACCCTTCTAATTTAACAGAGGGATAATCGCGCTATTAACTAACAATTCGATTAATTTAAGGTAAAAGGGACAAGCTAAGAAGTTACGATATATTAAGACTACTAAACCTAACCTAAAATAGCAATATATCGAATAACGCGCTAGAGGGGCGTATATCGCGTCAATTTGCTAACCCGAGGCTTATTTCGATTTATCTACTACTACCTAATACTAAGACCCTTTGCTAGAAGCGATAAAAGCACTAAATCAACGGATTCGATAGTAAATAGAATCGCCTAACTAAGGAATAACGTTTACCTTACTCGACCTTATAATAGCTAAGCTATTTGTTTTCGTTAACAAGTCGTTTGCTAATAACTATAACCTCTCCTCCTAATTAAGGTTTCTAATTATCCTAGCTAACGATACTTCTTCTAATAGTAATAATAGAGAATTTACGATTTATAATAACCTTATTTATTATAGCTTTACGAAAAGTAAATAAGTTACCTACAGCGTATTAGCGTTAGAGATCTACGGGATAGTCGCTAGCGTCGATATAGCTTACGCCTTCGCTATAACCCTAGCGATAATTACTAACTACCTTAACCTATTAACGATTTAGACAGTTATCTATACCGATTCTTATTCGCTATATAAGTATCTCGTAAAGCTAGGCACTACTAAAGAAAAGCGACTTATAATCGATATCATAGCGTTAAGATAATCGTACGAAAGACGAGAACTATAAGAAATTCGTTAGATTAACAGCGAAGACAACCCTGCTAATACCCTTACGAAGAGCAAACCAAATCAAGCCCTCGAGAGATTCGTTAATAGCAATACGATAACGATATGTATAGAAGGATAGGTAACAAGACCGTAACTACGGGAGAAAGTAAGGATAGGAGGCCGAATTAACAAGGAGACGGAACTATATAGGGATAACGTATTCCAACCGCTTCAACACCATAAAAAGAGAGTTTCCAGTGTTGCGATAGTTGGAATACGGAGTCGTGTAGCACTTCCAGCCACACGCCCGCCAGGCTGAGAGGCCCAAGCCTCCCAGACCCACGTGACAGGCCAAGGGGGAATATCCCCACCTTCTAGTCAACAACACCACTTTCAACTATCATGAACCATCGATTAGAACCAATTTACTGTTATTTGTTATTGACGAACGGAATTCCGTTTCACCCCCTGTGAAACCTACAGCACTATTTCGTATGAAAATCATCAAACAAACTAATACACCTGACGTGATATTACGGAGTTTCTTTCTTCACAGTTTAACTCTTGCGCGCCATATTTACTTATTCCTTCACTGGCAGATGTGCCGCCCTTCAAAAGCGTACACAAATTTTTTATTAATTCACTCTTAGTAGCATAAAATGTTTTTCACTGTTGACACAAAATGGGGATGAAATGATGTTGTTATCAAATATCAACATCCTGCCTGCCATAAGCCGTAGCAATCGACGAGAACCAGTGTTCTAGAACCGCACCCGTCAGCTTATCGAAACACATACAATGCATGACTCTATACCGAATCCCATCACAGGGTGCTATTCCGCACTCCCTCGAGTATGGATAGATAGTTTCAGCAATGACTCGCCGCATCAGACAAAATTTCAACTTCCGCACTTCAAAACATGCCTGTCTACGCAACTAGCGTTACGCATCCAGGCGAATACTTCCTGGCGTATCACTCTCTCCACATTCATTTAAACAAGTAAAACTAAAAGATGCGGAGAAACGTGTAATCATGTTGCGACATGCCTGTAGTCTACATGATCTAGAGATGTAAATAAACTCTGAGGTATCGTGGAGAAAAAGCAATATGCAAAAAAAAAAACAAATGCATGTGGGTCCGGACACCGCCGTGGCGGAATGACCGAATGACCGAACGGCCGACCTGATAACCGGCTCAAGTAATACTCCGGTGCAGATAAGTCCAATGCTCGCAAACGCCGAGTAATGCTCAAAAGTGTCCAATGCGGAGGAAATACAAAAAAAAGGAACAAACCGCCCCATCTTCTCCCCCTCTCCTGCTGCGCTGTGCAAAACAGCTACAACTTCTCCATGAGGTTCTTCCTCACAGTCCACATGCGCGCGCGTTTGCCGTACACATACATGGGTATCGAAAACAATAGGAAGATGAGCTGAATAACACCTAACCAGATGAAAACCATCTTGGGACCTTCGTCAGTGATCCAGTGCGTAACAAAGAGACTGAAAACGAGGCCGTGGAAGATGTTCTTGCTGAAGTTGAGCGTGACAAGCGCCTCGCCCGCATATTGACGGTAGCTGTCTACGCAGAAGGTGATGGACGTGGTGGAGCCCAGCGTGCACCCAAAGGAGATGAGACCGAAGAAAACAGTCGGCACGATCCAGTGGTCGCGTTCTTCCGCAGACCAGCCGAAGCCCATGAGGCCGATGACAGTGGTGACGAGCACAGGGGCAGCCATGACCAATCGGAATTCGGGCTCGTAGAGACCGCCATTACGGCGGGCCATGGCCTTGACGATGACGTCGCTCACTTTCCCGGCTACAGCGGTGCCGAGGATGCCGCCGACGAAAGGAGAGAAGTAAACGAGACCGGTCTGCAAGGCGTTGAAGTTGTAGGACTCGCGGTTGCGATAGATGAGTGCCACAGACTCGGACACAACGATAAGCCAGCCGACAGAAAGAGCGTAGACAGCGGAGGACCACAAGACCGCCGGGTAGGCGAACAGGACGAAGGGCCGGAGCATGACCTTGAACCAGTTGTCGTGGTTGAGACGGCCGTTCCAGATTTTGAGCTGTTCCACAAAAGAGCGAGCGGGCTGGTGGCGGAGGGTGTGGGTGTAGGCTAGGGCCTTTGGTGGAGAGGCTACGTTCGTGGGGAGAGAGTCGCTTTCGAGGGCAGGGGCCTTGGCGAAGTAGTCAGATGAGGGAGAGGTGGAACTGCCGGAGGTGCGTGAGACGGGTTGGGGGTTGGGTAAAGGAGGTTCATTCGCAATGGTTGGGGTCGGTAGGTTGGCAGCGGAAGCCTGTTTTTCAGGGTCGTGGGCTTCGTCGGCGCGTTCCGAGTTCGGGTCTGGTGCAAAGCCCACGTGGAGGTCCTTGTGAGGATGGGAATGAGGAGACTGCGGCGGAGCGGAATCGGCCTCTTCTTCGGCCTCCCCTTCAGCTTTGGGGGCCTTGGGTAGTTGGGGGACCTCATGGCGGGATGAAAAGCGGTGTCTGAAGCTCGGTCTTCTCGAAGGCTTTCTTGACTTGGGAAGAGGAGCGCGATCCCAAAATGTTTCTGGTACGAACAGAAACAGGAGAACACCGCACAAAGCGACTACAATAGCAACGATCCTGGACAAGCATCAGCTTACGATACGCAGAGACGGGAGGGAGAGGACTAGGGCTTACCAGAATACCCAACGCCAGCTAAGGCCTTGAATGATTACGGCACTGATGAGTGGAATTAGGTTCTTGCCGCCGAGGAGAAGCAGGGTGTAGATGCCTATCCGGAAGGCTCGCTCATGGAGGAAGAAAATTTCAGCAATCGTTGCTGACGGAAGACACTCGACAGGGCTGACTGCAATTCCCTGAAAAATTCTGGCTAGGATGAGAGATGTGAAGTTGGGGGACAACGCTGCCCATATGGAGCTGGCGATAAAAATGACGGCGCTGAAGAGGTATACGGGCCTCTTGCCGTACAAAATGGCAGTGGGCGAAAAGATGACAGATCCCAAGCCCATACCCATCATGTACAGACCAGTGGTCAAAGAAACTGTCTCGGTCTCGATGTGATAGTCCTCGGCGACATTGGTGAAGCCAGCAGCGAGAATAGGGGTCATACCACCACCAACCATGCAGTAGAAGCCGAGTGACAACAGAGCGCAGTCACGTCGCCAGGCAGGCCAATTCAAGGGGTCGTTGGCAGACTCCTCGGGCTGGGGGTTGAGAATGATGCCATCCTTGGTCGTCTTCTTGGATTCCGGTGGGGCCGAGTTGGCGGGGGATCTGCGGCCGGAGGGCGTTTCGGCCGGCTCCGGAAAACCAGTAGGGATGGAAGAGTGAGAAGTCCTGGCGGGCGCATTGCGCAAGCCAAGAGGCTCGTTACGATGGCTGGCCAGGAGAAGCACAGAACCTGGGGAACGTCAGCGCTGGACTTTGCAGAGACCGACGAAAGTGGGCTTACCGGGAACTTCGATAGTCTTGGAGTCGTTCAAAACTCCCATGCTCCATTTTGGGGGACCAGACTGTTCGTCTTCCGAACCGTCGCCATGCTCGGGGTTGTTCCCAAAGACACCGCCGAAGCGGCTTTTCCACGTGAGGATACCCGCCATGTCGACGTTCTGGAAAAACTGCGGTTTTGATTGCAGGCCGCCAAGACGCAACCACTGACTCCTGTTCCAGATAGTGTGAGTCTACAGTGGCTGTCAGGTGTGCGTAAAAGGACGAAAAGCTGAGAGAATGTATGCGGGCACCCGAGAATTGTAAGGGTGATGAATGGTAGGGCTGTGGTCCCAAGTTCGGTTGAGGATGGCTTCTGGCTCAGACGTGCATCAACAGATGAGATAAGGTTGCAGGAACCCACGGACTCGGGTGAATGGAGGTGCAGGAAGCCGAGTAAAGCAACAGAGGGCGCGTTCCGTGGTTGCCGTTGCTTTGAAGCAAAATGCGCGGGCTGAGATGTCAAAGAGAAAATTGACGGAGGGGCCCGAGGTTAAGTGGACTTTGATGAGATTGTATTCTATGGCGATTGTTGATGAAAATAGCGGTGGAGGGAGACTAGATCAACAACAAGGACAACAACAACAACAACAGTCGCATGCAGCAAGCCAACGGCGGGGGCGCAAAGGGGTTCAAGGGCCGTGCGGAAGCGATGGCGTCAGATGGCCAGGGCGCCGTTTGACGGTGATTAAATGATGGCTGGAGGTAGCGTCTCAAGTAGGGGCAGGCGACCTAGAGATCAAGGATGAACCTCGAGTTTTATGGCGAAGCCAAGCATAACGACAGCGGCAGATCAATAGTAAGATATGTTGTTATGGCCAGGAGTAACGACCATGGAAGGTGAGCATGGGATGAAATGAGGAGAATAAGCAAGCTGCGGTCAGGATTGACAGGCTGGCGAGTCAAGAGTCAAGGCTCTCTGCGTCGTTAGTTGGTGGAGTGTGTATTTTTTTTGGCTGCTTTGTTGCCTTGAACGCTTGTGCTTGGGATGTGTGTGCTGCTCCGCCGCGCCTCGGGCGGATACCGAAGGGGTGGTGTGTTTGGTTGGGCTTGGGTGGGAAGAGGATGATCCACTGGATAAACTCGACTGACAGACAGATAGGCAGGTGACTCGATGCTGGGCCTTGATACGGAGAAATGGATTGCTCCAAGAGTCTTGGGGTTGGAAGAGGTAAGAGAGACAAGCGGCGCAAGATGACCACATGCCACAGCACGTTGCATATGTGACCCCGGCTCCAGATCCAGGACCCCTAAAAGCGAGGCTAAGCCCCATGGTCGGGTGCTCAGCTCGGTGCACCATACACGATTGAGGACGGGGGTTGGGGTCTGAATCTGCAGCGAAAATCACCTCTCGTTTTTTCTCCACCCAATTTTCGACGAATTGGTGCTTTTGTGTGGACCGTGGCGAACAGAAACGGTGACGCCAAGTTTGCGTATATGCTTTACTAGGTAGGTAGGTAAATACACTTACTGGGTGCACCTTCCCCTCTTCAATGGCGCACATGCCATGGTGTCACGGTGCTGAATGTTGCGCGTCAGTGTTGTTGATTTTTTTTTTCTTCTTTCGGTATGTATATTTTCTGATGTAATCTTTAAGCGGACCAAAATGTCCAGCACGCACACACACACACACCAGACTTGGCATGGAGGGCTGGTTGAGTGGATGTTTGTTCTTTTATTGGGCTGTCGCAGGTGGTCGAAGAAAAGGAGTGAGGCAATCTACCTGGCGGGGGAGGAATCAGTGCCTGGGCGCCAAGATACAGACCGCTTGCCGCAGTTACCGTGGGTGTCCCTCCTTTCCCCCAAAAATGTGTGCAACTCTACTATAGCAAGGAAAGTGAATATACCAGTAGGCAACCTACCACCTACCTACTAATTGAAGCACACCGTCCCCTGCCTCCCTTGCAGAACATCCGATTATGTCATCTACCGCCGCAACGCCACAACGTCATTGTGCGCCCCGGGACGACCTCCGTCTCCATAAATTCAGACCGCCTTCCCCAATGACGGCCCTTTCTGATTTAAGCGTGACCCGATTGTCGCGACAGCTCCTGTCAAATCTAAGATGACACTGGGACCGCCCTTGAATACCAGGAAAGATCTCTCTGGGGAACCGAACAGCCGCCCGCTACTACCTAGCAGAAACGTCGCATTCTATTCTGGGTCCAGCATTATCTTAACCGCCGTATTGGGTATCCTCGACCCTTAACACCCTCTGTCTACTGATTACCGAGTACTGATTACTCACTGTACCTCTACTCCTCCTGAGTCACTTGCATATTCGACCTTGTTTTCTTCACACGGAACCACCTTGGCTTTGTTGTCCCGCGACTCATGTCCCGCCTCTAAATCCCGAGCATCTTGTCGCATCTCACCACCACATTCCTGCTTAGTGCATATCACGAGACATCACAAGGCCATCTTTGACGACGTCAGCCTGCCGCACCCTACATGCATATGAGCAGATAACACACCCACCACCGAGATCTCCGATGCATTTCTTAAAACACACTGCTCGCTCCGCCCTCCGGGCTTGCGATCGTCCTCTGGCCAAGGGCATCCGCTTCTCCCCCTCCAAACATTCCGTTACCGCCGCCGCCGCCGCTTCTGCTGCTTCCTTCTCCACATCGTCCACCAGGCCGGCCAAGAACCACGTCTACGCATCGTAAGTGGACCCGCTGCATGCTCTTGTACAATTGATCGGCTGCCCCGTGCCCGGCATACGACGACCGACATTCGATATCTCTCTACTTGCTAACCTTCTCTTGCTAGTGTCCGCCGCCCTGATGATTTCCACACCTACCAACTCCTCTCCGCCTCCGCCCGGACACCTCTCATAACCTTGTGGACGACGTCGTGGTGCGGGACGTGCCGAGTCGTCGCCCCGTTGATAAAGTCTCTCGTCGAATCAGGTGTCGGCGAGGCGGAAGGCGGTGTTGCATACTGCACGGTGGAATTCGACGCACCCGACGTAATGAGCGGCGGTCTGGGCATGACTTATATGATCTCCTCCATCCCAACCCTACTAAGCTTCGACAACCAGGAGGCTCAGATCCAGACCAAGGTCCACGATGCAAAGAAGCTCGCCGACCGCGCCTTCCTTGAAGAGTGGATTAGGACCGAGGCTCGGCGGCATGGACAGCGCGGAGGCGGCGGGGGCCCTAGCGGCGTGTTCGGCGGGCTATTTGGGGGCTTCAAGTGATCTGGAAGGCGGTAATTGTCACACAACACGTGAAGTCGCGTAACATGATTCGTCTGTCGCCCAATAACAGATTGAAGGGGGCCACCGGGTGTCATCAAAGCGGAAGCGCTGTCATTCGGTTTTGTCGCTGACTAAAAAAGAAGAAAAATGCAATTCAACTCGATACCCTCTTCCTCCTCCTCCTCCTCCTCACATCTCAAGGCGTGTAGAAAACCTCCTCAACAGGCTTCCACCACGAAGGCGCGTCAACGGCCTCGCTGCTCACAGCACCGGGGACAACAGACTCTTGCCAGCCGTCGGTCATGGCCCACCACTCACGGACCTTGGGGTTCTCGCGCATCTTCTCCATGTCTCCGGCGTAGTCGTAACCGACGTACTTGAACGAGGCGAAGAGGATGCGCGACTCGGGGTCGTGGAAGATGCTGTCTGTTGGAGGAGATCAGTAATCAATGTCCATGTAGGTTTATGTGTCTTTTTTTCCCCTGAAGCAAAGCGGTTACACCTACAGTCAACAATGTTGCACTCCTTGATCTGCTTGAGGACCTCGGGCCAGACATTGGCGTGGACCTCCTTGTACTTGTCGAGAAACTCAGGCTTGAGCTTCACAATCTGGGCAAAGCGACGACCGGGGTTCTTCTGCCTGTTGACGGCGGGCGCAGGTGTAGCCTCCACCTCGGTTGGGCTACCGGTGGCGGGGGGAGAAGCACGCTTGCTGGACCACATTTTGATGAAGTTGTAGTAATGTTGGGGATGTGACTGAAACCTTCGTCGTCGATTGCTGAAGAAGTGAAGTTTTTGCTCGCAAAGTGTGTTCGACGGAGGGCTGACCCAAGTATGTCCCGTGGACTCGGACGTCGGCCTGGAGAGCCTGGAGCGTCTGCTTAGAGCCGATCAGCGGGGGGGACACCCAGCCAGCGTGATGGGTGGAGAGAGGTGCTGAGGAGGCGCGCTCGGGGGAAGAATGTCGCGAGGCGGGGCGGCGAGGGGTAACAATGCGGGGATTGGGGGGGAATAGTTTGTCCAGAGACAAAAAGGCCAGAACAAGCCCAATGGTTGCAAGTGTTTTGTGATTGTAAAGAAGAAGGCAAAACACAGACAATTGCAATATCTTTTTCTCTCTCTCACACACACACACAGACACACTTGGGAAAGGCACACCTATCTTGTGAAAATCCGTTTCGGCTGTTTGTCCCCCTGGTTCAAGCCGCTTAAAGAGGGGAATCGATTGACCACAGCACCGGATATGCGGGCTCTTCAAGTACAGCTGCCGTGGCTATTCGCTATTGTTTTTTTTTTTTTTCTCCCCCACAGGTAGGTCTTTTGCCGCCGACAGTTGATCCTCGCCAATAGCAATCGCGCGATACGTCGTACGGTTGGGAAAACGGGGGGCCCGGTCAAGCTGCAGAGGGCGATGAGGGATAAGCACTTTCAATGACGAGCTGCTTGCTGCTGGGCGGGGGTTGGATTTTGGTGGACCAAAAAAAAAAAGCGGCACGTTCGGGAATCGGCGCCAGTTGTCGACGACGAGATCGGGGGAGTCGAGTAGTACTTTTTTATAATCTACGGCCTGGACGGGAGCACATATTAAAACTCCAAGTGCTTCAACCTTGGAAACAGGAGGGCAGAGCAGAGCAGAGCAGAGCAGAGCAGAGCAGAGCAGAGCAGAGCAGAGCAGGGCAGAGCTCAGCTCAGCTTCGCCTCGCCGGTGTCCGCATATACAACTACATGTGTCACGCGGTGTCCCTCAATCGTCTGAACTTGCGGTCACAGCGTCTGCTTTCACCCCCTTGCCTATTGCCGTTCTTACTTTCACGATAGCTGCAACAAGCTCTCTCCCTCTCTCTCGTAGCACCGGTTAAGGTTCACGTCTGGGCCTCTCCCTTGCATGTAAGGGAAAAAAAACATCGAAGAGGGAGAAAAAGGGGGGAGGAGACACCAGATGCGGTGTGTTTTGGTTGGATGAGGTCCGACCATGTGTCCCTGCTGACCTTTGATTCCCCATCCATCCTCAACCCCCCCCCCCCCCCCCCCCCCCCCCCTTCCCAAGTCCGATCGGGGCTCCGGTCTCGATTGTGGTTGAGACCCTGGCGATGAGAAAGGGAACCCCCACCCTCCGCCCGAAATTTCCGCTTTTAGCCTGAGAAGGGTGCTATCTCTTTTACCGTGTTTTATTTTTTTTATTTACTTCCCTCAGTATGTGTGTGAGTGTGTGTGTGTGTGTTCTAGACTTTTGTTCCTCCGTTCGTTTCTGATTTCGGTTTGCGGGGATGTGTGTTCTGTTTCTGTTCATGTGAGACTCCGCGGTGAACCCTGCCCACTCAATATCCCCACTAAAGACCGCGTGGGGTTTTCAAACATTGCCATATCTATGGATTCTGCAGAATCCAATTCCGCCGTTGGTACGGGGGTACGGTGTAGCTATAGTACCACGTCGGTAAATTTTTGGCCGTTCTGGCGGAGATTGAGCGCGAACCAACTTTATTTTCACCTGTCTACCCGTCCCCTTTGACTCAGTCATGCGGAGCGGAATGTATTACCAGCATGGGGATTTTTGACCGCGAACTTGATGTTTTCTAGTTGGTGAAGAGCGGGAGTATATATTACAAACATTCGATACGCAGGAACGAGAGACGTTTTGGCGAGGTTCGGTTGTGTCCAAGGGAGGGGAGCGAAAGAGGAAATAGCCGAGGCATGGCGGAATGGTACCCGGAGCTCGGGGCCAGAGTTGGCACCACGGATGTGCTGTTGAAACCGCTGAAGCTGTCAAAGACTGACGGCCCGGAGATGCGTGCCGCTTCGATCCTGCATGTCACTTTTTTTTCCCCTCGCCGTCTGTCAAAGTTGATAACACCCAGACCGGCATTTATGGGCGGCGCTAAGCGAATGGTTTTGCTTAGGCGCATAAGCTTTCGGCGGTCGGTTAATCAAGCGATTGTACGGTGAGGTTGACCGCATTTTGTGAACCTTTTCATTTCGTTATTCGGCATTGGGTTACCTTTTTTTTTTTTTTTTTTTTTGGTAATAATATTAATGATAATTGTGAACTGCATCAATTTTCCGCCAACTGCGGATCCACTTTAGAGTCTCGACAACGGCCATAAAGAACGATATTCAATCTCAATCGTGAAGGAACTCAGATGCTCATTGGTTTATTCAAAACAGTCAGCTTCTAACTGCAGCACCAACTGGCATTCCGCGCCCAGTCTGCCTGTCGAACTCGAAAACGCCGTTTCTATCATCTCAGGACTGCTTTACTGCTGCAATTTACCCTTGTTGTGGGCCGACGGCAACTTGAAGTGTTCAAATATGGCTAAGTGTTCGCGAAAAAGGAAACTTTAGAGATTTGTAGACGAGCTTGGCGTAAGCGAGATTTTCACGCCTGAGTGCTCGTTAGTAGTACGTGAGCCAATGACATGTTGCGAATCTACAACACTAGGTTGCATTCTCAGAAGGATCGCATCTCACCGTGGTCCTTCACATTTGATAGGCCGGCCTTGTCATGTCTTGAATTATTGAGACATGGGCAGAATAGGTTGAAAGCCCGTCGGAGGTTATAGTATTTTGATACTGTAAATGGCATCCTTTCCTAAGTTGAGCAATGTCGAAAGGTATAAAAGGGGCAGAATAGACGGTATTGGTTATGAATGCTTCAACTCCACCAAGCTATCAAGGAATTCACACAGATCTTTGCGACACATTACCTCTGAGCTTCATCATTTATCAGCTTGCAAAATGAAGGCTACCACTCTCCTCGGTTTGTTCGCCTTTGCTGGCATTGTAAGTTTCAGTCTTCATCTCGTATGTGTAGTGCAGAAACGTATATCTCTAACACCTTCCTCCGTCTTGACAGGCCCTATCCGCAGCCCTAGAGCCTATCATCACCAGAGACGTGGACGGCGACCTTCCACCCATGACTTGGACCGGCCCTACCAAGGTTGGCGGAGAGGAAGTCACGCTCCACGGGACTGTCCAAGTAGGTCAAGCCACCCTGGTTCATATTGTCTCTCTGAAAACAACCTTGAGTTCATTCTTATGCGACTTTTAAACACTTACAAACACCTCAGGAAATCTACGCCCAGCTCACGGCCATCAACCCCCAGTACAATGCCCTCGACTTCCCAGAGTACCGGAAGAAAGTCGAGGAGGTCGCAGTGCTACAAGGTCTTACTCCTGAAGAGTTTGTCAACGGCAATTCAACATCGTCTTCATCTCTCCAAAAGAGAGACTGGGTACGTCTTCTTAGATAGCCCCTCTGTTCGATCAAGTACAATCACCTGACCTTTGATCTAACCCTTTCGTTCCTAGATGAACTGCGACGTCGCCGGAGACATGGTCCTTTACTCCGGGTTTTCCTGTAAGGAAGGTAAAGACTACCTCGTCAGGCTCGGCAATGGCCTTTGCGGTGCGCCCCCTGGCCCCGGAGGGTGTCACAGTTCTATGAACAGTCATCAGGGGCACGTGATATCTCACGTGCTGGCCGTACCCGTATAAGAGACGCCCTCGACAGCATCATCGTCAGTAGACCAACTCAATAGAAGACCAACTGCTTATACCTACGTTTATCAATTCATCGTTGTTTATTGCCTTGTGACCGTTTGTTTGACTTCTGCACTATTCTATTTACATCTCTATTCTTATCACGGTTCCGACCTCTGCCTGTTGTAGCCACGTGCTAGCAGGAAGAACTGTGACAAGTGGTAGCACAACTTAATCTCGATCAATTTTTTCTCTCGATTCAACCGCGATACATCGCGGAGAATCTCGAGGGAAACACCCTACGAGCCTACTCGCTCAAAATCACAACCCATACCTCGACGTAGCCAACGTAGACTTACACGATGAGTTACGCAAATAACCCGAGGTTAAACAACGGTCATCGCGAGACAGCGAGACGTCTCCTACGATATTGGGAGACATATCCCGATGATCCCAAAACAACAAGAATTTCAGACTCCTTCCGAGCATATACGAGTGTTATAGCGTTCATCGCGTGGAATACGAATATCGGCCGAATCGACGTCAGATACGACGATAGAACCTGGACTCAGGCAACGCAACTCGAAGACAGCTGGAGGATAGAGAATTACGACTATAACGAGGCGGTAAATAGCATCGCCAGGGCGATTATCTACGCCCGAGAACTCCAGGACCTTCAAGGACAATTCGGAGAACCAAGCTCGGAAGAGTCAGACATCACGAAAAGCAAGCAACCCGTGAGAGACAACGAAACCACCGAACCAGCGCCAATAACGCCGCCAACACAGCTTCAACAGCAAGAGCAACAACCTCCTGGGGCACCACTCAAGCACGGCCAATACGAGGGGAATCACGAGGACCCCCAAAAGCCACAGTCAGCGGTATCGGATACAACCGCAAGCCAACCTCAACAAACTTTTCAGCAAGCGGGACCGTCAAATCAACAACAATATACGAAACCGCTGCAAGCCGAGGTTATTCCTCCAAAAACGGAGGCACGAGTCATGGGGACCCCATCGGAGGAAACGCAATTTATACCGAGCCAGGGATGGAATCCTCAACAGCAATATATGCCCCCCGGCACAGGAGGATACCTTCCCCCTCAGGGGCAGATGCCATACCCAATGGCAACGGGATTTCCATCCTTCCAGACTCCACCGCCCCCTCAAATGCAGCAGCAGTTCGAGGCAATGCTAATAAACGCGTTCGGAAGGCTGTTGGGCACGGCAACGCCGGGATCGGAACTACCGAACCCAGGGAGGAGATTCGCAGCCATAACGAACATTCAGCAACGATACGGAGTATTCTGGCCCGACGCCGACAGCAAGTACGGCAGGGAGCCCATATTCCACGACCGAGAGACACCATGCTACCGAGACGTAGACCTATGGCTCTCGGCGATCGAAGCCAAGATCGTTGATCCTCACGCTCGAGACGAGGTCTTCAGAGAATGGCAGAGCCTACTTAGAGGCAAAGCACTCAGCTGGTGGGAATATCACCTCGGGCCCGTGGAAAGGAACCAGTACAAGGCCCAGGGATGGTTCGGCCTGCAGAAGGGACTGAGAGCCCGCTTCGGGCCAACCCAGATAGAAGCAATCCAATGGGTAGTATCCAACAAGTTCACCGTAGAAAAGATCGGTAGCAACAAGGATATCCGATTATTCGCCCAAGACTGCTTCAAATATGGCAGAGCATGGTTGGGATCGTCAACGCCCCAGCAGCAACTACTCACGATATTCTACAACGCTCTGGACCCATCTCTGCAACGATTTCTCCACGAACCAACGCTTAATGATACGGTTGAGAGCTATCTCAGACTCGCCGAGGAAAAACGCGGAGTTATTCGAAGATACCTGCAGACCCCAATCGAGGTTCTTCACACAACCGCCCCAGACAGTGAGGATAACGCTCTATGGGGAGAACCACGCCCAGCCTGGAACAACAGGAACCAAGAGAAACGCGATTTTCCCCAGCTACAACGTGACCAGCCCCAATGGCAACAAAAGAAAACGCAACCTAACTGGAAACAACAAAACTGGAAAGACCGCAAACCCTGGAACGCACAGCAGAAGTTCCCGAACTCAAGGCGATTCGCCCGGTATAACCGTCCGGGTCAACCGCCTAACGACGCTAAGTTCGTGTGGGAAGACGAATCGGACGAGGACATGATCAATCACCTCGTCGATCACGGGTATATCCTCGAAGACGTCGTAGAAGTTCCAGCGGCACAACCACAAGAGGAAGAGGTAGCCCATACAGGATGGACTAGTGACGTTGCCTTCCGCGCCCACGAGGCGACCACTCCCAAGGCAGAGATCCCTCCCCCATCTCCTCAAATACAAGAGGAAGTAACGGTAGTCACGACGGCGTGTCAAACAGAGCCCCAGACGGAGCTGCCTAGCGACTTCGCTGGAGTAGCCGTGAAAAACCACGAAATCAGAGAGTTGCCGAAGTTAGCACCAGGCCAAATCATCGACGCTCAGACGAAACCGAATAAGCGTGGCATGCCCTCGAAAAGAACACACCTTCGACTCCACGTCAAAGCCGACGACAATAGCGAACCAGACGAGGTGTGTATCGACACAGGAGCCTCAACTATACTAGTTGAAAAGTCCTGGGTCACACGATTCGCCCGCAAATCGTCTTTTCGAGCGATCGAACCAAGGAAAATGAACGCCGTAGATTCCACCTTCCAGGTCACAGAAGAAGTGACATTTGACTTCTACGTCCCTGGTAAAATAGGCGAGACAGACGTGAACGCACACGTTATTGTCACAGCAGGGGTTGTCAACATGCTCGGAGCAAACCTATTGCTCGGCACCCCCTTCTGTGAGGAACACGGTCTCGTCGTAGACTTCAACAAGTCTGTTGTTAAGTTTCGATCCGTATTTAATATGGAGGCGCCCGTTGAGTATCGACGGCAGACGCCACCCGCCAGGCGCGTGGACAACGCCTACGCAGTAACAATTCCACGGAAGAGTCAAGTCTTCGTCCCGGGACGATACAGCCCTCTGCCAAGGGATAGTAACGACGGGAGCGAGACCTGGCACTTCCACCCAACACATGAGGCAGCGATCTACAGTACGGTAGACCTCGCGACCCCAGCGCTATTTCTCATCCATAACAAAGGAAATTCAGAAATGCGAATCCCCAAAGGCCGCCGTATCGGTCACCTCACGAAACAACCACCAGGGGACACGAGTATCCTGCTCAGCGACCTCGAAGCTGAAAATGAGCAGGACAACGCAATATTCAACATAACTAACGAGGAAAGCACCCCAGAAGGAAGTACCAAACCATGGATAGACGAGATACCAGACTACGGAATCTCTAAACCAGACGACGTGCCAATGATTCTCAGCAAGCACGGCGTCGAGATACGTGACTTCGACAAGGAATTCGCGCAACAACTGCGGAAAATCCTCGACAGGTACGATATTTATCACAACAAGGGTATCATACCACTCCCCGACGAGGAACGTATGCGAATCGACCTCGTCGACGGATGGCAGAACCAAAAAACCAACATAAAGGTTTATCCACTCGGTCTCGAAGACCTCGCGGTTTTAGACGAAACCTACGGCCAACTTCACACCGAGGGAAAGATGGATTGGGCTGACGGCAAGCCAATCCCGATTGCCTGTCCTCTTTTCATCGTATGGCGACAAACGGAGACCGCGAGAAAACCCAGAGTGGTCGCGGACTTACGCCCACTCAACCGTCTAGCGGTCCCAGACGTTTACCCCTTGCCAGACCAAGACGACATCATGAACGCGATTCGTGGCAAGAAAAGAATTACCCTCTTCGACGCCACCGGGTTCTTTCACCAGTTGCCTATCCACTCGAAGCACCGTAACAGGATGGCAGTGATAAGTCCCCGTGGTATCGAGATCTCGAACGTAGTGCTTATGGGATTCAAGAACTCGCCGGCTTACGCCCAACGATTCATGGATCGCATCTTCCAGGACCATAAACACTTCGTTCGCGCGTACATCGACGATATCGTGATCTTCAGCGATACCGACGAAAACCACCTTAAGCATGTTGAAACAGTCCTCAACATAATCAACAACAACAGGCTCAACATAGCAGCGAAAAAGTCATTCGCTGGTTTTCCTTCCGTGAAACTTCTCGGCCATATCGTGGACGGACAAGGGATACGCAGAACGGACGATCGAATCGCTGCATTTAAGAATCTCAGGTTCCCAAAAAACCTTAGCGATCTCGAGAAATACCTCGGAATGGCAGGATGGCTTCGAAAAGACATTCCATGGTACGACGTGATCGCAGCCCCCCTTAACGAAAGGAAAACCGAGCTAGCCGCGATCCTACGCAAGGAGGACCAGTTGCCAACAGGCCTCAATAGGGCTGTAAGAACTAAACGGTTCCAACGTACGACTTTCGAGCCAACGCTAGAAGAAACGGAAGCATGGGAAACGTTACAAAAGAATCTCTGCGACCAGGTCGTGAGATACCACCATAACCCAGAAAAACCCTTATTCTTTAAGATCGACGCTTGCAAGGGAGGATTCGGGCTTATGGTGTTCCAGATGGATATCACCTGGGACGGCGTAGGAATTCCCGGAAAAGACATCCCACAAAAGCATATCCAACCAGTGCTGTTTCTCTCAAAAGTAACATCCCCAACAGAGAAGCGATACTTCGCGACCGAGGCGGAGGTAGCAGCAGTGGTGTGGGCAGTGAGGAAACTTAGGAAACTGGTGCAATCAAATAGGAACCCAGTACAGATCCTTACGGACCACGCAGCCACAAAGGGAATTCTCACCCACACGTCGTTGAGAACGATGGACCTTAATAAGGCAAACCTTCGGTTGGCCAGCGCCGCCAACTACCTCTCTCAATTCAACCTCAACGTCACCCACGTCCCAGGGAAACTCAACGTTGTACCCGACGCTCTCTCGCGTCTACCGTTGCTGGTGGCAACAGGTAGAGCAGACCCGTTCGAAGAAAGCGACGTACTCGCAGATATCCACGACGATGAGAATATCGCAGCTTTCAACTCAGAGGACGACGAACGGTTGGGAGAACCAGGAGGGTTCACGATTGGGATAGGCGAAGACTTCGCCAAAACCATCGTTGAAAATTACGAAGCCGACCCAAAGTACGGAAAACTGATCCAGCAACTCAAGAGACAACAAGAGAGTGGCGATGAGTGGTGGTCACCTAAGGAGGCAGACGACGAGGAAAATCGCGCTCGGAACGAGAGGCGCACGCCGATTCGTCGTCGAATCTCCCCGTGGCAACTATCAGAGACAGGCTTCCTATTCCACCGTGCGTATGATGGGACAAAAAGGCTGTGTATCCCACGCAAAGCCGTCGTAGAAGTTCTCAGCCTTGCCCACGATCAAAAGCACCATTTCGGCGTAGACCGCATGCTAGCAGAGCTAGCCAGCTTCCAGATACGAAACAAGCGATCGGTAGTAAAGCGATATATCGCCTACTGCCCGAGATGTAAGGAAAACCAAGTCGACCGGCAGAGACCGCCAGGCAGCCTGCAGCCGATTCCAGTCGTGGGAATCCCCTTCGATACCGTAACAATCGACTTCGTTACCGATTTACCAAAAGTAAAAGCACGAGGGAGTCCGTGGGCATTACCCGGATTCGAGTGGTTTGATACGCTCGCGCCCACAACGGACAAATTCTCGAAGAAGGTCATACTTCTACCAGGCCATACCACGTACGGGGCCAAGGAGTGGGCAATAGTCCTTATTAGGGCCTTCCAACTGGCTGACTGGGGACTTCCACGTCGTATCATCAGCGACAGAGACCCCAAGTTCATCTCAGCCGTCTGGACCGCGATATTCCGCACTCTCGGAGTGAAACTGCTCTTGTCGACAGCCTACCACCCACAGACTGACGGCCAGAGCGAGAGAACAAACCAAACAGCGGAAATTGCAATCCGATTCCAACTTTCAGAGTACCCGGAAACCCCATGGCCAGAGGTTCTCCCAGCGCTGCAACACAACCTCAACAACTCGTACACCGCAACGATCGGGAGATCTCCCAATGAGGTCGTATACGGATTCAAGCCTCGAAGCACTCTCGACGTCATCGCGGAAAAAGACGCTCCAACCGAGTCTATCGACGTCATAAGAAAGATATACCAGGACGAGGCAGCGGCTTTGATCGATATAGCGAACTCGCTGAGAAAGGAACGCTATGACAAAAAGCACTCAGACGTCAGATTCTCCGTTGGCGACGAGGTTTGGATAAGACTAGGGAAGGGCTTCCACTTACCTGGCCAACGCCATAACAAGTGGACGTCACGACGTATGGGCCCCTTTCGAATCGTTCGAATTGTGAGCCCAACAGCTTACGAAGTCGACCTCCCGGCCCATTGGCGAATTTTTCCAATCCTATCGGTAGCGCAGCTATACAAGCCAGCCCAGGGAGACGACCCATTCAACCGTGAACAACAGCCGCCCCAACCTATCGAGGTTGACGGCAGCGAAGAATGGGAAATCGACCACATTGTGAGCCGCAGAATCAACCGGAGAAAACGCGAGCCAAGGATCGAATATCTCGTTCGCTGGAAGGGATTTACCGCAAGGTTCGACACCTGGGAGCTTCGCGAATCGCTTGAGACCAACGCAGCAGAGCTCGTCAACGAGTATGAGGCGAGATATCCCGTCGACGCGGAGGTTACACCAACCTACCGCTCCAAGCGACGCCAACAACGAAACAACTAGAACAATGTCGCTATTCTGCGACAAAACAGCTGATTCCTAATAAAGCGATATCAGCGAGATTATTCCCTTTGTTAACGTAATGGAATTTCGCACAAAACACTCGTTCCTTCCCTTCGTAGGCACTTGCCTCATAGGCAGCGAAAAACTCTGCCTTTTCACTTTCACCACCACCACCACAAAAAGTGAACTTTTCCTACTATATAAATCCCACTTCCACCCACACAACAGAAAATCAACAAATCTCCCACTTCATAACACATCACAAACCCCTTCTATTCTCATCAAGACTTTCAACTTACCACTACTACACGTCCCAATTGCGAGATTCGACATCAAGAACGCGAAGATGTCTTCCCAACGCACTCGCCAAGACACCGACGAGATCGCCGAAACCCCCACCGGCTCCGTCGCAGCCCCGGAAGCGACGTAGGCAACAACGAGACCCAGACCGACGACGAGAACCTCGGAGACAACTTCGGCCTGGCCGACGAGGAACTTCACGTCGTCAGCGAGAGCGCCGCCGAGGAAATCACCGTGGCCGCCACTGAACACACTGGTGACCAGCAGGACACCACCATGTTCGACGCCGACGAGGCTAACAAGGCCCACGAAGCCCACGCCGAACCTACCGAGACGGTCGAGGAAGACCAGCCTAAGAGGACCAGCAAGGGCAAGGCCAAGACCAGGGCCAAGAAGAGCAACCCCGAGCCAGTTGACGAATCCAGCGAGGAGGAGGAGTCCGACGCCTCAGCCGTCGAGGCCACTCCCGCCCCCAAGGCTAAGAAGGCCAAGGCTGGCAAGAAGTCCGGCACCCTAAAGAAGAAGAAGCGTGCCGCTACCAAGGTCGATAGCACCCAGGTCCGAGACGCTAAAAAGCGCGCCCAGGACGCGTTCGCCTTCTACCCGGACGATATGTTGCTCGAGGAGATCGAGGCTTGTCTTGACAACTTCACCGGCCCAGCCACCCCCTCCTCCAACCTGTTCATTCGTCGCGTTCAGGACGCTTGCAAACGCGCCTACACCGCGTACAACAACAACGCCTCGTACACGGAACACTTGCCGTCCCGCGCCTAGGTTCTCGCAACCGTCTTTTATACTGGCGACGGTCAGGTCAACGGTACCATCGCGGGCCACCTCATTGCTGTTCACCGAGCCGACCTCCTCTCAGTTCCCCCGCTCGTGAATATCAGCTACATGACCGCCACCGATACAACCGCTCGCAAGCAACTCAAGAATATGGAAAAGGCGCTTCAGGCTTTCGAAGGTGACGTTCACGGAATGAACGAGACGGTCACCAAGAATGTGAAGAAAATCGTTGACGGCGTCAACGAGGAGATCATCCCTCGCCTCAACGAACTCGACGAGAAAGCCCAGTCCACCGTCGACGTCGCGAGCGTCAACGATCGCCTCAAAGCACTCGAAGCGACTGCTGCCAGCAAGGAAATGATCGCCGCAGAGGTCAACCGCGTCATCGCTACCAAGGATGACGAAATTGCAGCCCTCCGCGGTAAGATCGTGGAACTGCGCGAAGCTGTTGCCAAGTTGCAGAAGGGCGACAAGCGCGTCGCCACCGAGAACATCGCAGGCCCGGCTAAGCAGAGCCGCTTTAGTAACATGCTGGACCGCGATTAGGATAGGATTTCATCGTCAGGGTCGTGATTCTTCGCGATAGATGGGTAATGGAAGGGACAAATTCATGTAATTAGTTTTCATTTTACTGTCGATCGGGACGATCGTCTTTTTTTGGGAGGGGCACCTGTCACAGTTCTATGAACAGTCATCAGGGGCACGTGATATCTCACGTGCTGGCCGTACCCGTATAAGAGACGCCCTCGACAGCATCATCGTCAGTAGACCAACTCAATAGAAGACCAACTGCTTATACCTACGTTTATCAATTCATCGTTGTTTATTGCCTTGTGACCGTTTGTTTGACTTCTGCACTATTCTATTTACATCTCTATTCTTATCACGGTTCCGACCTCTGCCTGTTGTAGCCACGTGCTAGCAGGAAGAACTGTGACAGAGGGTGTGCTCGCGTCAGCTGCTCCAACAAGTGCGGCATTTCCTTTTGCAACGATGTAAGTGGCCAGCAGGCTCGTTTTGGTATACACCGGTTCTTGGAGAAGTTATGTCTGACATCTTGTGTGTAGAATCGCTTTGAGCACAGGGTCCCTTGCATCAACTTCGCCGGCGACTACGAGGAGATTGCGCGACAGTGTCAGAGGACCGGCGGTGGTATCATCGCCCTTAAAGGACAAGTGTTTAGAACGAACAATGGTCCTCACTGGAACACGATCGTCAAGCGTCACGAGTGTTGAGGTTGTTTTGTGGACCATGAGAAGGATTGAACCTTATGCGGAGGTTGACACAAATCGAAATACATGATTCCGTTTCGACTTTTCTCTTCATTTTGATCTGGAAGTACACGCACTATTCAAACAGGGAGAAGTTAGGGAAGGTGAAGATTGTGGGCTTGTTTTGGTACTGTCGTTATCGATCGTTTGTCTTTGAGTAGCTCAGTATGGACTAAATGTTGGCACTTAGAAAATATATCAACATTGTGCTTACACTGTGATTCCCGATCTATGACCACCGTGCAATGCTTGGATCTTGTTGTAATTGTCAACTTATACGAACAAGAGAACTGTAGGTTTCACAGGGGGTGAAACGGAATTCCGTTCGTCAATAACAAATAACAGTAAATTGGTTCTAATCGATGGTTCATGATAGTTGAAAGTGGTGTTGTTAACTAGAAGGTGGGGATATTCCCCCTTGGCCTGTCACGTGGGTCTGGGAGGCTTGGGCCTCTCAGCCTGGCGGGCGTGTGGCTGGAAGTGCTACACGACTCCGTATTCCAACTATCGCAACACTGGAAACTCTCTTTTTATGGTGTTGAAGCGGTTGGAATACGTTATCCCTATATAGTTCCGTCTCCTCGTTAATTCGGCCTCCTATCCTTACTTTCTCCCGTAGTTACGGTCTTGTTACCTATCCTTCTATACGTATCGTTATCGTATTGCTATTAACGAATCTCTCGAGGGCTTGATTTGGTTTGCTCTTCGTAAGGGTATTAGCAGGGTTGTCTTCGCTGTTAATCTAACGAATTTCTTATAGTTCTCGTCTTTCGTACGATTATCTTAACGCTATGATATCGATTATAAGTCGCTTTTCTTTAGTAGTACCTAGCTTTACGAGATACTCGTATAGCGAATAAGAATCGGTATAGATAACTATCTAAATCGTTAGTAGGTTAAGGTAGTTAGTAATTATCGCTAGGGTTATAGCGAGGGCGTAGGCTATATCGACGCTAGCGACTATCCCGTAGATCTCTAATACTAATACGCTGTAGGTAACTTGTTTACTCTTCGTAAAGCTATAATAAACGAGGTTACCGTAAATCGTAAATTCTCCGTTATTACTATTAGAGGAAGTATCGTTAGCTAGGATAATTAGAAACCCTAATTAGGAGGAGAGGTCGTAGTTATTAGCGAACGACTTGTTAACGAAAACGAATAGCTTAGCTATTATAAGGTCGAGTAGGATAAACGTTATTCCTCGGTTAAGCGATTCTATTTGCTATCAAATCCGTTAATTTAGTACTTTTATCGCTTCTAGCGAGGGGTCTTAGTGTTAGGCAGTAGTAGATAAATCGAAACAGGCCTCGGGTTAGCAAATTAACGCGATGTACGCCCCTCTGGCGCGTTGTTCGACATATTGCTATTTTAGGTTAGGTTTAGTAGTCTTAATATATCGTAACTTCTTAGCTTGTCCCTTTTACCTTAAATTAATCGAATTGTTAGTTAATAGCGCGATTATCCCTCTGTTAAATTAGAAAGGTTTGTTAATTATAAGGATATTCTTTGCTTTTGCTATAAAAGCCGCTTTTTCTAACTATTCGTCTTCTAATTATAAAAACGCCTTGTCTAATAAACCGAGGGTATCGTCGGTTTGCATACCGATATAGCCAAAGTATAGATTTTCGGTAGATAAGATTAATAGGTATAGATCGTACGAAGAAGTAACTATCTAGAGATTCTCTCTATAATGCTTATAATACGTTGCCTACTAGTAGGTTCTAGCTTCTGCGATTCCGTACAGAGGCTTCACAACCTCCATAATAGTCCCTTTTGGGTACTGGTCTTGAATTTGCTTCGGTAGGTAGGCGAGAATAGTACGATTAAGCCTTATAAAGGATTAAACGTAGGCTTATATAATATCTCGAAGCTATAGTTATTTCCCTTCTCGTAGGAGTAACGGGGTAATTAATAGAATTAGCCGTTAACTTGCCTGCTAAATCGTTAGCGATTAGGTTAATATAGCCTTCTTACTATCGTCGGCGTAACCTTATATTATAAGTCTCGATTTCTCGTAAGGTTTAGTTGTTTTACCCTTAACTTCGTTAACGATACGAGATCGGAAGATTCGTACGTTCTAATACCTTCTCTTATTAAACTAGGTAAATTTAAATACTCTTCTAGCGATAAGGCTATTAATCTCTTATTTAGTTAACTATTCAAACGGTTTGCTTAGTATAGTAATAATACCTTCTCGTCGTAGTTTGATTACTAATTCTTCGTCTACTTGCTCCTTAATCGATAGGAATATTTGTTAATAATCCGGGTTATCGTTAAATTCCTTTATAAAGTAGGCGATTAGTAGTAGTCTCTTCCGGGGTCTGCCTAGGCGTCTTCTCGGTAGCTCTGGTGCCTCTTGCGGTTCGTCTGGTTTACTACCTCCGCCGGCGATAATAATCTCGTTATATACTACTTCCTACTACGGTATCTTAGCTTCGGGTTCTTCTTCTTCTAGCGCGGCGATGGAATTAGGTAGTTGATCGGGATCTTCGTAGTATAGTTTAACTATGGTAGACCGGAAGGTCTTCGGACTACGTAGCGTATCGATAGTATAGGTTTCGCCGTTTATAGCTGCTAAAGTAAACGATCCGGTCTAGCCCTTCTTTTCGCGCTATACTCGTACTTACGACCGTAGTAGTAAATTAATAATTAGCCTTATATTAAGGCTATTATAGGTAGCGATAGCTTCTACTACCTGTCGCCTTGCGTAAAGTTCGTATACTTCGCTTGTCGCCTTCTTAATCGCTTTCGCCTGCCTTATGACTTTGGGAGATAGTAGCGAATCGTCGGTAATTCGTAGGTATAAGCCGAATACTAAGAGTATTAGTACTATTCCGTTCAGGCTAGCAGTATCGTTAACTGCTTTAACTACTATTTAAAGTGCTAATTCTAGCGTAATTGTTAGGTCTTCTGCTTTAATGATTTCGTACGCCCTCCTTAGAGGTGTATAGTATTGTTTAACTTTCCTAATACTATTATAGGCTTCTATAGGAATTTCCTTGATTTTAATTACTATTCCTCTCGCCGCGTTTCGGAATTCTGTTAAGCGGAAGTTTATTCTAGCGTCGGTAACTAGCTAGTCTAGGGGTCCCTGATATACATCTATCTAGCAAAGGCGTAGGGCTTCCTAAGTAGCTTTCGTAGAAATGTCCTTAAGGAACCGGGCGGCGTTAAACGCTGTAGCGGTATCGACGACGTAGAGGACCGGTCTATTACCCTCAAGGTATATTACGTCGGCGATAACCTTATAGTTAAATTCGTAATCGTCTCGTAACGTGAATTTAAACCGTGATAGCGCTAGTACGTGTATTTAGTATCGATGGCAGACTTTCGATAGTTGCTTAATTACCGTAATTTCAACTAGGTAGCCGGCCTTCTAGAGCACCTTGTATAATCGTTGAATAGATAGGTGTCCGAAGCGATAGTAAACCCGTCGCAATTTAGCGTCTGTAAGGTAGTTCTAGGCGAGTAGTTTCTCCTTATCGAGTAATAACTATAGGTGGCCTTATTTGCGAATAATAGGTACGACCTTGTTTCCTTAGATAAGGGTATTCGTAACGTTATTAAAGTAGACCTTTAATCGGTCTATATCTCCTAGGCATATAAGGAAGGGAGTATTAGTCTTAATAACGTAAAATTTAACGCTTCTAAACGGCGTTAGCACTTTAGTAGTCCCTATAGACTTTAGTAGTATCCTATCGCCGAATTTTACTATAACGCTGCTAGCCGCCTTAGTGTTTAACGTAATTCCTTCGTAAATTTGTTATAAGGCTACGAATTATAGGTAGCTAGCGGTTGAGAATCCTGCTACGCCCGAGTCGGGCATGATCCCTTAGAAGTTCTAGGCAGAGTAGCATCCCTCGAGTATAAATTGCGAAGGTAGCTCTTTCGGTTCTAGTTAGTTACGGAAAAAGTCTTCTTTCGTAATAGCATAGCAGGTTAACTAGTCTGCTAGGATCGTAGCGATCCTATTGCCGTCAATTGCTATTATAGTAAAATAGGTAGTGACCTAGAATTGACTATCGCTGCCGGTCTCTTCCTCTTCGTTACTTTTACTAGTTTGTTCGGTTACGTAGTAGTATTACTAGGGGTTTTCGGCGGTAGGTTATAGGTCTAACCCGTCGAAACCCTCGTATTAGACGAGAAATTAGCTATATGCTAGAAGTAACGTATCCTAGGCATATTAGGTGGTTTTAAACTTCTCGTATGCTTTTCGTCTCTCTTCTATAGTGTGTTTGGTTAACTAGCAGTTAGGTTTTCTATATACGTAATACTTCTTAGGCGTTAGCAGTAATAGGGGTCTGTTACGGCTTCTTCCTCGTAATAATCGACTTCGTAATAAACGACTATATCGTAAATAACGCCCTCGACTGTTAAAAGTTCTGTCGGTCTAGTACTGCTCTAGTAGGTTAGCTACTATATTGAATTGTTATTAGTTAAGACAGGTAGCTATCTCGATCGACGAGATTAATTAGCTACGAAGTCTCTCGTACGTCTTAGCCGGTATAAATAACGCTATTACATACTCTGGAATATCTCTACAAGCGTGTAGAAGTTAGGTATAGAGGGATCGGTCGTTATGATCTTGTTATAGCAAACCAGGCTGAATCTTGCTTAATTTATTATATAGTATATCAAAATACTCCGATTTAGTCTTTCTAGGGTTATTGCGAATGATTTAGGGAAGAGTAGTTATATTCTACTACGTAACGTATGCTTATTACCTTTCCCTAGTCTCGAAGTATGATTTTAATTAGTTAATCATAGTCTCGAAGTTAGGCTATAGGTTGATTACTTTAATCGAGGCGTAGAAGTAGGTTTTAGCTATTCCTTTCAGTATTAGGGGAAGTACCTTGTTATATTAGGAGGTATAAATTCCTAGCATTCTATAATAATCTACGAATACTAGCATCTTCTTTTCAAGTACATCGTACATATCGCCGCTATATTTCATATCGTCGGGGTATAGTTTTGCGAATTCTGTTAATTACTTTCCGATACGGTCTATTAACTCGTATAGTTAGAAGTCTATTAACGAAGAGACCGTAGGATATAGCGGTCGGTACGGTAGTTGCTACTGTTGTTATTCTTATAGAGGAGGTGGCTGTAGGGTTGGTTCGACTCTTCCTCCTATGCTGTTGGCTACTATTGCCGGTCTCGTAATCTCTTCGTAGAATTCGGGGTCTTTTATCAGAGCCTTCAGGTTGCGATATCTCTTAACGCCTTGTTCGAGTTCTTAGGGTGACTAGTAGTAGAATTCTTCCTTTTTAAGGGCTAATGCTACGTTTTTCGAGATTTTCTTGCTATCTATTTCGACATAGACGCCGTTACTGATTAAATAGTCTTTAAAGAATCGTAGGATTGGGGGAGGTACGTTCTAGAAGTCTTCTTCTAACTAGTTAGCGAAATCGGGAGAAACTTCGTTCCATAGCTCGAGGCCCGTAAGATTCCTCTTCTCATAGGTCTCAAGTAGGAAACCTATATAGGAACCTAGTTGCTATGGGCTAGCGTTTGTAAGGTCGATTGCCCAGTTGCCCTATACTGCTAGATCGATCATACTTTCGATTCTCTATAGGATAGGGACTGTTGATTGGCTTTTGGCAGTGACGCCGCTCGCGGGCGATCCTTCTCGTGAATTTCGCTCTATTCTGACAGTATAAAAGGATTACTTTGTTAGGAAGTTTAGAATCTAGCGGACAGTTAGCCTTATGACGCCTACAACCACGTGCGTTTCTCCTAAGCCGCAGCCTCGGAGGCGTATACGTATAGCTGTATAGGCGGATTACCGCCGGTAGTCTCCGCTTGCCTTTCGGCATGTTCTTCTTCTGGTAGGGAGGTCTCTTGTGGCAGGCGCCTCGCGGTTAGCACCTCGTCTAGGGATTTATTAAGAAACTAGCAAGCGCCTCGTGATTAGCACCGCGCGTGGGGGATAGTTATAGTTAGGGAAGTTGTTATCCCTTGTAGGATTCGTGAATCTTCGCCCTTATAGCGTGAAGAGGTTGGAGGACCGTCGATTCGGTAGGTCTCTTCTTCTAGTAATTAAAAACGCGTGATAGAACGCTCTTGCTAGCGATAATTAGCTGCGATTAACCTTATCCCGCCTAGGGTAAGCATAGCAGTCCCTAGGTTACTCGAATAATCGGATTGCTAGTAGATTCGAGGAAAAGAAGCTTTCTTCTACTAGTTTCCGTAGATCCTAGTTACTCTCGCTTCTTCTTTCGTTAGTACGAAATCCCTACTTTTACCTAGGCTTAGGTATCTAGTTTAAGAAGTCGTCTCTTCTGGTATTGACCTTGCTAATCTGCGGTTTGTCCGTAGTAGAGTAGTAATTGTAAAATTAACTAAATTAATAGCAACTATAAGGTTTACTACTGATCAGTATAGGTTTCACAAGGGGTGAAACGGAATTCCGTTCGTTAATAACAAATAACAGTAAATTGGTTCTAATCGATGGTTTATGATAGTTGAAAGTGGTGTTGTTAACTAGAAGGTGGGGATATTCCCCCTTGGCCTGTCACGTGGGTCTGGGAGGCTTAGGCCTCTCAGCCTGGCGGGCGTGTGGCTGGAAGTGCCACACGACTCCGTATTCCAACTATCGCAACAAGAACAGCTACAAGATATCAATTAAAGCTATTGGATTGTATTGTACAGACTCTGTAACCATTGTCAGCAGAGGGCTTTATTCATTAGAGCACAGAATAGTACTTGTGATTTTACCTGTCTTTGCTAAAGTTCAAACTCACTAGAAGACTTGCAACTAAATGTGTAATTAGGCTGTAATAATCGCTTTCACTAGCGCAGTGTACGACATTTTCTGCAACTGTGAGTCATCTATTCTTTAGATGCCAGTGGCACAATCTGGGATGTTGTGATGTGCCGGCTATTATTATTGCATTTGTGAATGCTAACACCACGCTCGATCTCGACTATTTCTAGGCTTGAAAGCTTCAAGCCCATGAGAAACAACATAGAGGACTTAGTGACATTGCGTTGAGAAGAAAGGTAACGGTAATTAGTTTTTGAAACATTCACATATATTTAAATACTAATTACAAAAGAGAAGTATAATAAGATAAAACAAGGCATAACAAAGAATGCTAGTACAAACCAAGGCCTGATTTAACCTTATAAGAACTTACTAAGAAAAATCAAAGATTTATGATATTTAAAAGTGAAGATAATTATAATTTATACTCCTGGAAGTTTTACTAAGGTAATCTATTAACTAAGTGCTACTTAAGCCTAGACGTATATCCTACGATGCTGTTAAACAGTTGCATGAGAATTAAATAAAATCAGACAGTTAGAAAGTACTAAAAATCCTGAGACCTTGAGAAAGTGGTCGCATTGTGCTCAAGTCGTGTAAGTTCTGCGCAGTTTAAGCGGTGAGGTGAGTCGAAGATCTTGACTTGGCCACAGCGCGTCGCCCAGTCAAAGCCCCAGATGCCACCTTGATAAGCAACTTGCGGGCCCTCGATAGCATCGCTCATCACGAGTCATCACGATGCGCCGATGGTTTAGTGGTAAAATTCTCCGTTGCCATCAAGCAGCGTCGGGGAGCCGGGGGTTCGATTCCCCCTCGGCGCATTTCTTTTGGTTTTTGCCGTTTCCCGACCTTGACCTTGATGTGGCTCTGCCTACTTTTGCATTTTTTGAAGATTAAGAAGTTGTGCGTGGGCGGACCCACCTACCCACTCTCCAAAGTCGGCACTTAGAACCAGCATAAGACAAGGCATTGCAGTTTCGTCGGGCGCGGTGCGGTTGATGTAGATTGAAACTACGTGGATATTGGCAATGGTTTTATCTTTAGTCTGTTTCTGTCCCCTGTCAAGATTGGCAATAGTGGTTGCTTTCCAGAGCAAATTCCAGTCTATACTATAGGTATTTCTGATTACTTTTACTTTTCCAAGTAAAAGCACTCTAAGTAGGACTGGTTAAAGTTCCTAAACAAATCTCAAATTTGGTTTGGTAGTTCGGTCACGAGCAGTCTTCATCCCAACATGCAGCTCTCATGTCACTCAAAAAGAGTCCATGTCTAAAAACGACAAAAGGAAATGTCCCTGGCAAGGCTCGAACTTGCGACCTTTGGATGTCCCTATCTGAAGACAGAGTCATATTCGATGATATGAGACCAACGCTCTTCCAACTGAGCCACAGAGACTGTGGGATTGTGATCGACCGAGCGGTGGGCGACAAGAAGAAGCGTGGCACATCGTGGGCCGGGAGCTGCAGGAGACCGGATGGCTGATGGGGCTGTGGGGTCGTCGGCAGTCAGGACAAAGGGGGACGTCTGCGGAATCTTATACTACTCGTGTAAATCTAGTCGAGGTTAAGAAGTGTTATCGAGTTAGTAAGTCTCTTGAAACCAGTGATGAAATAGAGAGGCGAGACTTCGTCGAGTCCCGATGTTGCTTGTTCTCTTGAAATAACGGACATGTGCCTCTCAAAAGTTCCCAAGCCCTGACACCCAGTGTCGTCCGGCAGATGACAGCTTGAGAACTGAGTGGTCCAGCCTTTTCACTCACCACTTCTTCTAATAATTTCTCCTTCTACAGTATTGCAGAAATGTCTAAGGATTTGGATAAAATAGGGTTATTTGCTCAAAAGACCATCTGTAATGAATTTCATGCCAACCAGGAAAATCTCAGCTGTTCATGACATTCTTCTTTGATTTCTCAACATGAAGCAAATAGGAAAGCCGGCTCTGCTGGAAATTGACACCTGGGAGATGTCGCAACACATAATATGTTTTATCTCCAATTTTCAACATGCCCTTGCTCAAGTTCAGTTTTCTTTTTGGCGTTGACTTTGAGCGAGGCCATGAGTGAGTTGGGAGTTGTATGATACAGTGCCCCGCACCTCCCGCACTGCATTACCCCACCACACGGCGCAAAATGCTCCTCAATCCCAAGAGACGACCACTTACAAGACATCAGCAGCCTCATCGCAGTCGGTTACGTCTATTGTTCTCCGCACCGACACTCAAACATGGCGACAAGGATACCTCATATGCTGGAGAGCTATCTCTCTCTCCCGCCCGAATGCGCCCAGATCCTCCTCACCAACGTCCTGGGCGCCAGCACAAACTGGCTTGTCCTGCGATATCTCTACTCATACCTCAGGAAACCCGCCGCCGCAGAGGAGGGAACCCAGACGGACGACGTGCGCGTGGTTCTCGTGAGTTTCATGAGAGACTTTGCGTTTTGGAAGGAGGGCGCGGGGAGATTGGTATTGTGATTCTCATTTTTTCCCCTTACTTCATCTGAGTTGCCCATTTGGAAAAATTTCACACGGCCCATTCTGAAAGGCAGACTGAACGCTAACAAATGGTATAGGGACTTGACCTGGAAGCCCTTGTCCGGGGCGGGAAACTCGCCTACGTCGACGGGTTGAGCGGGTTGTTCTCTGGCTCCGCGTCGCCGTCCGTCAAGGGCCGTAGAGTCCTCCGCGGGGCGAAGCTTCCTGATATCCAGCGAGAGCTCGAGGCTGCGATCTCAGATGTGCGAGCCGCGGACGCCAAGACAATCTTGATTATAGACCAGCCTGACTTGCTCCTCGCTGCGTCAGGGGAGGAGCTCACAGGACTGGCGTTAAAGAATGTGTTGCTTGATTCGCAGGAGGTATGTCACTCTCCCATCTGCCCACTCATGCCCAGCCGACACGTTCCCGATGATGGCTTGTCGCCCAACGGAAGATGAGTCATGCTAACATTTTTTCTAGAAAGTTCATGCCTCCGTTATTACTACTGCCGCAGACGAGCCGCTCGTCGCTGCGCAAGCCACGACGCTGGAGAAGGAACATGCTGCTTTCGTGCTCGGTCTCGCGCATGCGGCAGAGACTGTCATCAGTCTGCGGCTGTTGGACACTGGCACGGCGAACGATGTCAGCGGTGTGTTGAGAATCACCGCTGGAGGCAACAGCGACGAGCAGAGGACGGTGGAGGAAACCGAATTGCTGTACTTTGTGGGCAGTGACGGCAGTGTGAAAGTGTTTGGAAGGGGTCAGTGAGCGAGTCATATGGCACAACTGCTCATAGCATGGATGAAAGTGAACGAGACATGGCGTTATGACAGACGAGGGCAGTTTCCAAAGAGCCAGGTCAGGACTGGTGGACAGGTTTGGGACGTGGTCAGGATCTCAGTATCAGGAAGTGCATTCTAGAAAGACAGCGCCGACCACATCAATCACAGCGGACACTTGTTCAGTGCCATTATTGAACCAACATCAGGACTAGAGACGTAATCACGGGCACATGGAGACGCGACAAATCAACAACGGACGGACACACATGGAGAATGCCATTGTGATTGCGACTTGGCGTCAGACCGTATCTCAAATCGCTTAGGAACCATGGTGGTGGAAAAGAAGCCAAAAGCCAGCCCTTTTTTTCGAGGATCCGTTTTCCCTGTAAAAAGAATTTCCCCATATGCCCGCGCGAGAGAGAGATAATATGAACGCAAAACACCTGAATGTTGCCAAATGACTCTTGTGTGTTTGGTTTCGGTCTTTTTTGAATTGGCTTTCGCTTTCCAGTCAAGCGGAGGGAAAAGACAACAAAGATGTTTTGTTCGTGTAAATCGTTTCCCGGTTTCTCACGCCCTTTTCCCCCGAATGCCCGAATGCACAGTTACCCCCATGTCGACACCCTTTACATTCCCATCATCGAAATCGAATAACCGAAGGAGTTTACGCCTGGGCGGGGCCAGCAGAGCCCTTGGGGACACCGGTCTGGAAGCCGTTCTTGAAGCGGCGGGAGACGCCCTTGAGGTAGCGCATGCGGCCAGTGCCGACGGTCTTTCTCCGCTTAGCCTTCTCGGACCAGTTGTCTGTTTCATCCTGCGTCAGCATCTCCAACCATAGAAAAACACACGACATGTTGAGGAATTGGATCTCGGGGGAGGATGGTGTTCTGGTTCGTGGTGGTCGTCGTCGGGGAAGGGAACGTACACTTGCGGGTCTTGGCCGAGGGGTAACCGCAGGAAGAGCAAGTGTGCTTCTGGATGTGAAGCGAGCGGCGACCTGAAAATCAATCCTTCGTCAGTCTCTTGCGTCTGGTTGTCGTCGGAATTTCGTGGGGGTTCGCGTCTCAGTTTCCCCCCTGTGGTTGGACTTACCGCAACGACGGCACAGAGTGTGCGTCTTGTTGTGTCTCTTACCAAACGAGGAGGTACCCTTCGCTGCAAGAATTTGTTAGCACTTTCGCGGAAAATTGAGAATTCGTTCGCTCGTCAATGATGACGACGATCGGGCGGCAAACGTACTCATCTTGGCGGTATTCGGTGGTCGACGATGGTGGTGCTGTGGTTGGTGGTCGGTTAGTTGGTTTGCGGAGGAATCAGTTGAGAAGGTCTCGCGGTGTCAAAATTTCCTGACCCTAAGCGAGCGCACACAATTTGGTGGACTGGGGTGTGGAGCGGGGGCTTTTGGTCGCCATCAGTCGGTTGAACCCCGGTAGTTTAGGAGAGTCACATGACTCGGGCTTTGCGGTTTTGTGAAGGACAGAATTATTGACCAATAAGCGGATTTTACCCAATACAAGGGGGCCAATGCATCTTATTTTCGGTTATGATGGGGCACGCGGGCGGCCCGCAATGCAGCAAAGCGCCAGTCACTGGCACCTGGCTGAGTGTCACTCCAAGACTGCTGCACTTATGTGTAGCAGTATACTTTGATGAAAAGGGAATCAATTCAAGTTGTCCAACCAGCCAACGCCGCCTATATTACAGTACTCCAGATTGCCTCCACGTGGGTATACAGACAAAAAAATCTCATCATCATTCACCATTCCCGAATCATCCAAGATGTCGCTCATCCCTGAATGTCCAACATCTGCTTGAGTGCTGCCTCGTTGGCTCTCAACCATCGGCCCCGCTCCTCAAGGTCATCCTCATCACCACCCGCACCCTCCTTTCTCCTCCGCGCCTCCTTCGCCGCCGTTTTGCTATTCTGCCTTTTGACCTCCAATGGTTGTAATTCGGCTTGTAATCTCTCAAGCTCTTTTCTCTTTCGTGGTACCCTCGCTTGAAGCTGCTCGAGCTCGCGGTCGAGCTGCTGCTGTTGTCTTTTCTTTTCGTCCACCAACTCCAGCGTCTTTGCTAGAGGCAGATTCATAAGCGGATCCTGCCCCGGCGCCTGTGATTCCTTCAATTCTGCGATCTGATCTTCCAACTCGAGGATCTTGTCTGGAAGCTCTCTAAGTTTGGTTGTGTCGAGCTGCACGCTCTCATACCGCTTGGCGAGCTCCTTGCCCTTCTTCTCCAGCTCCGTGACCATATCCGCAACCTCCACTTTCAGAGCCTTGAGCTGCCCCTTGGCTTCGAGGTTGGCCTTTTCGAGCTCGAGGTTTTCTTGAGGCGTGACAATAACGGGCGGGTCGCCGACTATGGCGCGTATGAACTTTTCCTTGGTGACCTGCTCGACGTAGGAGAAACGCAACTTGGCGAAGAGCTCCTTGTAGTGCTCGAGGTCGGCTTCCAGACTAGATGGCGTGGTGCCATCTTGCGAGGCGTTTGAGGCATCTGATGTCCGTTGACGAGACTCTTGAGTAACGGCGCTTGATATCGGCTCGCTAAGTCTTATGATTGAGACCTCGTGGTTTTCGTTGAGATCTTCGATTTTGCGCAGCACTTGCGCAGCTTTTTGCGCATCCATTGTGGGGGTGGGGTGCTGCTGAAGGATCGATCGATTGTAGATGTTTGCTGATTCCAAATCTTGAGCGAAACGCGTGTAACAGTTTCGAAGACGAGCGACAGTGATTTCAGGGCTCAGTGTTGACAAAAAATGCAAGTCTTGAGTTCAGGGTCCAGTGTCTGGTGACGTTTGTTTACTTGAGTCCGGAATGGGAAACGCGCCTCTTCAGATTCCTTATCGTTATCGTAGTGTCTTCTTATCGTTATCGCTCCGTTTATTCTTCGCTATCAGATTCATCCCACTGCCAAGTCCCTTATTAGCGACTTCTGCACTGCGCCGATCAATCCCCCGTCCGCCACGGTTTGCGACGTCTTTGCCTCCTGTTCAGCCCCAACCCCGCAGCTCTTCCGAGTCGCTCTGACCCAACGGTCCATCGACAAAGCTGCGTGTCAGCATACTCCTAATCTTTCGAAGGGTCAACGACGCATACGATTCGGGATCACTTCATCCGACCGCCAGCTTGAATATCGCCAACCACCTCGTCACAGTCACCGTTTGGATCGAATTCTGGATAGCGCGCCGACATAATGGCGAACGACGATATCCTCACCGACGAGTATGTCGCCGAACTGCTCGCCAAGGAAGCAAACGACTGCTCGCTGAAATACTCGAGCATGGGCATGGACGCGTTCTGCTCCGACAAGAAGTACGTCACATAGCCCTCGACTCTGCTCTGTGGCCCCTAACCAACCCGCCAGACCGGCAAACATGCCCAAGCCAAACACGCGATTCTTGCGACACATTATCAAGGACACTAACACACACAACAAGAACCTCCTTGCGAAGGAGGCCGCTGAGTCGCAAGCGCGCTTGAAGAACCTGGAGCACGCCGAGGAGAAGGAGCGGAGGAAGCGCGCGGGACCACAAGACATTCGCAAGCGGCAGATGGGAGACATCAAGGCCATTCTGGGCGGGCGCAGGGAAAAGTCTGAAAGGTCCGGCGACAAGTCGCACAAGGACGACTCTTCGCCGCGCAGACGACCCCGGGACAGGAGAAGTGAGTCTCCCGAACGAAGCAAGAGACATCACCGGAGGAGAGACGACTCGGGCTCCGAACGGGAAGATCGCAGGAGACATAAAAGCGACAGGCGGAGATCGCGATCACCGGATGATAGGAGACACCGTCACCGGTCACCCCTCAGGAGCAAGGACCTCCTGTCCAAGTCGTACCGGTCTGGGAAGGAGCGTAGAGACGAAGACAGCAAGGATTTGACGTCAAAGAGTCACCGATCACGAAGAGACAGGAGCAGGGAGAAGGAAGGATTCTCGATCAAAGGGCACAGCAAGCGAGCGGCGAAGCAGGAGTCACCCGCGGCGGCATCCGACTCGGACCCTCTTGATGATATCATCGGCCCCGCGCCGCCTGCTCCGGTCCGTTCACGGGGCCGCGGTGCGGCGGCAGCCTCGTCCGGCATCGACAAACGCTTCGAGGCGGGCTACGATCCCAAGATGGACGTGGAGATGGAGGATACCGGCGGTAACAGCGCAGAAAACTGGGACGACGCAGTGGAGGCGTTCCGAGACAGACAGAAGTGGCAACAGAACCAGGAACAGCGGATGCGGGCGGCGGGGTACGGCGAGGACGTGATCAAGAAGTGGAAGACGGGCGACCAGAAGGACGAAAGGGATGTGCGGTGGGCAAAGGCTGGGGAGAAGAGGGAGTGGGATCGCGGCAAGGAGGGCGGGATTAGTGGGCTGTTTTCCGAATTCAACTGACGGGATCCCCGGGGAGGGGGTTCAGCCGGTTTGACTTGATCGTCGGAGACATCTACGATAAAGGGGCTGGGGTTGCGTTTGTTGTCACGGCGTGGTGTTGAGCGGTGCATTGGCTACTTTTTCATGATAAGAGCAGGAGTTCTTTTTCTCTTTTTTCTTTTCTTCCGCATAAACCGATCGGGGGGGCTTTGTTTTCGGGGTCTTGCATAGGTGCTGTGTTTTCTTTTTTTTTTTTTTTTTCTTCCAATCCGACGACTCATGCGCTTGGATTTAATCATGTTTCTTCTGGCATGTCAATAGCACAGGTAATGGTACGCTGGATCCTGGAGTTTGAATGTGTTTTATAGCGGGAGGATACCCGGCGGTGTTGTCTTGGTCCGGAGGAACGAAACGGTGAGAAGGGAAGTGAAAAACTATTTGCACCATAATTTCTGATGGCCGTGTAACCTCGCAAGGCTTCACCCGACGATCGCGAGGAGGTCGGGGAGAGCTGAGAGCTGAGATCCAGGCTGGACCAGTCAGTCAAGACTCGTAGAGGTTTTGCTTCAGCCGCATCGATTCGGGATAAAGCTTCTCTGATCTTTCACTCATTGTCTACAATGTACGTGGTAAACGCGAGAACTACGCCCGACCAGCCTGATCCTTCTCCTTTGTGAGGAATGTCACCAGCGCTTTAAAGTTACATCATCCATCCCGCTGGAACATGCCTGCAAACAGCGTGTTTCACCACTCAACGTCAGAAGGGGAAAAAAAAAAAAGGATAGCCAACCCCCCCTTGCCCCCAGGTTCGTGAAACAAAAAAGGGGACACTTTTTTTTTTTGGGTTGCGGTGGGTTTGTCAGGGGTCCAATGCGCTAGGCCGCGTTGGATACGACGATGACGGGGGTATACCCTTTTTATAGCTTCTCACCCCCCAGGTATTATTCGTACCGGGGGTTATTGCGCGGTCAAGGAATGTGGGATTGGTGCTGTAAGTGTACGGATTACCTTAGCAAAGCCCACGACTCCTTGCGGCACTGCCGCAGATAGTGTTACCGATTAAGTAGCTGGGTGAGTTGCGCAGTACAAAGGCTTTTTTTTTTTTCCCCAATAGCTTGGGGATAGGGAGCGCGGACGCAGGGTAGATCGGATCAGAGCCAGGGGGAAGGGAGGAAAATCTGGGACGAAGAGTGCCGAGAGGGCGTCTGTGATTGATGAGCAATCGCCAAGTGTCATGGGCAGTGCTTGTTTTGTGATGGCAGTGTACCAGTAGAACGTCGTTTTGGACGTTGGAGATGGAAATGGAAAATGCGGGCGTGGTGTCTTCCAGCCCCAGGGCTACTTACTCCTCTGCCAAAGGGGGTGTAACGAAGCTGCTTACTATGGCGGCGAGGCTGGGTCTGTCAACCTTTACGACGATGAGAGAGATAAAGAGAGGAAACATTGAGTTCATTGCGTTGGCTGGTGGTCTGGTTTGTTTGTGTTTCTCGGGCTTGGGGGGGGGGGGGGGGGGGGGCTACGAATTGACTTTGTGGCTGCGCAAAGGCTAGGAATGGACGCGCCCTGACGGCACAGGCGACGTCTGTTCGTTTTGGCTTCCGCCGCATGTGGTAAGAATTTGGACGATGAGGGGTCAGAGTGGTTGAAACTTGAGACGAGGGATATTCATTGTTCGGTGAAGCTAAGACTATCCCCCTCGGGGTCTTTGACAAATGAACAATGCCGGGGGTGGGATCTACTGATGGGAACATTCGATGATGAACAGCGAGACAAAGAAACGGGAAAAAGAAGGTTGGTTTTCTGGAATGCTACATACGTATTGCTTTGCCAAGCGGCCGGAAAATGTGTAATGTAGCATTACTAACGACGGTGTTGACTCCGGGGCGCCGGAGCCACCGGACACATCGGTGCGGCGTCCAGCTCCGTCTGGAACAGCTGTGAGTCCGGCGTATAGATCACGGTTCCCGCCGGAGAATATGGGCTTGGCAGGGGGAATACGCATTTCGGCGGTGCTGATGTTTCCCACTGACCTCGAGGGTACCATAAACCGGACTGACAAGGCGGCATTACGATTCTAGATGCCTTTGGCTCCAACGTTGAGCTCTAGTTGACGGGTAGGACGGGTAGGACGGGAAACTGTAAACTGTACTCGGCCAAGTTGCAGCAGACCTCACGACAGCTGTGGCCATGTGTGGTCTTAGACATCATCAACTCGAAGACAGAGCAAACGGCACTGGTGGCGTCGCAGACGCCCGTTTCGAAAAACTCTATTGGTCATGCCGATGCCTCTCATAACTTCCTAAACCGGACAGAGTCGCATCCTGGTCATCGACATGTAAGAAGCTTACCGTTTCCAGTTGGAAGGGCCCTGTCATGTCACCTCCACCAAGGTCCCTGACGATTGACGGGCATGGACGTGGCAGGGAACACCAGGATCTTGATGATTGACGGCTATATTGTCATAATTCGTGTGCCGTTCCTGGGTGGAATCCCAAGAGAGTCCTCGGTTCATCCTAACTGGATGCATTTCACTGAGACTAGATACCCCCCAGGCGGGTTACTTCGTGAAGCAGATTTTACTTTTCTTCCTTTCTTCCCGTAAATGTCTCAACGGTTCTTTAGCTGGGGTGACGCGGGAAACTGTTTAAATGTTGTCACCATGCGGTCTTTGAATGTGGCTTGTGATGGCGAGGGGTTTTGGGTAGTCGCCTGCCACTTTGCTTCTCCGAATTTTATGGCAATTTACCGCCGGATCGAGGAGTTTTTGCTCCGTGATGAGGAATGTCCCTTGGTCATGATACACAATGAACTGAAAAAGGAAATCAAAACGATAGAGATGTCGAACACTTGGCACTAGTCTTGAAGCAGGTTCACCAATGAGGTCGAATCTAATCGTCCAATATCCTGGGGAAAAAAAAAAAAAAAAAAAAAAGAGACTCATCACCGTGCCTTGAACAGGAACTTGCAACGAGCATCTCTGCATGTGTCCCAGACTTGCCAGGGGGCCATCACTAGCAATGTCTTTACTAAAGGCAGCTTTTGAATGTGTGTGGTGTTGATGCAGGTGATTTGAGGCAGGGGCCACCTCCATCTCGGCCTCAGTGAATCTTGGCTTCAGTCGGGCTTGGGTTAGGTTTTTACCATTCTCTCACAATTCTCAGTCAGCAATGCTGGGTCGGTCACATCGATGCGTCTGGACCACCAGGTACTCTTCCTCATCTGTTTTGTTTGGATGCGAGGCGGGGGAGAAGTGAATGACACATGCACTACAAAGTACAAGGAGTGAAACTTTTGGTCACGAGGGGTTGCCCATGCGCGCGGGCGCTGTGAGGTCATTGATGGACGGATGTCTTTGTCTTTCTTTGTACTTCTCATACCGCGAGGGGGAGGGGAAGAAGGGGGAATGGGGGGTTGGAGCAGTAGCAGCAGCTGCAGCAACAGTAGCAGCGTAGTACATCCCCCGAGGCTGGTTGGGTTGCCTCAGTCTGCTGCCTTGGGTACGAATACACGGGGGGGATTTACCAATTCGTCATCCTAATTTCCCGTCGCATCCAGAAGTCGCCTATTTCGTATAACGTATTCATAACCGACATAATAATTTACCATGTAAGTATGATTTAAGGATATGAAGTGAATACGAAGAAACATAATTGCAGAAAATGGGTCGGCTTTGGCGCTTGCATAGAGCTCTCCCATCCACTCACTCAAGCAGCCACGTTTTCCTCACCATGCCGCGGCCGGCGTCAAAGTCTGACAGGACACCGGACCACTGATGTCTGAACTGAATCTCTCACTTGTCCTGAAAAGTGAAGCATAGTAGGTGGGGTAATTATTGGGGGCGTGGGCATTTTTTCACATCCCTAACTGCTCACTCCCCAATTCTCACACACACACTCATACGTGCTGTACGTACGTATATTGATCCACTGGGCTACTTATGCAGTAGTAGGAGGCGTAGTGTAGTGAGAGACAGGACCGCCCCAAGACATGGACTGAATACCAAGACGGCACCAGTGGCCCAGCCAGCCAACAGCAGCGAACCCTGATGACCATCGTTAGAGTCTTCGGTGCTGGGCGTGACCGTGTGCCGCCAAAGCCGGGTCAACGAACAGACGGCCATGTCCCCTGTAGCCCTGACACTTGCGTTACTCGCCATTGAGCACGCCTGTTGGTTGGTGCTTGAGAATCTTTTTTATTTTATTCTATTTCCTTAGTTGGAAAGACAGGGGATGGCGCCATATGTCTTTTGCTAACGGGATAAGTCGGCTGTAAAAAATAAAATAAAAACAAGAAGCCGTCAGATACAGCCATCTCTTGGTGATTCATGATTCTTACTCATGGACTGGATTGTGTGAGCTCATTGCCCACTTCACCGAGTAAGTGAGCACAAGCGCGAACCAGACCAACCCATGATGAATGGTGCCATGGACAAGAAGAAAAAAAGTATGCGCCCCTAGCAACAAGCAAGTCCCCGAGGCCTCTTCCCCCCCCGAAGTGTGCCCACCCGTCGCCGACTTCAGCCAGACAGGGCCCCTTAGACCCCCGAAGCGACTCCACTCAGACCCCCGCTGCCGCCGCTAGGCTCACCTCACCTCGAACAGTTTTAGGCAGTGAGAGTGACACTCGGGTCGCCTAGCCCCCCTGCTGGCCTGTCCTAGCCTGGTTTGCTCCAATGCTCCAGAAGGGACACAGCAGCCCAGAGCCCAGGAAAGGCTCGTGTGTCACTGTGTTAGGCCCAACTGCAGTTTTATTTTATCCCATTATTCCTGCTTAGAGAGGCGGTACCTGGACACCACAGGGAGCAGAGAGGGCCCCGGCACCTAAACAACAACACCGCCCCGCCACCCGATACCCTCTCCACCCGTCACTTTCAGTTCTTGTCTCCCTCTCTCTTTGCATATGCCGCCCACTCTGCGCTATGTGCACTTTCCACCTCCTAAATAACCTGATCGACGACCTCTCGTCATTCTCTTTACTTCCCGCCCCCAAAATTTAGTCTCGTCCCTTTTTTTTCTTTTTTTTTTGTTCCCTCTGTCCTTCCTTTACCTAACCCGACCCTTTCCGACGACAAGAAGAGGCTGTTTTCACCTCTGTCGCACCTTCGAGCGAAGATCTCGCCCGTCGTCTTCAGCCTCGTCACTCTTACATTTCAAACATCTTACACCCACACACACATAAACTCACACACATACCACACCCGCCACGAACCATCTGTTTCTTCTCTCCGCATGACTCTGCGCATGATCGGCACCTGTGCAGTTCGCCGCTGAGCCACTGCCGGCAGCTGGTCGACCACCAAATATCGACTCTCCCGTTTCCTCTCTCTCTATCTCTCTGCCTCGTGGTGAAATCATCACTGCTTTCGACTAACCAACCGGGCCGCCGCATCGTGCGCCGGATTAACCCCCCCCTTCCAGAGTGGTTACCTCTTGATTTACGATATACATTTTCGACCTCTTCTTTTCCCTTACTTCTCTACAACTTAACGATCCGTAACGAAACCCACCATGCGTACCCCGAGAATCGCCATTCTCGTCCTCTTCTTCGTCGCCTCCCTATTCCTCTTCTGCCGATCCGTCACCTCGTTGGCCCGCTCCAACACCATCGTCACCCCGGCTGACGTTCCTCGATCGCGCTTCACGAGCTTCTTCTCATTCACTGCGCCCTTCTCAATCTTTACACCAAATGCTGCCATCAGCCTCACCGATGACAACAGCACCTCATTCGTTGCTCGTCCAGCCGCCTTCGGCCCGAACCTCCCTACCAAGGGCCTGAGCGGCCAGCTATGGATTGGCAGCGGCTTTGCTGACGATAACCTCCAGGAGGGCGAGGGCGAGGGCGAGCTCGGCTGCAGCGACATTCCCGGCTGGGAGGACGGCAAGCCCAACGCCGTCCTCAAGTCCGCCTCCAAGAGCATTTCCAATGCCGGTGCGAAGGCTGCCACTGCTGCTGGCAAGCCCGCACATCACAAGCGGGGCAAGACCGACAGAGATGCCGCCCCCGATGACGCACCCCCACCGCCAGGCACACGCTTGAAGTCCAAGATCCGCCCTCTCGACGACGGCACCGACGACTACCTTCACCAAGGCCTTGCCAGAAAGCCCCAGCCGAACCACGATAGCGCTCTGTCCACCGAGTCGACCCACGCCGATATCCAGTCGATACAAGAGGCCGCGGAGATCGCCGGGAAGATTGTGCTGCTCAGTCGTGGCGGCTGCGGCTTCTTGGAAAAGGTCAAATGGGCTCAACGACGTGGTGCCATTGCCCTGATCGTCGGTGATAACCAGAAAGGCGGACCTCTGATTCAGATGTTTGCCAGGGGCGATACCTCAAACGTTTCCATTCCCTCCGTCTTTACTGCCCGCACCACGGCACACCTTCTGTCGTCTCTCACGCAGCCCGGCAGCTTTATCGAGGACACCATCGACGAGCACGGCCGCCCCGCCTTGAAGGTCCTAAAGTCTGACGGCACCAACCGGAAGAACAGGAAGAACAAGCAAAAGGCCGCCGTGACCACCCCGACCCCGACACCCAAGCCGACCGCCACTCCCAAGGCCAAAGCCCCGAAGAAGGCCAAGCCGGCAAAGACCGAGGAGGCCAAGCCTCGCGTTGGTTGGTTCAGATGGCTTTTCACCTGGGGCCGCAGTTCCGCGCCTGGGGACGGCAGCATCCAACCTCCGAGCAGCGGCCGCCATAACTGGGTTCTCGTTGACGACTGGAGCGAGGAGAAGGACAAGATCATTCGCGACGGTCTCGGAAAGGCTGCCAAGCGGGGCAGCGATAAGACCATCGACTCCCGCAAGACGGAGGACAGCTTCCAGATTGGCGTTCAAGACTGGCGGGACCCGGACTTGGTCGATGCACCGGGAACTAAGGTCAAGGAGGACGGCGTCAAGGAGAAGGCCGTGAAGGCCGGCACGTCGAAGAACGGAAAGGACGTCAGCGGCCCCAAGGGAGGAAGCATCACTCCCGGTAGTGGCGAGTACAACCCTGACCTGCCGCCAGTGGAGGCCAAGGGAGCCGCTTCAGGGAAGGATTCTTCCTCGCACGGCGGCCTCATGTCCAAAATCTTTGGAGAAGATGACGGTGCCGACTTCTCCAAGGAGGAGAAGGCCAAGGAGCCCCCCAAGGTTGAAGAGCCGATTCCCGATGACGACGAGCCTATTGGACACGACGGCCTCTGGGTCACCATTACACCTTCAAGCAGCTCCAGTCCCTTCTTTGACACCCTCCTGGTGCTTGTCATCAGCCCCTTGATCACATTGAGCGTTGTCTACGCACTTCTGATCCTCCGCGCGCGCATTCGCCGAAGGCGCTGGAGGGCACCCAAGTCGGTCGTCGAGCGTCTACCCGTGCGGACCTACCACACTGTGGCAGCATCGCCAGTCCCCTCACCTAGAATACCTTCGCCGACTAGCGCAACCCCTACCACGCCCCTGCTGCAGCAGACCCCCACACGGCCCCGGCCCCGTTCTAGGACAACGACGGGCATCCCCGAGTCGGAGAGTCTCCTGTCCGTTAATTCCGCCCTGCAAATGCCGAGATCGCCTTCGCGGGCAGAGCACGAGAAGACAAACGGCAGCTACTCAAGCGAGTGGAAGAAGTACATGGGCCGTCAGGTCGAGTGTGTGGTCTGTTTGGAGGAGTACGTTGACGGCGTCAGCCGTGTCATGAGCCTACCCTGCGGCCACGAGTTCCACGCGGAGTGCATGTGAGTTTTATTGTGCCCCTTGTTTTTTTTTTTTTTTTTCCGCCGCTAATATTTTGCAGCACGCCTTGGTTGACAACGCGCCGCCGTACATGCCCCATCTGCAAAGGCGATGTCGTGCGCTCTCTCGCCCGCGGTTCTCCGTCCAGTCCCCGGTACGAAGCCTACCACGACGACTCGGATGATGAAGTGGAGGCCGAGGGCTCCGGCTCACGAGACAGAGACGATGATATCGAGCAGGGCATACTCTCCGCCGCACCCAGAGGAAGGCAAGGCAGATCAGAGGGGTGGCTGGGCATGCTGTCAAATACACTCAGCTCCATCTCCCGCTCAAGCCGGCAGCCGCAGGAGGACCGCAACAGGTAGCTTTCGGCGTCTCACGAACATTTGCGATTTGTTATTTGGCTTAAGGCGGTTTAAAGTTTTGCAAGCATGACTGCGACTCATGGAGAAACGGGAAACGGCGTAATTAGGGGTTTCTGGGACGGGACGGCATAGCCGCGCAACGGCCTCATTGGGTGGCGATATGGAACCTCACTACACTCGCTTGATGTTCTTTGTGTTTTTTTCTTTTTTTTCTCTTTTTTTCTTCCTTGTTCAGATGTCGACTGGCTTGCCTGTGCCTACCTTTGAGAGGCTGGCGCCAGACGTAGGGGTGGCTGGCGAGAGGTGGAAGTGGCTATTATACCCGTTGTCTGCCTGTGGGGGATGACCTTTTGGAATACGACTTCCATTGCCAAGATGTGAGCCTAAGATGCGGGCGTGCGATCGATTTGCATGTGATGAAACTAAACGCCGTAAAGTGCGTATCATGGGTATATCCCCCCCTTATCCCCGTAAAAAAACAAACCATCCCCGATAGAATGCAAATGATCCGGCCTTCAGACGGTGCCCCTAGTTACATACATGATTTTAACTCTTCAGTGATTATAAATTTATAAACAGCCGAGAATATTCGACAAATAATTATAGTAAAACGATAAATACTCGACGCCTTAAATGTCGTTGTAGAAAATCATACGCGGCATGTCCCTCTCGGAAACGGCCCACATCCACGCGGCGCCCGGGTCGTACGACGTCGCGACGGATCCGGAGGACGATGGGGGCTCTGGCGGCGAATCTGCCGCGCGGGTGAAATCCGGTATGTTGTTTTTGGGCGAGGAGAGTGATAGGAAGGCGTCTCTTGTTTCTCCTTTCGGGAAAGCTCTATTATGGTTTTAGTTTCAATACCAATCATGGGAAATAGAGAGAGAGAGAGAGAGAGAGAGAGAGAGTGAGAGTGAGAGTATGAAAAGGAAAAAAAAAAGAAAAGCAAAACGTACAGCGCCGCACCAAGCACGCCGTACCACAAACTCGGTTCCCCCCACGCCTCCTGCCCCTGATTCCTCGCGAGAAAGTCCCTAGCCCTACCGACCACCTCGTCAATCTTTCCCTGTAGTGAAGGGAAGAATGGCCGTAGAGAAAGAAGGGAGACGACGAGACCCGTTGCGCCGTGGGCGAAGTCCGGTCTTTCCCCCTCCTCCTTGACACCCGTCTGCCCGTCCGCCCCTTGACTTTGAGAAGGCCAGCTGCCGTCGGGACGTTGCAAGTCCAACAACTCCGATAACTTCCCCTCCAGACGCGGGGCGAGCGGCGGCGTGGTCACGACAAGCTGCGTCAGCGTGCCTAGTTCGCCGTCCGCGGCGCCGCGGGGCGAAGCATGCGGACAGGACCAGGGCGCCGCGAGGAGGTGGTCTGACACGTGGACGATGTACCGCGACACGAGGGGCGCGGAGGAGGGGACCCAGTGGCGTATGAGACGGAGCAGGTACAGCGTCCCCGAGAGCCCGTGGAGCAGACAGCTTGGTAACGTGGTGGCTGCTGGTGGGGAGGAGCGGAGGGATTCGGCGATGGGGGAGAGCAGCGTGAGGAACGTTCGGACGTGCGAGAGGTCTTGCGTGACGCAGGCGCGGATGGCGGAGCCCGCGAGGACGTCGGAGAGGCCGAGGGCGGACGGGGGGGCTTCTTCTTCTTCTTCTTCTGCTCTCGACGGCGTCGGGATGTTGGAGATGTACGCCCTTGCCCAGTGTATCGCTGGGTATGAATGGATTTGAAGGCGGGGAAAGGAGGAGGAGACGGAGAGGAAGAGGTAGGCTGTGCCCGTGTGCGATGTTAGCGGGCCTGTGAGGGAGGAGGGGGGGTATGAGGATTGTGGAGGGGAGAGGGAGAGGGTTTTTGAGAGGTGGATTAAGAGGGGAGGAGGGTCCATTGAGACGTTATTCGTGTTTGGTTATATATGTGTGTGTGTGTGTGTGTGTGTGTGTGTGTGTGTGTGAGTGAGTGAGGGGTGAGGTGAGGTGAGGTTGTTGATGAGTGGTGTAGGTGAGTTGAGTTTAATGAGTGTGTGTACCTGGACTGACATGGGCCTGGGCCTGACCTTCACCGAGGTCGTGGCGGGGAATGCGGGGTTGGAGGGGGCAGCTGAACTGGGATCTGGATCGGATGGTCGACGGCGGGGCCGGTGTGGGGCTGCCGAAAGGATTCACCGACTCACCGATATATGACGGAAAGGCAAAAACCTTGTTGGTTGGTAGGCGGTGTCTCGCATCCCACTACCGGCGATGTTCATGTTAACCATCAAGCAAGTGTTATAGTAGCTGTTTTTTTTTTTAACAATCAAAAGGGTCGCTTCCGGACTACAACATGGTCAAATGTCATTATCTCGGATGCGTTGAGGCCGTTCGGCCCGGGTACTTGGTTACCTGCTCGTGGGAGTTTATTCATGCGGCGTGCTTATCAAGAACCCTTCCTGTCCGAGACATCTGATATAAAGGTGACTGGGTATATAATGGGCATTTTAATGGTGCTTCGGTCCGAGGCTTCACACTGCGTCTACGGATGTCAAAGTTGCAGCCACATAAAATGCAATCGACAAAAAGCAGTATTATTTAGGAATCCGAACCTCCAATCCAGTAGTAATCACCCGCTCCTCCCAAGCATGCAAATGGCATGAACTGCCTTTTCAATACTAATAACCGCTCGTGATGGGTAGTTTATGATGCTCCAATGCCGCAGAACCGCACACTCTCTGACTTCTTGCGCATGGTCTGCAGAATCCAAATCTGACCACGAAGACGCACCTACTCATACCACTGGTATCGATGAAATTCTCAGCTCAATCATCAGACTGCAGACGGAAGGCTGTAATGACTTGCCAAGATGCAGTCTACAGCAGTTGCCCAACCCTGACCATGCCTAACACACGTAATGTCCCCGGGACCTCAAGTCCTCCTCTCCAGAACACCGAGCAGCCCATCGACGACAACCCCCCGGAAAGACTGGTCCAGACCGACGTCTTCCTTACCTACCCTAGATGCAAATGCCGTGCGAAGACGTCCGGGGTCGAGTGCCGCCCTCACTGCGAGGGCATACTTGTCTCCCATTCTAATCTTCTTGGTGAACCTCTTCGCAGACGCGACGGTAAATCCGAGACTATCATCATCAGTGGACGTTGAGGTGATGCGAGCCCCGAGACCAATTTCCACAAGCAAGATACCTAGGGCTTGTATGTCCGCCATCTTGGCCTTCTCAAGAGCCACGCCGTACCCCTTATTCTCACCCTGATCATCGTCAGACTGCGGTGACCGGACCATTGGCTGATCCTCGCCCAAATCGAACCCCAGGAGCAACGGAGGGGACAACTTCATGCCCTTGAACTCCCCGGAGACGGCAAACCAAACGTTCCCGCTCTGTAAGTCCCCATGGACTCTGTCGACGGCATGAAGCTCGCTAAGGGCTCGGGCTAGACGGTACGCGAATTTGACCTTAGTCGCGAGTGGTAGGCGCTCTGCTTGCGGTCTGTCATTATTGAAGTGGCCATCGTGAGAGACTAGGTGCTCCGCGAGGTTGTAGAGGTTGGGAGGGAAGTCCGCAAACCCTGGGAGAGGTTCGTATAGGTACTCTAAGCGGCCGCGTTCGGTGTTTTCTCGGAGGTTGATGCAGCGAGGTACCAGGGGTGAGTTTGTCGCGTTGAGAAGGCTTGCGAGTTTGTGGGCCCTGGGGCGCCAGTGGAAAGACTTCGACGAAGGAGGATCGTCGGCAGATGGTATGAGACGGGTTTCGATGACCTTCTTAGTGAGGTGTACATCGACGTACTGAACATGGGGCACTTCCGTGGCCGCGTCAGGGGCGACGCTGGGGTGGATGGAGGGAGCTCTTACGGGGGCGTCGCCTCGTTGGATGCGGATTTGATTGATGTCGTGCACGAGGCTAGGTTCCCGTGCCGTGACGACGTCTCTGAGTTGTACGGCGTACGCGTGTTGGCTGACCAGGGTGTGCTTGAAGGCTTGCTTGATGGCGACGACTACATCAGCGCGGATATCGTCAAGGAGCGTCCTTATCTCCTCGTACAGCTCATCAACAAGCTTCATCAGCCTGGAGTGGTCATTTGGAACTGACAAGGGTGAAAGCTCCTGATCAAACCGCCGAAGATGGTTGTTGATCTTGGCGAACGGAACTTCGCTGATTTGCAGTTCCGTCGGAGCAAGATCGGCAAGCGTCTGGGGTTTGCCATCGGACTGGCAGATTTCGTCTAGGTGAATGAGATTATAAAGATTTGTTGTGCAACGAAGCATTGGTATAAGCTGGTCAACTCGGGTCTTGAACTCTGGTTTTATGTCATGTCTGCTGCTGATCAAGCCCATGAGGATGTCAGCAGTTTGACCAGCTCTTTGTAATACACCGTCAACCATATTGTTCATGGTGAAACTGTTGATTCTATTGACTTTAGCCGGTAGTTATCTGTTCATTGTAACATGGCTAGGGACCGTCAAGCGACAGTAATGACGGAAGGCGCAACGACGAGCCAAGCAATGACGAAGGAATGCCTAACGAGGGAAGCTATGACCAAGGACGTAGTTAGGAAGGAAACAATGACGAAAGAATACAGTCGGGTATATGAAATCCATCTTTTCGACTTGGTCTCGACGGGGTACCAATGTCCCTTTTCCAAAACCCAACACCAGCAACGCGGGAATAATTTCCCATGTCCTGAAATAAAGGACCCTTGAACGGAGACTATTACATCAAGTTCCACCTCGCGCCACAAGACATGGCATGACGCACGAATAGACCCTTCGGCACATGATACGACTCCTAATAGACCATATGCCCCAGAAACTGCGAGTGAGAACTTAAATCAGAATAAGCAATCCAATCAAACTTCATCATTTCTTTGCCGTGGATCTCGTGGAAAGGGTCCCTGTCGGTGTAGCCCCTCATCCTCGTTGTCATTGAGACCAGCAAATGGACCGCTTAACCCCCCAGTGTTGGCGTTTTGGCAAGTGAATGTTACCCACTTTGGGGTAAGCACCTCTCGACAACAGGGCTGTCATTCGGATCCTGCTAGAGGATCACTGAGACATCACTGGCTGTGCCTGGCCCCCTGTAAGCATGTCGGCGGTTGGGCGCTTAAATGGGACTTTGGCGTCCATATTCCCGTCATCTCAAGGTGGTGTTTTTTTTTTTCTTTGGCTTGCTCAACTGTCCCAACCGAGAAAGGCAAAGACATGGTGTGACGTAGGTGTGCTGTCGCTATACGAAAATGGCATTCGAGGCGTCAATAAAGCACCCCGTCCCAAAGAACACAACAGCCCACCCATATCCAACGTCGAACTACTGCAAGTGCAGTCTTTGCACCTTAGCGACCCTGCCGCTAGTTGCTGACCCGGTTCGTCCCAAGCCCATGTCTCTCTCCCCCCCTCTCTCTCTCGTACTACCGTGGATGTTCGTTTCGGGCGGTGAGATGCATGTCGTCACCTTCCATGCAGGCTGCAAGTGCCAAGATGAATCGGAGCGAGGCCGAAGCAGCTTGATGTCGCCGTACATTCCTGTTCTGGAGATGGTAAGGATGCCGTATAGCTACACGATAGGATGTCTTTACGACGGGAAACCGGCCTCTCGCCCCGGGTTGGCTCCACGTGGCACGTTGTCTTTTTGAGGCAAAGTCCGAGATTTGAGGGTGAGGCATCTCCGAGGTTGTGGTCGACACATCAGCCACCAAAAAGCAATGGTTCCTCGGCAACATTAGCAGCAAGGTAAAGTAGGAAACAGGTTACTTGGTTTCATCCAGGTCCTTGATTCGGCATCATAGTCACAAAAGTCTCGGGATGTGTAATCAACTAGTGGGCCAATGGCATCTAACAATCCGACTAGTTTCCAAGGGGCATACTTTGTTTTTAAGACTTTATGCATCGTGGTATCCTGACTTTCTCCCAGGGCATTCATTACCCCTCAGTCTGACATTTACGGGCAAAATTTTCCAAGAGGCATCTCCGTGACCTGCATATGGTGGGCGGGGTTTGAACCTCAGGACCTGCGGGAATAAGGGAAGAAGTAGAAGATCATGCTTCAGACCTCAAGACCTCCACATTTAGTCGTCGGTCTTGCTCGAATCAACAGTGCCCTGGCCGGTGGGTTCTCGGCCGCGCCGCCGGTCATCACTAGCTTCCCCGGCCCGCTCGCTGGGGTGACATGTTCTGCCGGGACGTACATGTCCGCCATGCGCCGTAAATCATGCAATATGTGCGTGGGGGTTCATGGCCACGGCGTCTCATGTTCATCCGTGGAGGGGGGGACATATACCACTTCCAGGCAAACAAAACAAGGGAGGGGTAAACATCTCAAGATGAATGACATTGGTGTTCCGCCTAAGTGGGTATTTGCATCGACCCTACCGCGCCGCAGAAAAGCAGGCTCTTGTTACACAATATAGGCAGATAGGTTGACTGATGTCGCTTTCTTTTCGTTTTAGTTGTGGCATTCCGATAGAGGCACATACTGTACATGAACCACGGCGGTTCCTCGTAATTTATGTGACGAGCCCGCTTTCTTTCCGCGCGGTTCTACTGCCGTAAATCCTCAGCCCTTGAAGATTCCGATGACGAATGAAGAAGAAAGAACAAAAAAATTGCCTAGAAAACCGAATCCGAGAACCGCTTGACGTATCCAGCCGCGCCTAGGAACCGCCGCACCAGGTGAGCCGTCATATGCCCGCGCCATTTCCCCCTTCTCGCATGGTATTATCAGGAATTGGCCGCAGCTGGCAACGCCAGTTGTGCCACGCTGCAAAGACGCCATCTACCTCCCCGTGAATCCCCTTTATAGCTTTCTTTCCGCAACGATTTCTACGCCTTGACGGCCTCCTTGGTGGCCTCCTTGGCGTCCTCCTTCACTTCCTGGACCAACTCGCCGGCGGTCTTCTTCTGGGAAGACTGCCAGATGAGAATACGAGAAACCTGGACAACACCGACGACACCGAGGAAGAAGTTGACAGCGGCAAGACTAACGAATAATTGGTCAGTTTAATCCGGGTATTGAGGAAGCTGGTGGTACGAACAGGTAGTTCTTGGGCTTGATGATCAAGCACCAACGAGTCCAGATGATACCAGTGGCAGTCAGAGCACCGTTCTGGGTGAGGGAGAGCTTCTCAGCAGGACGGGCGAAGTCGGCAACACCGGCAAGGACGAGAGCCCACTACACATGACGGCCATGGTTAGCGAAGAATCCCACATGTTAACCGTCCACCATCCATCAGCGACATTTTGGCAGATGCCCGTAGCTTCAACCAAGATGCGAGTCGAGCTCCGACATCGCGGCCGGACACTGCAAGGGAGACATCGGGGGAAACTTCAGCGCGCAGAGAATCGTACCTTCATAACAGGGGCCCTGCGCAACGAGTTCAGTTAGCACACTTGCCCTCGGGAATTGTTCCGGAACTGAAGGACTTACCAGAAGTGCACCGTCTTGAGGCCGACAGGGCTGTCCCACATGCGCTTGAACCAGCTCTGCTGGGCGCCCTCAGCGGAGGCAGAGGAGCTCTGCCACCTCTTGGAGCTCTCGCGGAACTGGGCGCGGAACTGAGAGGTACGGAAGGCGTTGCGGACCTGGGCGCCGGCGAAAGCCTGCTGGCGGAGGACGGGGCGCGCGGCCTTGAAGAAGTTGTTTGCCGGGGCCATCTTTGCGGATGTATAGCTTCGGTTCCTTCTTTCTTTTTTTTTCTTAGTCGGGGGAACTCGGGTTAGTCAATTGCAAAACTGGCAATTGAAGAAAGAACCTCGATCGCGATGGGGGAGAGGGTGTTAGGAGCGGAGAGGGTTCCTTGGAACGGAATCGGCGGAGGATAGATGGTGGTTGAGTCAAGGTTGAGATAACCGGGAAAGGCGTTGAGGGATTGGGACGTCCGAAAGTCCAGCCAAGCGGGACACAGCTTTTTTGCTGGAAATAATTAGCGTTGCACACACACAGACACCCAGTGGAGGGAACCGTTGCACAGAGCACGCGCCCAGGCGCTGAGGCAAGGCCCGCCAACCGGAGTTAAGCGGGGACAACGTCAAGAAAAAAAAAAAAAAGTGAAAGTGACGGGTGAAGGAAGCACCGACCAAGGAGCGACCGCCTACATCGGGGGGAAAGACTTATTTTATGCACTTGCACAAATCAGAGATCCCCTCTTAGGAGTTCATGCACAAATCAGTATCGAAATATTATGCACTGGCCCGCTTAAACTGCGGCATCTCGTCAACTTCAATCCTCGCCAATTCCCCGTCGCTCCTAGAGCTCCCCAATCAAATCGACTCCAATTGACCTTACAACACCACCCTCCGTCCATCCGCCGCCCGCCAGCGCAACAACATGTCGAGCAAGTACGCATTCACCAAGGCCCTCAAGGAGGTGCGCTTCCTCTTCTGCCAGACTGGCGAGCAGAGCGCCGCGACCCGGTAAGTAACTTTTTTGGACAATGGAATCCATTATCGGGAGCCCAGCCCTCTATTCAATCTCGAGAGCTTCCTTCTGCCCCCTCCATTGCGACACATCAATTGCTAACACATCACCTCGCAATAGCTCCTTCCTGACGAGAGCGTACCCCACGATGAAGAAGAACAACCCCCAGACCCCCATCCTCATCCGCGAGGCCGCCGGCACGCTACCCAAGATCTACGCGAGATACGGTTAGGATGCACCCTCACATTGATCGATGCAAAGACTGCAAAAGGGCTGGACATGCTAACAAAGTGCTGCGCAAATAGAGTTTGGTGTCGAGAAGAGCCAATCGCTGGAGGGTGAGCATATGTCCCGCCGCATGATGGATGGTTTCCTAAACAAGAGCTAACTTGGCGCTACAGGCCTTTCTGACAAGCAGATCGAGGAGACGGTTTCCGGCTTGGTCAAGACCGATGCATGAAGAAATGAGGCGGGGTCCATTTTGAACGAATAGAAGAGGGGAAAAAGAACTTTGTATCATCACCTTGTTGGGAGAATACCGATCCATCTCGACGTCCGAACTGAGCTGCCCGCAACGCCAATGATGTGATACCCTTGCTCCGACCTAGCGTGCAGATAGTACCAATGACGGATGACGCGTGGATTGTCTGTGGCCCGTATGGAACAAAATGACTCCTTGGATTGACATCGACGTTGCTGGGTTTCTCCAGACGAGATACTGAGATTTTGTCTCGGCCATGTACACTATGACTCGCTGATGCTGGCGGTCATCTACCTCGATGCTAATAATCTACTAAAGCTAACGCAGGGGAGACTTACTCATCAGATAACATAGACCCAGCTCACCACAGCTTGGAACTTGCAGACAGACAGTAAGGGGTTTGGCGATTCATTTACTGACCGACCCGGAACTCAATGGGCAGATACAAGTACGCAATGAAGAGTTTTTGCAAGGACCAAACATGGAACAGTTCCCTATTATCCTTCCGATGTTTGTTATTCGCCCATCAATCCACGAAATTTCAAACCTGCAATCTATGCGAGGCTGCCTCTGTCGTGAGGGCTCATTGGGTTCAGCTTAGGGCAGTTGGGAGCATGGTCACGCTCGAAAAAATACAGCAAACAATGACCAAAAGTTGCCAGTAAATAGGGCGGAGACTCCAAAAGTTTCGGACGACAGTTTATAAACAATTTGTATTTTTGGCCGACTACCTGTCCAACTAACAAACAAGCTACCTCCCATACTCCTACATGGCACCAGCTCTCTGCACATGGTACCCACCAACTTATACCCCTTTGCTCCATAACAGAGCCCTTCTCTACTGCTTGTCGACTTCCTCATTGGAAACTTGTCCTCCAGTAGTGTGGCCCTTGGCGGAAATAGCAGTTGCACCAGTTGCCGTGGATGCGGGACGCACCTTACCCCAGGTGCTGGCAGCTGGAAGAACTGAGTCGGATGCACGTCCGGCCTGGACCGATGGAAAGTCTTCTTTGTTGCTTGTCGAAGCAGTTCGGTTGTTCGGGCTCGAAACATAGCGGGGCAAGAGATGGTTCTTGCCCTGCGTCTTTTGCTTCTTAGGCGAGTGATGGTTTTTGCTGTTGCCCTGTTTGGCATAAGAGTGATGCTGCTGAGACTGCATTCTACCGTTCGGCTGCTTGGATTTACCCTTAGTCAAGGTCCGCTGGTTGCGCTGCAACTGCCATAATCCGTCATCATCGTCGTTTTCAGGAGTAAGCTTGTCGTCATGGCTAACTGGAGTAGTGCTCGCATTTGAATCCGTAGGAATGATTGCTGTGTCGCGCTTCGTCACGCCTTGAACAGATTTCTTAGCATTGTCTGTATCTGGCTTTGTGGGTGAAATGTCTGGTGTAATTGTACGAGAAGTGGCGATTGATGTATCGGAGACATTCCGCTGATGTTGCATGGGCCTCTTCAACGGAATCGGTGCAAGCTTCACAGAGGAGAGCGGCATTGTGGAAGGACCGGAAGATGGAAATTCCTTGGCTTGAGGATTGAGAAGAATAGTAGTATTTGAGGCTTCAACATGGTCTGCAGCTGGCGGTTCTGGAGTGAAAGCCGTGGGCATGGTCTCTTTACCCGAGAAAGGCGTCGCGGGGGTCGAAGCCATGCCTTGTGAACCATCACAAGAGCTATGCTCCTTGGCGGTAACGAAGCTTGCAGCTGAAGCGAGAGCAGTGTCAGAGGGTAAGGTCGCGTCAACGTCTGAAGCAGATGAGCCTGCAAGCTTCAGTTCTAGGAGCGGTTTCTTCCGAATCTTAGACATGCGGAGCGAGCCGCCAGCGTTGGCGCGGTAATCTTGACTTGTGGTCTCTGCAGGTTCATTGGCCTCTGATGGCTTGAGGCCATTCCCAAGATACTCTGTGAGGTTTTTAGGTGAAGGATTCTGAGGGTTCTCTGGCTCGAGAACTCTCATGCTTCGACCCCTACTCAATATGAACACGACCTGGGTTTGCGAGCCCTGCTCCTCGGCAGTGCCTTCGGTCGTATGATTGTCAAAGTTTTGGGAACCAGTCGCCTCAGGCGGCTCGCTAACAACGGCCGTTTTCTTTTTCTTCTTGTTGCTCTTGCCCTTTCCTTTGTACTTCTTCTCAGAAAGGCTCTCAGGGTCGGTTGCTGGCTGCACATGTTGCTGGTCACTTTTGAGTGACTGCAACCCGATGGATGCGTCTAACAAGGTGTCGAGTGCATGTCCCGCTTCCTTTGCCGATTTTGTGGACTGAACGGGCTGGAGGTCGAATATATCGACTTGCTCAGGGTTTTCTGGAGTGAAAACTTTGCTATAGTAACCCCTTCCGCGAGGAGGACTTGGCAAACCTTTTCCGACCTTCGATTTCTCGGAAGAGGTGTTCACGAGTGCCTTCTCTTGGGACTTCGATGTTCTCACCGTTTTGGAAGTTCCAGTATCTTCGCAATCGCATGACTCGAGTGGCGTTTCTGATGGTGCGGCAAGTGCAAGTAGTTCGCTCTTCTTGAAAGCGATGGCAGCATTTTCCTGGCCCATAGTAGGTTTCTTGATCACTTGGGAGCTCGAGTGCTTCTCTTTCTTTGGCGTAGCAGGGAGGTGGACCCGGATAGCCTTACCCTTGCCATTGTTCCCCAAATTCGTGACGCCTGGAGGGCTATTTCCCTCATCGAATGGCTCAGAATCTGGCAAGGCCTCTTCTGAAGGAGGTTTAGACTGCGACTCTGCTTCGGCAGGAGGTTTGACGGTCTGGGGCTTTTGAAGCATGAACTGCTCCAGAGACACTTGAATTCTGGCATCTCGATGATGGCGAACAGTACTAGTGCCCCGTTGCCAACTGTTGCTTTTGGCAGGAGAAGTTCTACTATGATAGATTGCGTTGCCGTACTTGGAGTGGTGCATTGCGCCAATCCGGACTCTGGATTGGAGCTCTTCACAATCAAAGTCATTTGTCGCCACAACTTCTCTGATGCGGGATTCATCGGTGTATCTGCGTGAGGACGTCAGTATAAATACCTGCTGCAACATCGCGTACGACAACAGTAAGGGTTCGCCATGTGAGAAGGCGGCATAGGGATGAAAGGAAGAGCAACGCACCTGACGATACAACCCATACAGTCGGTCTTATTTACAAATGGCAATGGGACAACCTTTTCGACTTGTCCCCATTGAGACATGACTCTTGTCAGTATTCTATGACGATTTTCCGACGGCAGCTGCGGAGTTGGACTGAGATTGACATAGACAGATCGTTCACGAACTTCGCAATTCGTGCAGTTGCAAGGGGTGTATGACCACTTGTCGCTAGCAACTTTTCCCTGGTTCACGCAGTTTGGATCTTCCTTCGATGATAGCCGAGAGAAAGCTCGCGGTCGAATGCCTTTGACCGGAGAACGACGGAAGACAGGACCATGAATCGATTCATCTGCATTCTGAACCTTTTCCCAGCCTTTAGACTCCCCACGATATCGCTGCCGACCTTGGCTTGCATTGTCAAAGCTAGTTGATGATCTTGCTGACTCACTTCGCCATTGTTGTCGCTCATTGTGATGCGCGGGAGTTGTAGCAGGAGGAGGAGCAGGTGGTGGCACTGATGTGACAGCTGAGGGGTGCGTGGACGAAGGAGCCTCAGAGTGGGAAGGAGCCCAGGACCCGAGGGAAGGCCGCTGCGTGCCACCAGGGCCAGCTTTGTATGGTTTGTAATCGCCATGTCCAGCGGCAGAAGAGTCATGGCCTGATTCAGCATGGTTTACATCCGTCTGAGGTTGCTCGTTTTGATTTAACAAAGCAAGTGTCGAACGAGCAACAGGGGGTTGATAAGCAATGCTCTGCTTTTTGGTTCCACTGACGACCAGGGGGGCTTGTGACGTCTGGCCAGTATTTGATACAGACTCGGGAATGCGGCCAATACCGCTATCGGAAGCTGGATTGCCAGATGATACTAAGGACAGCAATGATTGAGGAGGTGCCATACCGCTTGGCGTATCGGGAACGGGTTGACCGGCTTTAAGTTTATCATTTATGTCAGCGGAAATCACGGATAGCAGAGAAGGTAAATGAGGGCGGCTAACTAACCAAGCCACTGCTGAACAGTGTGATGATGCCACTGGGCTCCAAGGCTGTTGGCGGGATATTTAGTTGGCTGCGCCCAGTTCTTGCCATGCAGTTGAGCCTGCCTGTGAACCAAAGCGCTCTTCAGAAGCTCGACGCTGACAGGTTCCATTCCTTGGAGCTCCTTCACATCCTCCGCGTTGAATAAACTGAGAACATGCTCCCAGTTTCTAAAGCTCCAGAGTTTCTGCTTGTTCACCTCTTTGGTGACCCATTCATCGCACCAGATGCCGACCTCAAAGGCAATACTTTGATGGAGGCCCTTGATCAAGATCTGGTTCTCGTGGTAAAGATGCGTGATCAGATTCCAGAGATTCAAGGCGCCGTGAAAGTAAATATCGAAGCAGTCAAAATAATCGTACAGGTCTTCCCAACACTCAGGCTTTTGCATGGACTTCATAGCATGCCAATACTTCTTGCGAATGGCGTTGGCGTTGCCCTGAATCTCCTCAGCGCTCCATAAGTGAAGCTCTCGTGTGGGAACGACGTGAGATAGGCCGCGGGTCGGAAGTGAGCCGCTTTTGCTGCTGAAAAGAGCCTTGACTTCTTTTGCAGGTGTCAGATAGAATGACACATCAAGGTAGTCCTCAATGTACTTCTGGGGAATAGTGCCATCGGTGGGTTTAACCACCTTGTAGTTGGGAGGGATGCCATTGGGATACATGAATTGATGAGTTCTTTCAGCGTTCCTAGGTCCTGGTAGCATATTGCTGTTCATCGCGTGGAGCTCAGGCTGATACGCCATCGACACTTGATCCCCATTCCGTGGTCCAATTTCATGATGAGGGACTGGGCCTCGCGGCACTCGATCATAAGCGCCTGACTGAAAGCGCCGGTTTTGGTAAGATCCTACACCTCGATAAGGGGGCGCCATGGCGAAGAACAGGTAAGTTCTAGGTCTGAAGTTGAGTATGTCAATGGAAGGTGTGTTTTGGGAGGGAAAGAATGGATGAAATGGGATGATAGGAGGTAGGGAAAGTGAAGACGAAAAGGGCAGTGATGGAAATGGGGAGGGAGGAAAGAAGGAAGATTGAATTGTTGTGATGAAAAAGAAAGAAACTTTGTAGGAGAAAGAGAATTACACGGGAGGTTGCCTGGATGAAGTAAAAAGGGGTTATATGTGAGAAGGCAGGCAAAACTGAGGCAGGAACGAGGGCAGGAAATGAGTATACCAAGAAGGTGAAGAGCTACCTAGCCACTAAGAGTGGCACTTGCCTCCTCAAAGAGACTACACATAAGGCAGCTCTTGGAGGGTGAGGACAACCAAGTATCTACAGACTACAATGGCAACAGCGAAGGCCATCGACAACAACAATAATACAGCCTCCTTCCTCAGGATCACAGGCTGGAAGTGCCCATTATAGACACGTCACAGGCGGACGTTCTTCACAAACATTTTGTGAAGATTTCAGGCTGCTATGATAGAGAAGAGTCAAAAGTGAGATTTGTCTTCATTTGTTTCTTTATTGCTGTGAAGTAGCCTTGCTTTGGGACGGATATCCCTGCCCCAGCTCAATTGCGGTGGGATGAATGTAAAACCGCATCAAAACCATCGCCAACTAGTTGCCTAAGCCCGTCAAAGTGCCATTTAACTTGGCGGCCATGTCCGAAGTGATTGGCAGCCCAACTGACTGAGAAAGAGTGTCACCACCTGATATTAAATTGCAGCAGTTGTAGAACTACCCAATCGCTAGAATCAGGCTCCCCGGAATGGACTGACTTCATGAAAAGGCGCATCGTTATCAGAGTAAAACAAATAGGGAATCACTTGAGAAAAAACATGTCCATCATTCAACTAATGTATCAGTTGCAAGAAGAGTGTGGTATTTCATTATACAAGGGGAATAAAGGCACTGCTAAGACGTCAAAGAACACTTGTCTCTCAGTTCTTGTTCAGATCGTTGAGCATCTTAAGAATTTCAGACTCGTTGTCCCCAGCTACTGCCTTTCCATTGTTCCAATCCACAACCTGCGCGTCTCAGTCAGTTGGGTGTTCATGCGAGGTATCCTGTCTCAAGACTAAAGACAGAAGAAATAAAGGCGAAGGGCACATACCACAGGTCTCTGGAAGTTGTCCGTGCTCTGCTGGAATTTCCTTAGAGCTTCCTGCTCGGTGGAGGCGCCCTTGATAATGGAAGGGATCTTGCTCTTTCCGACGTACTCCAAGATGGTCTTGACCTGGTCGGCGGTGGGGCTGTCCTCGGTGATGTTGAGCTCGAATTCGGCGCGGGCCTTCTTAGGGTTGGTCTGCACGCTATGATCGCTGGCCTGATCCTCGGTCGCACCAGCGGTAGCGTTGGCGGACACCTGCTTGAGGATGTTGGCAACCCTCACGGAGGCGGGCGAGCTCGCCTTGTGGAAGAGGGTGACGATGTCGAGTGTCTTGTGCTAGGTGGTATGTTAGCCTCCCATAGTACTACCAATCAATTGAGGGGTAAATTCCTTACAAAGCGGAACATTTTGGCGGGGTTACTGGAGAGCTTTGTGGTGGTGGTGTGGTTTGTTTGGGGGGAGCTCTTCCTGTTGCTGAAGTGCAAGCGTGCGGTATGAGGTGATGAAGTCGGCAGTGGAGCTACTGGAGCTCCCTGAATTTACGTCATCTCTCCGGGTGCCTTGTCTGTAGACGCCAATGCCGAATTAGCGCACAGGCGGGGGTCTGTCGCGCTTGACCCTGGCAGTCCATCTGCACGCCGTGGGTGGCAGATGCGCCACATATACATGCAGCGAGAAGCTGGAATAGTGGCTCTGAATGAGGTACGTTGGAATAGAGCCCCATCCATCTGCCTGCCCCTCACCATGGGTCCTGAACTTGCTGCAAAGAGATGATCGACTTGATCGGGCATTGACTGTGGCGCCTCAAAGTTACCACAGTTCTGCTTGCTTAAGCGGATACTGGCCGCATTGGGATCATCTCCGTTGGACGTAATGAATGATTGCAACTGGAAGGTTTTTTCAATTTTTTTTTTTATAGTCAGCTTCAGTGGCAGATGAAAGGCGTTGGAGATTTACAGGCACAAAACCATCGACAACCAACACCTCAATTGGCCAAAAGCCGTTAGAAGGAGCCGCTTCTTCAAGCTTTTTGAACCGTTGACTCTCATTCGCCGTGATGCTACAGGGGTCATTTCGATTGAAGCACTTCAGGGACCAAACCAATCTCAATTCATCAACGCCCAACTTCAGCATTGTGGATAGGGCTGACAATCGACATCGAGGATGCGACTGCAACACCAAGGCATTTTTCCATCCAGGTGCATCGCCGATTTGCCATTTAGTTTGCCAGAATCAGATCTCGTCAAGGCTTTTTGCGGAGAAAATGACCATTATATGACGTAGGCTGGAGTTTTACTCTGTCTGAGCTGAGAACCGCCGCTGAAGACGTCATGACGTAGATACAATGAAGTAAATGGTGGGGTGCTGAGCGAGCAAGAGCTGGCTGGTGCATGTTCCCTTCATATATGTAGAAGACGCCAGCTGCTGGCTCATCTGTTGTTCTAATCATATTATTCTTCTTCACTCAACATCACAAAAGCAATCACAAGACCGACTTCTACTTTGATCAAATTCGATAAACACAACAATCCCATCACAATGTCAGGATACTCCAACGTCGGTACCAGCGGTGTCTACGAGGCTGGCGACCAGAGGAACGTCAAGAACTCGGAACTTCAGGACGCCGACCGATTCCACGAGGGCAACATCCACTCCCACGTTGCCAACGACTCTAGTGAGTTCATGCACTTGTCTAAAGGGATTCCAACACCTAACCCATGTTCAGAGGACCAGAGATCAATTGCCAACAGACTCGCCGCTGAGGAGGTAAGATGACAAACACATGAGTACCAGCACAAGAAGCTGTAACTAACACCATCACAGAAGAAGGCCAAGGAGGGAGATGAAGGTGATGACGCCGAGACTCGCCAGTCTAAGATTGATCCCACTCTCCCCGTAAGTTGTCCTCATCGAATTGTTTCAAACACTCCTGACCAAGCATAGGCCAAGATGCACGGTAACGAGCCTTCAGCAGGCGCCAAGGTCGACGCCCAGCTGCAGGCTGAAGATGAGGAGCGCCTCAGACAGAAGGGCAAGGCATGAATGATTGTACGATAATGTTTAGCGTTGTTTGGGAGGATGAGCATAGATGACTTAGCCACAATATTACGAATTTTGATGGTACAACAGCGATACATTTTGATACTCAAGGCAAACAACATTGACACCCAATCACATGACACTTGAGGCAGTAGAGAATTAACATTGAATGAAGGCAAATTCCATTGAGTAAGAATAAACTAACTAGTGATACTGGTACCTATTGCCAAGTTAGCAACGAATATCTCAAAAAAGATCAACAATCAAGAGAGAGCAGAGGGTAGGAGTCAGAATATGTAAGAAATTGAATATCATGTAGGCAAACGATCTAGCCGCTCCGGCGAAAGAGGGCCATCGAATGAAATCAATCGCAAATTATTCTCATCATTCGATGAAGGGTAAAATTCATGAGAGAAAATATAACATACCTTGAATGACGCGTTAGCATCGCGTTTTTTGTGTATTTTTTTGTTTGTTTGTTTTCCAGCTCGTAGCTGTTGTGTTGCGATGGTGAAAGAAAAGAAGAAGGAAGCTTGTGCATCAACTTGAAGATATTAAAAATTGCTGTCGTCAGTGGGGCGCGGCAGGAATGGCCTGGCCATTGACCGCCCGGCTAAGCCAGATTGAGCCGGCTGATTGTCGGATCGGCAAAACCAAGGTCCCGGGTTGGTCCTTCCCCAAAAATCAGTTAGGGCTCGATTTTGACTCGCACACGCAATAACCGAATCGATCAAAAAAAGTGCGTCTGGCAGGAACCCTCAGGACTACATCACTAACCATAGCAGCACATCTTCGACGTCTGGTAAGTTGACGCGCCGCCCCTCCCTCCCCAGACAAGACAAATAAAACTCCAACCACGCAAGCATCTCGATCGCATCCGATTTTTCTGACATCGCATTTTCCGAACATCTAGACCGACCAGCAAAATGGGTGACGCTACCATCGAGGGTTCCAAGTGGCGACTGGTCGAGGTCGGCCGCGTTGTCCTGATCCAGGGCAACGGCCCCTACGCCGGCCGTCTTGCGACTATCGTCGAGATCATCGACCACAAGCGCGTACGTTCAATCCCCCTCGCGACGAGTTCCGATTCCGAGTTCGCATGATGTTGGAGGACAAGCATGGAAATTGACATTGAATGATCAAATAGGCTCTGGTCGATGGCCCTTCCTCAGACGCTCAGCTCGCCGTCCCCCGTCAACCCATCTCCCTCTCTAACGCCCTCCTCTCCTCGCTCGTCGTCGAGAACCTGCCCCGCGGCGCCCGCACCGGCACCGTCAAGAAGTTCTGGGAGAAGTCCGAGATCGACAAGAAGTGGAAGGAGACCAACTGGTTCAAGCGCAGCACCCAGATTGAGCGGAGAAAGAACCTTACCGACTTCGACCGCTTCAAGGTCCTGCGCCTCAAGAAGCAGCGCCGCTTCGAGCAGCGCAAGGAGCTCGCCAAGATCAAGGCCGCCGCGTAAATTCGGAATTCACAAACGCCTTGCGATTGGGGAAATCGGTCGGAAAGGAAGGGTTGACTTTGAAGATTACGGGGCTGGTTTAGAGCGTGACAGCATGGGAAATCCGGTTTGGTCTGCATCTCATAGCAGCATTGGGTTGCTGCACTTCTCTTTTGCTCCGTAACTGGAAGGGCTGTATGTCACATTCATCATCAATCATGATGACCGGCGTCAAATACGGAAATTCAGAGACACAAAAATGAATTCATGGCACAATCAAGATCAAAAAAATAGACTGGTTGGCTTGTGATGGGGACATGATGGAGTAAAAGTTGTTTAATCGGGTTTATTGAGACCTCTGTAAATCATCATCTTGGCATTTTGACGTGTGCCTCCGCGGCTGTATCTCCACCAAACCACCGTAAATGTCAATTGTCCATACCCCTGCCTCACCAGGCTGTCCAGCCTTGCGAAAAGTGAAAGTAGACAGCCAGAATGTCATCCAAGTGTTGTGGCCTCGCAGTGCAGTTGAGTACATCCGGGGATCTGAACGGGGAAAGTAGTATGCTTACATAATCTACTTTAGTCACCGGTGCAGAGGTGCTCGGCTAACCCTAGAATTTCTCTGCGATCTTTCCTACAAACCACAAAGACACCGAATAATTCCCCCACGTCGTGTTAAGGATCCCTCGTTCTATACTTTGGTAAGTGCTGCTGTTCCCCTGCTGAAATTTTGGCCCAAATTCCCATCCGATCGGAGTACGGCTGTTGCGCACATTTTTGTGCGAAAAAGCTGCAACGACCAATTTCCCTCCCACACAGACTGCGGCACACAGCTCGCCAATTCAGCTCCTTGCGCGATCCTAGCTCCCACCACGCAAACGCAAAAAAAAAAGAGAGCCAACCCCGCAGCTAACAACCCACGTTATAGTCGACAAAATGGCCAACCCCCGCGTTGAAGAGCTTCCTGATGACGAGACCAAGAAGGTCGCCGTCGAGGAGCACGAGGATGACAGCTCCGACTCCGAAATTGAGGGCGAGGACGCTGAGGGCCTTCCCTCCGGCTCCACCGCCGTCATTCACTCCCGCAACGAGAAGAAGGCCCGCAAGGCTCTCGAGAAGCTGCACCTGACGAGAGTGCAGGGCATCACCCGCGTTACCCTGCGCCGCCCGAAGAACGTGAGTTGAGATCTGAGAAGGATGTTGGGTGGTGGTGGTGTTGGTGCATTGTGGAGGGGTAATGAGGCTAACCCATGTCCACGCAGATTCTCTTCGTCATCAACAACCCCGAGGTCTACAAGTCCCCCAACAGCAACACCTACATGTAAGCCGTACCGCCGACTACTGCAAAAGGAGGACGGACTGTAGCTAACCCATGGAAACAGCGTCTTCGGTGAGGCTAAGATCGAGGACCTTAACGCCACTGCCCAGCAGGCTGCCGCCCAGCAGCTCGCTGCTGCCGGTGGTGAGCACGACCACGCTGGCCACAGCCACGCTGAGCCCAGCAAGGCCGCTGACGCCGACGCCAAGAAGGAGGAGGAAGAGGATGACGGTGAGGAGGTCGACGCTGAGGGCATCGAGGACAAGGACATCGAGCTCGTCATGACCCAGGCCAACGTTAGCCGGAAGAAGGCCATCAAGGCTCTGAAGGAGAACGACAACGATATTGTCAACTCTATTATGGCATTGAGTATTTAGCGACATCCTTCTTGGGTGAAGATATCTCTTTCTCGAATTCTCGACGCGGCAAACACACAAAAAGGACGGATATGGGTTGGCATGTACAATTCCCTTGGAGTTGACTCCGAAAAGTCTCGTGCGCAATGAGAGGTCATGATAATTGACGAGCTGTCCGTTGCCTTTATTGTCTTTTCTTCGTGATGTGTCACAATGTGAACATGCTTTATTAAGCAATTGAGATCTGTATTGATTTTATGGCGATAAATTGGTAGAATTGCTTCAATGCATCAAGCCGTGAGCTCTACCCCTCGATCCCATCTTTTACTCCAACCGAATTCGCAGCACGGAAGCTCTGCCCCACTACTACCACCCGTTCGCTTCCGCGCAACCAACTCAATCAGCCGTGCATTTGTCACGTGACCCAGCGTGTGACCCAGTCCCGGCTCTTTCTCTGCCTCTCCGTTCGGCAAAGTCAATCAAGCATCCTCACGACGACGCAACTCCCTCTCCACTCCCCCGAACCCTCAACACATCCTCCAAAATGGCCGCAGTACGTATTCCCCATCGAAATCGACTTTTCTCGAGTTACCGATTGATGCAATTCCGCGCATCGGCTTCAATTGGGTCGCTCAGTCGCGCCCGCCTCCCTCGGGGATCTCTGAGCTAATTTCTCTCCTCTCCTCCAGCGAAGCGCAGCTCTCAAGCTCGACTGGGCCAAGGTCACCAGCTCCCTCAGCCTGCGCGGCCAGACCGTCGCCTCTCTCCAAGCCTTCAAGAAGCGCAACGAGGACGCCCGCCGCAAGGTCCAGACTCTGTCGGAGCTCCCCACGACCGTCGACTTCGCCCACTACCGCTCCATCCTCAAGAACCAGGCCGTCGTCAACGAGATCGAGAAGCGCTTCACTGCCTTCAAGCCCGCTACCTACGACGTCTCTCGCCAGATCAAGGCCATCGAGGCTTTCGAGGTTGAGGCCGTCAAGAACGCCGAGGCCACCAAGAACAAGGTCGACCTGGAGCTCAAGGACCTCGAGAAGACCCTGACCAACATCGAGACTGCCCGTCCCTTCGAGGACCTCACTGTCGTATGTTCATTTACGGGAAAATCGGAGAGATGGAGGGATGCTGATGATGTGTACAGGACGAGGTCTCTGCCGCCGAGCCCTCCATCGACGAGAAGACCTCCCAGCTCGTTTCCAAGGGCCGTTGGTCCGTGCCGGGATACAAGGTACGATCAAACAATTCGCTCGATATTGACAAAGCTAATACCCTCTGCAGGAGAAGTTCGGCGATCTTTCTGTGCTATAGACGCGCTCGCTCCTCGATTCCCTTTGTGTACTCTAGCATTGTAGATAGGCGATCGGTCCAAGGGGACGGAATCAACCCAGCGGACACTAATATCGACCTTCTGTACCAAGCCACTCATTGCACAGACTCGTGGTTTTGTTGTCATTGGACGCATTTTTCCAAGTTCACTGTGTTGACCGCGGTTGAATTTTTCCGTTTCGGAGTTCCTCGGCGGTAAACGCCGTCATGGCCCTCAGCCGAGCTGGATTAAGTGATGCTTTGCCAAATCCTTTTGGAATCTCTCCAGAGCCTCGGAATTAATTTCTGAGCCAACTTGAATGAGTTTTATGTCGTACAATCGCCAGTTCTTTTCAATGCATGATCAGAGGCTAAACCTGTACATCCGGCAACCCGGCATCCCGGTACTACTGCCGGATAAACGGGATCTTACCGCGACAACAACAGCCCGGAATCACCGACTTTTCCCCACCCCGACGACGGTCTAGCTGAAGTCATAAAGCGGACGTTGCCTCATTGTGAGCTCCAAGTGTCATTTGTGCTCCAGTAATCCGATGCCCTTCCGTAGCAGTGCTTATTTCCCCCATCTAAATTTCACCAGCTTATGCTTCGACGTTTAGTTCAACGCCACACATCACCACAATGGACAGTCTAAGTCATCTTGTCCTCGACCAGGCACCCCCTCTAGACCCGGCCTGGCTCCAGCATGAAGAACGAGCAAACCTCAAAGCGCCGAAGAAAGTCTACGCGTCTCCCCTCGACCGCCAACCCGTCTACGCGGAGGAATGCAGGCGGTTGAATGGGAGCATGCTAGCGCCTGGTTCGGCATACCACCACCTCTCCCGCATCTCTACCCAAAACCTCACCGCCGCGTCCAGCATAGACTCAACCACAATCCCCATCATCCGATTTTTTGACGCCGAGAAGGGAGACGAGGGCATTGTGGTTGTCTACTTTCACGGAGGAGGCTTGTACGTCGGAGAAGCGGACAGCGAGGAGCTCTCGTGCAGACGGATCGTGCACGATGTGCCCGGGGCCGTTGTATACTCCGTCGGATACAGGTTGATGCCTGCGTTCCCTGCTTCGACCTGCGTCGCGGACGCGGCTGACGCTTTCGCGCACGTCAGAAGGCTTCATCCTACGCAGAAAATCGTTCTTGTGGGGTCTTCCAGCGGTGGACAGCTTGCCACTGCGGTGTCGCAACTCGCGCCAAAGGGAAGTTTGAAAGGCGTGGTTCTCAGATGTCCTGTGACTTCTGACGGCGGCAGTTCTCTCGACTTTGTTCCGTCTCGTCTGCGGTCTGCGTATACATCTGCCTCGCCAACGTTTGAGACCAGCTTGTTGGGAGTTTTCAGGAGGGCTGTGCCCAGGGATGGACTGGAGAGGATGCCGTTGGAGATCGAGGCGGATGAGCTGAGAGGGTTGGAGTTGCCGAGGACTTGGATTCAGGTTTGTTCTAATGACACGCTGTATTCTGATGGAGTTTGCTATGCTATGGCGTTGAAGGAGGCTGGGGTCGAGGTGCGGGTTGAAGTCGTCAAGGGTTGGCCGCATACTTTTTGGTTGAAAGCTCCTGGGTTGGAGCGGGCGGAGGCAGCTGAGAGAGAGATGATAGAGGGGTTGCGGTGGGTTTTGGAGGGGTAAATTGCGTAGATTGATCGTAGAAATAATTGATTCATGAGATTATTTTTGAACTTTTGATTTGTGAGATTGGGTTGTGTAGAAAGATGGGAGAAAGAGAAGCGGCCCTTCATGTCGTATGAGTTATACCCGTAAAATTGGTGTTTTTAAATAAAAGAAATGTTGAATGCCTTGAATGAGACCTTGCCTTTTATTTAATCGCTATATTATCGATCTGGGAAAGACACCAGAATGTTGTTCAACCTTTTAATAGCTCCCTTGTTGCTGATTTTTCTCCTCTTTCATGACTTTGACCACCATGGGGCTGGTGAAGAGTGGATATATTCCAAGAGACTCTTCAGTGGTCTTTAATGGCAAGAATTATTTTGAGAATCAGTAAGCATACAGTCAATCACTCGATTTGTAATAAAGTTGAAACAGGTATATTCTCACGAGACCCTTAAATCGTTGTTCTTTTGCAAAAATGAAAATCTGAGATGGCATTTAACTACAATTTGTCACCAACTGTTTCACTATTTTGCACTTAGTCGATGTTTTTGTAGACTTGCTTCCTCTCTAGGGGGCTTCCTCCTTATACTCGAGGGCTCAAATCGACATCCGGATTAGCTTCCATCAGCTGTCTGATATAACGCTGAATTTCTAGAATTGGTCTGAGTAAATAAAAATTACTTTCTGCATTGCTTTTTGATATGCTCATGTAACCTTTGACACTATTTGCCTTCCGTTTACCATTGCTCGCATCGCATATTGTCCATGTGTACCTCGTTTCCATTCCCCTAGTTGCTCCTGCCTTCGTAGCTCAACTGTTCTTTCCATTTCTTCCGCACCATAAGACAACAGCCTTCTGACCAATTTCCTTCCAACCATAACTAACGCTCACATTCACCACAATTCTTCAGCCTTAGTTTTTACCAACTCAATACCCATTTGGATCTTCCACGAACAGCAACAACATCAGTAATAGCAATAGGGACAACAGTGTTAATATCAGCAACAGCAACACCAACGCCAAATCACAATCACGATGCCTGGTGATGCTCGCAAGAAAGGGGGATCCTACTCCACCAACCCGAGCACTGTGCGTATTCGCGCATACGAGGCCAACTTAAGCCCTGACAGGCTGGCCCTTCGAAAGGCCAAATTCTCCGAGTACCGTTCCCTCCGGGAGGCATGTCTCCGCGCCTCTGAGAAGGATGAATACAAGTCAGAAACCACCCGCGATGGCAAACTTCATCTACTCAGTGTAGCCTGCCATAACAAAATTGCCGAACGGTATGTGATTTTTTTATGGTCCGTTATTGTGGTCTACCTCACAGTGAACTCGAACAGTACGTCTGGAAGTAATGATCAAACGCTGATTGGAAGAATAGGAAGGCTGTCAACAGATATATGTGTGGCACCAACATTAATGAATACGTCATACGCTTCCATGACAGTCGATGGGAGAAACGCCTCAAGGCGGCCAGCAACCCTGAGAATGCAGCAGGTGACATTGCCGGCGATTATCAAGTTGAGAACCCCAATGTTGAGGAACTCCATGCCACTATTGCCGAACAGGAAGAGACCATCATGAAGCTTCTCGAATCTCGGAAAGCCATCACTGAGCAGCTCAACTTGGTCACTGACCAGGTTTCGCATCTTTCCGAAGTCGCCATCATCCAGCAGACACGACTTGATACTGTCGAGGCCAAGGCTCAGAAGGATCGAGAGGCTTTCAAATCGGTTTTGGCGGTACTTGCAGAGTTTGAAGTTTGATGGGCGTCATGGGGGGCATTACATTGGTTTTATTTCATTCTAGGTAGTTTAGCATTCTCTTGTCGTTAGCTCATTCGGTCATGGCGCGTACCGGATGATGAGAATGAAGGAGACGTGTACAGTGTACAATGACAGCACGAGACAATGAAGGCTTAACGAGATTAGTCTCTGTTAACACGAAGGAAATCACATTTTCACAGCCTTGCGCGAGACTTGTGAGTCTTTGAGTGGTAATTGCTGCTAATCAATCTTACACCAGTGGAGCAAGCATTTCGAGCCTACGATTTCACATCAGCCCTGGATAATGCAGCCTTACAATAGTCAGAACGAGCCAGGCTTCATGGATTTGCGTTAAGAAAAACGGCCCGAAGACAAAAAGACAAGGGGATGTCAGATCAGAGCACGCATCTGAGCCAGGATCTGTGGTGCTGGGGTGGGATGTCCCCACCAGACCCCTCAGGGTTGAGGGTCTAGTCTCCGCACCATCAATTTCAGCATTATCAGTCGCACACAACGGCTAGAAATCGCGCACTCTCTCTCCATATTCAATTCCCAGCCCGAGCAAATCAACCATCTCACTAGAGATCCATCAGCGCCGATGGTTTAGTGGTAAAATTCTCCGTTGCCATCAAGCAGCGTCGGGGAGCCGGGGGTTCGATTCCCCCTCGGCGCATTACTTTTGCTCTTCCAGGCCTGTTCATCCCACCGAGGTGAAAGGGCGACATTTTTTTTGTTGCTTGTAATGTCTGGACTGGCCAAGAATAACAGATGCGCAAGTGTTTTACTGTTATGGCTCTGATTGGCTCATTGTTCCAAGACTTACTCGTAGGCTTCGGCCAAGTATCTCCCGACATCTATGACCGGAGTGATGAGTGAGGCAAGCGCTGCCAATCGCTATTTAACATGACATTCGACTTTGAAGATTACCTGAAGAAGCTCTATTCCGGTTCATCGTTTGAGATAACGGTGCTCAGCGGCGGCCTTGTCAATAATACGGTGAGAGCCAGTAAGACATCAGGCGACGCTGAGCACGAGAGCCTCATCTTGAAATATGCGCCGCCTTATGTTGCCAGCGAGGGGCCTGAGATGCCATTCTCCCAGAAACGACAGGTAATGTTGCGTGTTAAAGCCCCGTTCTTGTTGCAAAGGACCGCGCTGACGTACTGATCAGGTCATTGAAGCCCTGATGCTCTCACTCTTGAATGACGCATCAATCTCAGTGGGCAATCTGGCATCCCGCTCATCAGCAACTGTCACTGTCCCTAAGCTTATCCACCACGACCCTGAGCTTCACATCCTCATTCTGGAGGACCTTGGGCCCCTCATCACCCTCTGGGAAACCTTTCTCTCGCAACCATCCCCGCTCACCGTCAGCCTCAATCTACAACCGCTCGGCCGCCGCGTAGGCCGCTTCTTCGCTCACCTTCACCGCCCTTCTTTACCTAGCTCAGTCCGCAGCGCGTGGGGTGACCGTGCAGTCGGGCTGGAGAATAGTTTTACGGATGATCTGGTGTTCGAAGCCGCCGTCCAGCCCGTCCTCGAAAGACTGAAGCAGCAGGATATCCCCAACGCAGAGCAACTTTATGAACGCATCGTAGAAGACTACAGACGACCAAAGTACACGTATACCCCACGCATGGCGATGGGAGACTTCCACACCGGCTCCATCTTGACGAACGCTCTCGCCGACCCCTCTGCCGCTGATGAGCATCTCGCGGCGGTGATAGACTGGGAATTCGCCTCCATCAACGGCCGAGGTGTCAACGGTGACATGGCGCAGTTCCTTGCCTGGGTTCATTGCTTTCTCCTCTCGCTCTCGCCGGGAGACGAGAGGGGACGTCTCGTCGCCGAGGGATTCGTGCGGGGGCTGTGCGCCGCGTATGCCGAGGAGAGTGGGTTGGACCTGGCCGCCGCCGAGGAGGAGACGAGGCAACTCCTTCGATCTGCGCTTATTCTGCACGGTAGACAGATGATTAACGAGGCGTTTGACTGGGATTGGAAAGTCGGGGGGCCCAAGGTGGCGGAGATGGTGCGGGTTGGGGCGTGGCATGTTCAAGTTGCTGGCGAGGGTGTTGAGGATATGATGGGTCGGCATGAAGTTGCTGAGGCTTTGGGGATGGGGATGGACTTGCCTCGGAGCATGGTTTTTGACTTGTTCACTGGTGGTGCGGGAAAAAAGGATTGATGATTGAGGGTTGCCGGTTGAGCGCCACTACGGTTCACTGGAATTGCAGTCGCACACTGCCATCAACCGATAACTCATATCCCTAGGTTGCCGGTGTTTTTATGATTACAAGACCGAGTGAAAAGACAGGCCAGAGCAACGCGGCATTGGCGAAAAACGCAGTTTAGGCTTGAAGAAGCAGAGGTATCATAATCTAGAATCGTCGCTCATAATAATCGTTACATCTAACTTCTCCCCTGCACTTTTGACCCCTGGAAGGCCCTCACGTCCTCTCCTTGTGCTCTCCAAACGCCATCTCCTCATCCGACTCTCCCTTCTTAATCTTCTCCGACACACCGCGCCTCCTCAACATGTCTTCAGTCTCTCCCGGGACGACCCCGCTGTTCCGCTTCGCAATCTGCTGCTGCTCCTGAGCGATGTACTTGGCCGGCCTCGTGGACGACGTCGCATCAGGGTCTCTGAAGACGAAGATGTCGTGGTTCTCGGCGAAGAAGCGGTCGATGTCTTCGAGGGAGCGATCCGCGGTCTCCGGATAGAAGAGGTAGACGATGGGGACGAAGGAGAAGTTAAGAACGGTCCAGATGATGTAAAACTTCCAACCGAGGGAGTTGATTCCGGGAGGAGTGATTTCGACGACCTTGACTTGGGCGTTAGAGACGCGTCGTGCCGGGGTCACTGCGGGAAGCAAGGACATACCATGAAATTGACGATCCAGTTCGTCGCGGTTCCGAGGGCGGCGCCCTTGGTTCGCATGGACAAGCTGTTGATTTCGGTTGGGTAGAGCCAGGGAACACCTAGACAAGTCAGTTCCCGCTACCTTGGGAGCAAGCTGTTATTTTTTGGATGACTTACCCTGCCAGCCGATACCGAAGAAGACGTAGTAAAGGAAGAAGAAGGCAATGGACGCCTTCGCCCACTGAGACTGCGTCTCCGGGGCCAGGCCTGGGTACTCGTTGTACCGGATGCAGATCGTGATGACTGCGTAGCATACGAATTGTCCAAACGCCGCGTCTGTTCCCAAGTTAGAACGTTTTGGCTCGAGCCCCCCACTCACTGGAGTGAAAACTTACACATCATCATTTTCCTGCGGCCCCATCTCTCCACGTTCGGGATGCCGATCAAGCTGAACAAGAAGTAGCTGACGGAGTTGCAGGCGGCCAGCAACCTCGCCGTCTTGTTATCCAAGCCCACAGAGACGATCAGAACGGTAGGAAGGTAGTACGAAGTGACGTTAATGCCGCCGAGCTGCTGCATCGCTTGCGTACCGATACCCAGGAATATACGGCGGAGAGTACATGTCCCGGCTGTCTCGCCAGTCTTGCCCCTGAAGAGGTCCGACCAGGGGACGGTGTGCTCGCGCTCGTAGTCAACGGCCCACTGGATGTCCTTGGACTGCGTTTGGATGTAGGCGTCGTCGACAGGGCGGTCTTCGAGATCCGCGAGGATCTGTTCCGCCTCGGGGACGCGACCTTTGGCGATGAGCCAGCTGAAAAAGACGTTAGTCGGCTGTGTCCGGACTAAGAATAACACGAGGGAAGAAAGGACTTACCGTGGAGACTCGGGAAGCCAGGGAACGGTAGCGTAGAGGATGAAAATGAAGAAGAACTGGAATCCCAGAGGGAACCGCCACGATACTGAGCCCGTGAGGTACGAGAAGCCAAAGGTCACCCAGTTACCTAAGGGTATCCTCCTGTCAGCATCAACCGCGCCGACACATTCGATCAGGACATGAAAACTCACTCAGTGAAAACCCAAAGATGTTCATAATCATCTCGATGACGATCAACTTGCCTCGCCAACTCGCCTTGCTGGTCTCGCCCTGCCACACGGGCGCGGTCGAAGTGTTGATGCCGTTTCCGATGCCCGCAATCACGCGACCAACAAACATCTGCGGAAGCCCAAAGGCGGCCGTCTGCAGGATGGCGCCGATGGACATGATGGTCGTGCCGACCAGAATAGTGTTTTTCCGGCCGAGCCGCTCGCCGATCCAGATGGTCGATATCGCGCCGAGAAAGCAGCCAATGTCATAGATTGCGGTCACTGTGCTCTGGAGCTTGTCGTTGCCGACGATGCCCATGGTTTCGAGAAAGTCATCGGTCACGATGACGCCGCCAAAGACACCTTGGTCGTAGCTTTTAGGTCGTTGTCAGTACATGATGCGATTGGATGATGTTGGGACGAGAGCGATGGGGGGGAATGTTCATGCTTACCCGAACAGCGTCATGTCCGTCGCGCAGGCGATGGTCACCCAGAAGGTGAGCCATGCTCCTTTGAGGCCGAAATACCCCATGATTGAAGATTCCGGTATTGATGAGATTTGGTGGCCCTGTTGAATGGCTGTGGGTATATGAGCTGGCCGTGATTCGGTGAGCCGGATCCGGTCTGTCTGTTCTGTCTTGTAGATCCCAAGATGCCGACGTTGTCAAAGGCCCTGAACTACCTAACCAAGCATATCTGCGTCCGAAGGAAAAGGGGGCGTTACACAGATCTATATAGCCAAGAGATTGGGCTCCTCGCTCATCTACTACCCGCTCGGGACTCTCCCGCATCCTCAACCGCGCCGGCGCCGGCCACGCCGTTCAATCTGTCGCACAATCTTTTCCCCATAGGATACAAGTGTGGGTAACGAACGATGTCATTGCTGTAGTGCGACAGCGTCAAAAGGGTACGTAGTCGCGTACGTGCGTCTGGTACAATGAGCTGCAACCCGCTGGTTCTGACGCTCATTAGGACGGGCCGAATAAGTCGACCATGTTGGATCCGGGGTGCATGTACTCCTACCAGGTCAGGGGGCGACTACTAGTAGTAAGTATGGAAGATGGGACAGGGATGATTAGAGTTCACGAGGGGGGATGAAGAAACAAGAGATGTCGCTTATTACTACTTGGGCGTCACGGTATTCGGCATGCACCCCGCGTAGGTGATCGTCGTGACGTGCCGTTTGGCCGACGGGAACTACTACGACGACATGGCAGTTGGCGAACGACGAGAAGAACGACCGAGAGATCACATCAAGGGAGCCACTTTACGGACAATTGATTGATGATGAATGGCGGGATCAAGGTCGATGACGTCGTTTTGGCCCCGCCGCGGCTCTGAAACGGGTGCCGGGGCCATCGTTGTAGTCGAAGCTTAACCAGACCGGTTTTCTGGGCGTCTTTTACGGTTAGTGCAGTGTGAAGGGGGAGGACAAACTTAGTCAGTTTCCTACGTAGGCACGTAGGCAGGTTGTAAAGGTGGTCTAAGTTGAACTCGCATTGTCTTCGCCCACCGCTTCTGTTGGTTTTGGTGGGCACTGGGGATACAGAATCAATCATCGGTCCGAATGGCATTCTGAAGTTGATGCGGGGACTCCACATTGCCACAGAAAGAAGATTGTCAGTCTGATGTCGTGCGGTTTTGGACGATGTTTTGAAAAAAAAGGGGGAAGAACCACAATGCTGTCATTGCAGAAGCTCTCTGGTGTAGGGGACATGGCTGCTCCTCGGTCGTTGGCTCGGAGAGTCCCCGGAACCTCGGATGTTGTTGAGGGCCTTGGGTGTTTGTAGCTCACCAAGTAGATGCGGGTGAGCCGTCGAAAGACGTACCGGGAATCGTGGACTCAACGGCTAAAGGTGAACTGATGTTTCATTACTGGAAAAAGCCTCTAGACTATGAAATTAATAGAAGAGTCATGATGTTATCCAATATCCCATCGCCAAAACTCCTCGCGCCGGATATCAACCACTGAATGTAAATATAGACGGTTCATCTCAGATAGAAAGAAACTCCTCCACAGACTCCGCCGACCCGATAAAGCTCACATATCCGTCTGGCCGGACCACTGCTAAGCCCGCCTCCTTTTCGAACCCGTACCGCTTGTGGAGCACGCCATCCTTATCCCTGAAGCCTCCTGTTGCAAATGTTTGTCCCCCAAAGACCTTGACAATCTCGAGTTCCTTGTACCGTGCGTCGGCACGGATCTTCTCCTCCATCTGCTTAACCTCCTCTTCACCCCCGAGAATACCAGAAAACAGCACGATGGTGTGCTTTGCGTTGCTGGTCAGCCCGAGCAGCCATTTGCCCTTCTCCCCTCTCTGATCCAGGAGCTCACCGTCCGGAGCTCTCCAACCGCCCTTGACTGGCCCTTCGAAGCCTGTTGCAGTGTGGACGATGGGACTGCGACGGTACTTGATGCCCATCTGCGAGATGAAGGTAAACATGCGCAGGCGGCGCGCCTTGTCGCCCCAGACATAAGGCGCCACCCACGGCATCAGCGCATTGCGGATGGTGGTGAAGATGAAGTTTTGCGACGCAACCATGTTGAAAATACGGTCTGTGCCGTAGAGCAAGTGAGTGCCGACGGGGTGTCTCTCCTCGTCGTACGAGTCCAGGAGCGAGTCGTCGTTGTCTCCGCGTAATACGGCTGCGAGCTTCCAGCCGAGGTTGATCGCGTCCTGGATGCCGGTGTTCATACCTTGGCCTCCGGCGGGGGAGTGGATATGTGCCGCGTCGCCGGCCACAAAAAGCCGGCCGTCGCGGTAGTGGTTCACGCCACGGCAGTTCCATCGGAAGTGCGCGAGCCACAGCGGGTCGCTGACCTCCCACGTGCCTGCGGCCATCTCCTCGATAAACTCTTGGACCTCCTGCACGCACGGGTCGCCGGTGAATTTGCTCGACTTCGACCTCTCGCCGACAACGCGGATGACGCCGTTCTTGAGCGGGAAAAAAACCATGATGCGGCTGCCGAGGTACATGGATACTCTTTCCTTGTCGTAGGGGCCCTCGAGCTTGACGTCGGCCAGGATGTATTCTTGGGGGTACTGCGCGCCCTCAAAGGTAAGATTCGTGCTCTTTCGCACAATACTGTGGGCGCCGTCGCAGCCGACAATGTACTTCGCCTTCAAAACCTCTCTTTCGTCGCCGCGGACGAGGGTAACGGTAGTGGAGTCGGCATCCTGCTTGATATCTTGGGCCGAGACGCCCCGTTCGACCTTGGCGCCATAGTCCTCGAGCTGCCGGGTAAGTGCGGATTCGGTGTCGCCTTGGGGGATCCACAGCGGCAGCGGGAAGCGGGTATCGTCGAAGCCAAGGTCGTCAAAGGTGCCGGTGACAAGCTTCTTCTGGTTGCAGTAGATGTTGACGCCAGGACCCTTGACACCTCTTTCGAGCAACTGCTGGGCGACGGTGGGATGGCGGTTGAGGAGTTCCTGACTACGACATTGCATAACCAGGGCTCGAGACTTGTCTGAGGGGGCATCGAGCTTGTCGACAAGGCGGAAGGGAATCTTTTGGACGCAGAGCTCGAGAGCTAGGGTCAGACCTGTTGGGCCTGCGCCAATGATTAGAACATCTGTCGTTGACATGTTCATCTGTTATAATACTGATGTTGGTATAGATATCGGTGATGGGTGTTTGTTGTGTCAATGTATCAATGAATATGATGCTGATGGATTGGATCCGGAAACCTGTGAGGAGACCAGCAAACCCTCAAACTTAAATAACATCCACGCCATCGTACTGAGGAGGTTCGATATGCTCTGAAAGTTCCAATGCCGACATCAGCTGGACTGGCCCATCGGCGTCGCCCTCACAAGCTCCGTGCCACGAAGGAGGGGTGGGCAAGGATGACAGCCGGGAAAAAAAGCGTAGGGCTGGCATGCTGGTGTTCCAAGCCATAGGAGAAGTATGCGTCTAGTGCAAAATGAACGACACAAGACCAGCGAGCAGGGATTCATCAGCCACTGACGGCGACTAAGGTTACCATGCTGGCAAGCTTAAAACGCCTCACTGACTTGGCAGACGGCCAACGGATGGAGGAAACCGGAATCGGGCTGGGTCGGGGCATACGGCTGAAGAACTGCGATCCTTCAGTTGAAAGGAATGTAAGTTTTGGGGCATGAAAACCGTCATTGGCCTTGGTTTGGGGGCTGGTCAATGCTCGTCAGTCTTGGTAGTGCCAAATTGGGGAATTGGGCGACAGGCGACCGGTGGCTTGCTGACAGGATGGTCACGTGGGGGCATCGGTGGTCGGCAGGTCGGCGGTAGTAGGCCCCGATCTTCCGACACGAGAGCAATATGGTGTAAGACGGACGCAGTAGATTTGACCGATAACGTCCCACACCCACTTCTGGGCACCCCCCACATTTGGGCACCCCATTTACACCAAAAACGCCGTTTTTCGAAATTCTATATTAAACTAAATACTTTACTTATTAAAGAGAATAAATATATATTAAATAGATTAAGACTTAATTATAATACTTAAGTAGCTATATACTAGTATTATTGATAATAAGTATTATAAATTCAAGGTTTAACATTTATAATACTAATTTACCTAGCCTATATCTTAATATATAAAATAGGTAGAGATATTTAACTAATATGATTAGAATTTTTAAGTAAGATATAGTAGATTTATATATTCTTATACTTAGTAAAAAATTCTTTAAGCTTAGAATAATATTTTAAAATTTCCCTTAAGAAAAGTTTCTATTATAGAATTTTAACCCTTAATTATACTATATTTACTAAAGTAATACTTTTAAATCTCTTTTAGATATAATTATATACTTTTAATAAGTATAAATATTAATTTCCTAGATTTTTTAAATAAGTATATATAAGCGAAAATATATTTTTCTAATGTTAAGGAATACTAGTAAGTTACTAGTATCTACTAACATTTTAAAGCTTTTAGTTTTAAACTTCTATATTATAACTATTATTATATTTAAACCTTTATAAAAAATTAGATGGCTATAATTATACTTAACATAGTTTATATATATTTTCTTTTCTTAGTAAGTATAGTTAGAAGTATAAGTATATTATACTTCTATTTTACTTATTTATCCTATTTAGTCTTATCTAAGACTTAGTAGGACTTACAAAAGTAACTAGCTAAGAATGGCTGCTTGCTAGTTTAAACATATGACATTCAGATCCCTATGGAATACTCTCTTTAACCTTATCTAAAAGTCTATTTAGTTAAAGAAGATTCTAGTCTGATTTATAAGCTGCTTTATAAGCTAGCTGACGTATATACTTACGTATACTAAACCTAGCTTATAGCTTCCTATATTAGCTATTATAGGCGACGTTATACTACTATATAACTAGCCTAATTCTCTCCCTTAGCTAGCTATTAGTTCCTCAACCAACTCAGCTTCAATATAAGCCTATACATTCTTTACTATTAAAGCCCTACTTCATAAGTACAAGTTCCCTTACTCTAATACCCTGTTATAAGGATATCGTACTATCTACGAGATTCCTACCTACCGTTCCAATAGTATAGTAGTTAGTTTAATATAGAATTTCGAAAAACGGCGTTTTTGGTGTAAATGGGGTGCCCAAATGTGGGGGGTGCCCAGAAGTGGGTGTGGGACGTTAAAGGATCATTTGCATTTCCTGCGAATATTTTCCGGTGAATTTTCCAAATGTTTATAGGTTTTTTTTTTTTTTTTTTTTTCAAATGGTAAAATAGAAACAAATAATTGACTGATGATCTAAGACGTGAACGTATCATAGCCTATCATAAGTTGACTTAATCGCAACTTTAACCTGAAAGACTTTCGGTTTTACCCACTACTATAAACTAGCTTTTACAAAATCTATATTTATTGACGTACTAAGCACTTTAATGCTCGTTGTTCCAGGGGAAAAAATTGTTTCATCTATGCTTAACTGAATAGTACTCTGCAGGCCATATGCCTGTTACTACATATTAGTTGGCACTTGAGCACAACTTTGTCAACTGTGTAACAGAAAATCGGATGGCTTCCCACTTGCTTAAATCTGCCCCTTTCATCTCCGTACTTTGTTTACGAGTCCAATTTTGTACTTGCCAGAACATACTTCTGCCTGAAAGCTGCCTAGCTGGAGGACGAGCTTCCGGCCTGGACCCCGTCGACCCCGTCTCGAACAAGCTCATCATAGCTATTCATAGCTGTTGCAGTAAAAGTGCATCGTGACAGACTTACAGTGCAGCAGCTACTATAGCCTCACCGGCCGGAATGCTTTTACACAGTTGTCTCCAAAAGAAAGGACATGGCTTGCGCTACACGCTAAACCCACGACTCTGTCCCATACCGCCCCCTTCATTGGCATCAACGTTTTCCTATGTGTTTACTAAGGGAACTCTGTGGCTTCATAGTGCAGAATACATCGGGTCATTATAATTATTTCACTCACTCCTCTCGATCCCCGATAAACGGGGATCGCATTCCCGACGGGCTTGGGAAGTCATCCCATTGTCACAGCGATAATTCCGCACCAGCCTCCACCACATATTCCCAAATCACCGATTTTGGTCCCATCTATGCAAAGGGTTCATAAGGAATCAACTTTGCAAGAAATTGTGTAGTGTTTGAGTCAAGGCAGTGCCTTACTTTTGCCCTGGAAAGGACTTAAGAGGCAACCATAACGAAGGCTTTCTTAACAAGTTTCTAGGCATAAGCCTGACTTTCCGTCCACATACACTTCATTCAGGAGCGACAGGAAGAGCCAACTTGTTTTGTGCGTTATCGAAATTCGATAATGGAAACGAACTACCTGTTATTAGGTTGACGCTAAGGTGGACTTTAAGCTTACTTAGCAAGATGCCTGTGCTTTGAAGCCGTCGCAACCTTTTGGGCTCATGTTCTCTTTAGCTCATGCACGTGTGTTCAAGGTACTTTTGGTTTGTCACAGAAGATACACGGTGCACTGCCCGTGTTTTGGGATTTTACTTCGCGGCAGTCATATTTTATGAATGCTAAAACCCATATTTTGCACCGGGAAAGAATACCAAACTGAGAAGAAGAGGAAGCTAGAGAGTTTAGTGGAGCGAGTCGTGAGAGATGCGGCCCTTGTTTGGGCAGCATAACTCATGAAGCGTGGTTGACCAAGATGATAGTCATGTGCAAATTTTCGATATTAAGATGTTACTCTGAACTAACCTTACCGATATCACAGACGGTCGCTGATTGGGACAAACCTTGGACTCTTCAAGAGATCATAACATCTGGTTGGCGGGATAATAGTTGCTCCTTCTCACAGGCCCCTTACCACTCGAATAATGAGTGCATCATCTGCTCTGTTATAATATATAGCGCGCTTAATCTGGGGCGAGTTTGGCGCGAAACAGCGTTAGTGACGCCGAATTGCGTAATTACCTCTCTTGGGGACGCAGAGCGGTGTATTATTGACAGGATGGTCACCAGGCGCATCGGTGGGGTTGATCTTCCAACATGAGAGTAACCCCACAGCCGGGTGAGCAATGTTCCCACAGCTTATTGGTGTCGGGACGGAGGCCGCACACTAGAACGTTGCAAGCCAGTGGGTTTGTTCTTCAGCCTCCCCACACTCTACCTCCTCGTTAACCAAAGCGACAGGTTTGGTATAAGTTTTGGCGAAACCAGTCTGCACAGGATACGACCTACAAATTGAGAAGGGCCAGGCCCGTTGTTTGTTCAACCTTGTGGTGCCTCTACTCTGTACCATGAGAATCTAAGCTTAAGGAGAGAAACGCTTTTTGCGGGAATTTTGCGAGTTTACAACTTCAACAGACAGGATTATCCAATATTTTCTAAACCTTAATTAATGTGTGCCTGTGGATTTCAAAAGGCGGGTTAAGGCCGAAAATCTACATGATCTGCATTCAGCGTCGCCCAATAATGAATAATATGAACAAGGCAATTTAAAAGTCATTACTCAGTCGCGATACCGAGTCAGCAATGCTGTGCATGCGCGATGCTGTGAACAATAAATAACATTGGAATATTCTCTGATGGTATTCAGTCTGTCTTACCAACCCACCATACCTTTTCTATTGTCTACATCTTTCAAATATGAAGGTCTCTTCTCTTTTCATTACAGCAGCTCTTGCTATTGCATCAGCAGATGCATGCGCTAGTTACAAGCATTGCTGGTATGATTCATGTGTTTCTACTCTACCCGTACCAAACTAGTTACTAACATTCTGAAGGTGTGTGAGAGACAACTTCAACTACCAAGGGAAGATTCAAAACAATGTCCCCTGGGATGAGGACACCGTGAAAGCCTGTGAAGCAAACGGTGGTGGAGGAACTTCCGGATATTACGGGCAGAACTTCAAAGAATGCTACCGATACGTGAAGCGTACATGGCGTCTGGATGGTGCCATCAACAACTGTGACTTCAGCAACGTAAGTAAAGCTGGTAGACGATGTTACGAAGAGATACTTACTTGGAAACACAGGACTGCGCCGCCGCCGGCAAACTTGCTGGTGTTACCAGCCGTGGCCTTTGCCGTAACAAGATTTCAGGAGTACATACTTAGAATCCCTACAGAAGGATTAGGGTACTAGAGACGATTGCATAATGAAGATTTACGGTTGAATAAAATACCTTGTCCATAAATGTAAGCAAGTATGATGGAATTTTGCCAACTACACGTTATGAGACCTAGTTGGACCTCCTTGAACTCGCGTGAGGATAACCACGATGGCATTGCCAACCAACCCAGAGACTGATGCCCAGTGCCCCATGCCGTCTTTTTTAGAGCAAATAGAGACATCGGGGTGAGAATCGTTGACTGGTGAAGGGCCAAAAAGAAGATTAGCAGACATAGTGGCGCGATTTCCTTGCCAATCATGCGCTGATCAATCACCACAATTCCGTGTTAGAGCGTTGGTTCTATGTATTCGACATAACTTAAAAAAAAGAAAAAAAGAGAAACTGGTCGTTCTACCTATGTCATACAAAAGTTAAGGTACTCAGCGATAGTTATGATGGGTTAACCAAGTTCTATCATGTATACTTTATCATTTCCCCTTACATCGTAGCTAATGCAGAAATCATATCATTCATAACATGGGAGTGTTATGGCAAGATATAAGCCAGAAACAAATAGTATCAATCCTAAGTCTTCTAAGCATGGAGGGCTACCTGACACAAAACCTCGGCCGACCTGACTTTTCCATTCTTGCAACCGGGAACGTTACATCTCTCCAATTTTCCATGTCTGTTTCTAAATCTAGTTGACTCCTTACATTCCCAGCATTGTTCATACCGAGCAATATCGCCAGGAGTAGAAAACGGCCTCATACACTGTACGCCAATCTGTTGTCCATATGCTGGATTCCGATTCCGACTTCTTGATGGACTCTGTCTTTTGACTGGAGCTTGATTTTTGCTCGGGTTTGGTGGTATCGTCCGGCTCTGATTACCCGAAGGTTTGCTCTTGGATCCAGAAAAGACGTATTAGAAACGCGCAGAAGTACCGCAGCTTGTAATCCAATTTCTCATCCTGAAGAACCCATATCGCTTATGCTAGAATTGAAACCTCAAGGCGAATAAGGCTATGCTCTTAGGGCGAAAAAATCATGAAATGTTTGACGAGAGATACAGACAGCCTGCAATAGTCTGCTTTCCTAGTAGCAGACATTTTGAAAGTACCTTAGAATAGGAAGTGACTAGCTATTTATAGTCCCTAGTACCCATCTCAAAGCAGCGACTTCATGTTCATGGGTTGCTATTGCAATGGTAGCCTCGGTTGATATGACTTTCATTGCCTCAACAGAGTAATTGATAAATCAGCAAATGCCCAACCGAAAATCTGGGCGAATGACGAGAAGGATTCCAGCCCGCTTATCGTGTTTTAATTCCATGCGCCAATTTGGGAACTCTAAGAGGCCTGCGCCGTAGCTCAACATATGATTAGATTTGATTGGAGAGCCTGATTTATCCCACCGTTTCAAATTCATTTGGCCGTCTTATGGCGGTCGAAAACGTCGTCCGTGTCTCTGCTGCCTGGCGATAACCCTTGTATGAACCATTTCTTGCAATGAGCATTGAGATGAACTACCATTATGCTTCGTTTGACGGGGTATCTCGTTGAATTATACGTTACAGTGCATCTCGAATGCTCATCCTTGACAACATGCCTCAGCCATGTTCGATAGTCCATAATCCTTCATGGCCATTGCCCCCACCCAAGCCCCCAATCTGCGTACGCGAAATCCTTGGCCTGCATTCCAAGTGAGTCATGGTTTGGCTGTAAGCAAAGGAGTCGAGGGCAGGTCCCCGCCAAACTTCTGTTTACTTAGAAGATAACAAGCTGCTACTTCAACTTTCTTCATAGCTATTCTGCGAAACAGCAACCGTATGATTCACTATTGCCAGCTTTCTTGTACAGGCCTAAGCACTCTTGAAAGTGTGAGACTTGAGTTTTGGCCCAAATTTGGTCTGGCGAAATGTCACTTTGCGACGCGTGCAAGGCTTTTGATCTAGCAAATCTCCTCGACGACGACGGGGAGCTTCAAGACGTCACATTACATAAATCGATCCTCAACCTGAACTTAAACTCGTCTATTTGCGATCTTTGCAAGTTATTCTGGGAGTCGATTGCCAATCAAATCAGCCCTGAGAACTTAGCCGCAATTCGCAATGAGAGCTGGGATCTGGGCCCGCCGGTCGTCGTTATTCGAGGGGCTCGATATGTAGACGAAAACTGGGAGGAAGGTGGGATTTATGAGGCCAAGATACGATGTGATAGTCTCCGTGCGTATGGCTATTTCAGCTTTTATCCTGCGGTAGGACCCATGGACTCCGTAATGAACATAGGCGATATCATCCTGGCCCGTCATATCAGGCCGCCGGGTGAACACCTGGGTCTCCTGCAAAAATGGGTTTCCGACTGCGATGAAAATCACCCAGGTTGCCATCGTGGACTAAATCAGTTGCCAACTCGCGTTGTCGATGTTGGAGCCGATGAAGGAAGAGACCCACGACTAATAGAAACATTTGGCCGATTTGATCGTTATATGACCTTGAGTCATTGTTGGGGAACTCATCCCATAATCCGGACGACAACTGACACGATAAGCGATCATTTCAAGACTCTGCCTCTCTCTAAACTTCCGAAGACTTTTCGGGATGCGATACTCGTAACGAGAGCCGTGGGCATACAGTATCTGTGGATCGACTCTCTCTGTATCATTCAGGACTCGAAGACTGATTGGGAGCTCGAAAGCGCCAAGATGGGGTCTTACTACGCCTCCTCATATGTTACCATTGCTGCCTCGGCTTCTCGCGATTCGACTGGCGGGTGTTTTGTTGCACGAGATGAATCTACCCACGTCCCGTTGATGTACACACAGCCCGGAACGGACAAACCCGTTCAGGTCATGATTCGACCACGTCCAGGAAACTTCATCCACCTCGGCCAAAGGCCATTACATACACGGGCGTGGGTTCTTCAAGAGAAAATTCTCTCCGCTCGTATGATCAACTTCGATGTTGACCAGTTGCTTTGGCAGTGCCAGCAATCACAGTTAGCAGAAGACGGTATTCCTTACGACTGGGATCTTCCAAGCCATATGGAAAAAGACCGCACCTTCAATGAGTTAAATATTTCGAACGATATCGCAAACAATCAGGCTATGTTTTCCAAGTTTGAGTCTGAATGGTACAAAATGGCCGGGGGATACGTTGAACGAGGCATAACAAAATCTTCCGACAAACTGCCAGCCCTTTCAGGACTTGCCAAAGTTGTGAAAGATAAGACGGGTGGAGAGTATGTCGCAGGTCTTTGGAAGAAGGATCTTGGGCTTGGATTACTTTGGTCTCGGTGGAAATCATGGCTTTCGCCTCCCGCTGAAGGATACCGTGCACCAAGCTGGAGTTGGGCAGCTCTTGAGGGAGCAATCTCTTTCAATGTTCCAATATCGATTGGTTCGAACACTTACGAAGTTGTTCTGGAAGACATCGAAACAGACATTACGCCGTGCGGCCTAGACCCAGATGGGACCATCGAGTCTGGCTGGCTTGTTGTGACAGGCAAGGTCAGAACCTTTGATCGGCGCATGAACCCAAAGGATCCGGGATATCTTTACTATAAAGAACTCAACCTACAGGGCCCTCCTGATGACTACCTTTTGGATAAAGGGGAGGTTGTCGGAAAAGCTAAATTCGACAAAGAGTTTGAGAAGCCTACACCACTATACTGCTTACAAGTAGCAACGTGGTGCAATAATTCAAGTAGGTGGTATGGACTTCTTTTGGAGAGAACTGGGAACGAACAGGAATACTCCCGAGTTGGTATTTGTCATACTGAATACGTACGCAACTATATGTGGTTTGATGATGCTCGCCTAGAGAGGATTAAAATAGTTTAAGGCGGTTGGCAGTCTGAGTATATATAACTGAGTTTGTCTAAAAGTAGCACCTAGTGTTAGCTACCAGAGAAAGCTTTCGTGCTTTTCTAACTTATGTTTATCTACTATGTTCAAGCCTGAAACATAATCGCCAGTTCATAGAGTATTGTGGCAGGATCTCGTATAAAAGTGGTCGTCGACAACATCAAGAAAGTTACTCTAGGTGTGTGACTAATTGAGTTTCATGAAGTAAGAGAGGATGTTCTATCTCACCTAATCATAATAGCTGGTTCTTAAATTCAGTAGTCCCCTTGTAGTTCCATTAGCGTTCTCTTCACAAGTAAATACTAACAGGTGTAGGAAGTGGTCTCTTGCACTGATCATATATCTATTTATCCTATGCCAGATTCGGGCTCGTTGGAGTCTCATAGCCAGAATCTCGAGTTCAATGCACCACGCTGCGGGCCTGAACAGAGTGAAAAGAAAGCTTTTAACTTTAATCAACCAAGAAGGTCGTTGGTTGTCTTTTATGCCAGTTTCACGTGTTTTGTGAGTAATTATTATTTGAAATAGATCTACTGGGCGCCCCTGGGAAGTTTAACCCACCGTCCTAATTGTAAGCGAAGCCAAACACTCCCTAGAACGAAAGAAAATCGACGAAATCTCCCCAATACCTCTACCAGGCCCACGTAGAGGCCATGACCCGACCACAAGATTGAGCCTAGCATTTACATGTTAGTTTTTTAGAACGAGTGATACAATTACACTAAGATGTATACGTCTATATCTATTCACTGACACAGGAAGTTGCTCTATATGATTCCCCCTGTTTGATTGCCGTGTGCTTAGTTTGTTACACGAATTAATGGCAGTCCAACTTCCACCCGCTCATGGGACCGCATAAAACCTTTTGCTGGTATTTCATGGTTGTCATAGCGTTGTTGTTGCGCAGGTGGTTGTACGTGAAAGCAACCGCGTCTTGCGGGGTGTGCAGATTATAAGTGGCGGTGCATTTGAGATCCTTCACATCCCACCACCCTGCCTTAAGGTCTAGCTCATCTCTTCTGTGTTCCATAGCCCACCTAATATCGCCGGAAGTCAGGAAGCTTCCCGCGTTGAAACCAGCACACAACATGCGGTATGGCTTCACGGTTGCTCCAATTGTAGCCGGTTCAGGAGCCGGCGCCGCGAGCGTGCCAACAGCCAGGCTAGTTGCCGAAAGAGTAAGAGCGGAGAGAACTAATGTGGTAAGCGGAGGTATTGTCAGCAAATAGTGCGCTACTTACGCTTCATAGTGGCAGTCAGGATAGACAAACTTGGAGTAAAGTGGGAAGAATTAACAGTTCTACGGCTGCACTGACACTAAACAGGAGACGAACAAGAGGGGTTTTGGTATTTATACTACTCAGTGGGAACCACTCGAGAAATCAGAGTGGAGATTTTCCCTTTGTGTCTAAGCCTTGAGAGATACTGAAATGTCTAACTTATTATGAGCGTATCGGACCAGGCCACCTGGGCAGATAATTCGCATTTGCAACTAGAATTTAATATAAAAGAGAGGTTGATAGAACACTTAATTAATAAAGGTGGGACTTCCTATAGTGCGGATATTACCGCGAGTATAAAAAAGTCCCCAGGTGTCTAAGTTTAAAAGTAGTTACAAATTGAATATGATATGCTTTAGTACGTTGTTGACATTTCTGAAATGGACCAAGTCCCGATATCAAACTTGCATACGATAATGTCTGCCTATTATTGTTTCTTTTTCTTAATCATATCAGAAAGTCAAGTCGAATCTACACACAGTAGAAAGTAGGCTCTCCGGTACTAGTGCCTGATCCAGTGGAAGCAGACTAGCAGTGCTGATTCCATTTGGAATTCGATTAATTCAGCAGAAATACTAAGGGGCATCCCCCCAAAAAGCTTAATTTCGCGTGCTCACGGTGTTATGCTCGTCACAGAGTTCGATACCCCACTACTTTCAACAACACTAGATCTTTTCCAGGCTAGTTTGTGAGCATTTTTGATTCCAAACCAACCCCCATACTTGCCAATAGTCGAAAGGTTCCCAAAGAATCTCGGAGAAATTGAGTCGAATTTCACCCGAACTGGAGGCTCTGGACCATGCGGGATTTACATAATCCCAGATCTTCCAGTATAACAAACTCGGCGTATCCCCGCCATTGTGCGTCGTGCATAGTAGTATTCGCGTGTGGTTACAGTAGTTCTCAAGGGGCTTCAGAAGTGACCGTATCTTCTTCCGATGAGAACCTTTAGTCTATCTGGTTCCTAAGTATCGAGGTTGACATGAACCATGTTGGATTTTAATAAAGATTGTTTTGATTATCGTAGGTTGTCAAATCCAAGACCGGGGAAATACAAGGTCGCAATCACCTGTAGCATCGCTGGTATCAACTCAGAAATATCGTGTCTCAAGAGACAAAAAGTCAAACTTCGGAATTACCGAGTTAGCCTAGACTTCCGGAAACACGGGCGGCTAGCAAGCCCATGTAAGAGTCATGAAATTAGCTCTCACTCGCACAGACTGTCAGCTCCACAACCACAACCTAGGTCACTCAAAAACCCGGAAACTCGGCACAACAAAAAAAAGCTAGAATGCGTACGGGTACGTAACACAGCTCAAGGTAGATAGATCTAGTACCTAGGACGACCGCCGGCATTAACTTGCGCACACCTGCTCCTAGCCACTTCACGAAGTGGTCAACACAGCAGACGATATAATTGTGGCCATCGCCGTCGGCATCATTCTCTCATAGCCATTATCAGAGCCCCTCTAGAGTGTTACAGACCACTTAGCGCCAGGGCTTCTCTCTGAACCACCATTATAGGCATAAACCACAGCCATTGATGTGGATGAACACCCACTTTCCAAGGGTACTAGCTGACGTATCCTGCCTCAACGGTTTTATGACCAAATTGTCAAGACTAAACATTAGGGAAGCCAAACGGAGTGTTTTTTTTCTTCGTTTCTTTTTTGAACCTTGGAAGGTTTTGGTACAAAGAACTAGGTGTCATTCCTTCGTTCACATCATGGGTGACATAAAATGTCTTCCAAAGAAAGAAACACACATTACAGTAGCGCTCAGATACTTTTAATGTAAGGCTTTCAAATCGCTACATACCAGTTACAGTCCTGCAGGCACAGCGACTGCTCCCTTTTCTGGCTTCTCATTCTTGACACTGAGAAGCTTCAGCAGAAGATGCATCTGCGGGTTTTGTTCTCCAGTGACCTGTTCCAATCTCTTGATCTCGCTCTCGATTTCATCCTCCAGTTTGTCTAATAATTCCCAGCAAGCATCAAAACTGCCGGCCTCTTGCAAGTACTCGATGATCTGCACTTTACCGACACTTGGCATGAGCCCTTGGCATCCTGTTCTCTGCCGAAAAAGGCCCATGATGCGGTCACGGAACATAGGACTGTTCTCGAGGCAGTGGATGATGAGGTATGAAAACTTGCCTTCATCTAAATCCTCGCACCAACCCTTCTGTGTGCTGTATTCCCGAGAATTAAGGTTGAGGTAGTCATCCCTGACCTGGAAGAACCGGCTGACCATGGAGACCAATGTGTCACAGACGAAGTTCTCTTCATGACGAGGGCTTAGAGATTGCATCATCCGAACCAACATTCTGAAGAGACCCCCCGTCTTCAGATCAATCATACTGAAGTACTGAGCCTCTGTTGGCCATCTCAAGTTGTATTTCCAGTACAGGTCCCAACTTTGGCCGATGTGAAGGTCGTCTAGTTCCTCAAGAACCACCTTCATTAGAGCTGGGTTGCCTGTGGCATGAACCTCCTGTATGACTCGCACATACAAGAAAGTTGCGCTGTTGATTGACTGGGCTTCGCCGAAGATCATGTGGGTGGCCGTCTTACCACGCCGCATGGGTGAATCGTCTTGGATGTCGTCGAGGATCAAGGAAGAGTTGTGAAGCAGATCGATCACATTCTTTACCACTGAGAGCTGAGGTGATGGCACCTGGCACCATTGGTTCATCGCATCAATCAAGGATGTCCTCACGCCTTTAGAAGGCATGCTGCGGACATAATCAATTGGGGCATTGATTGCCGTGTGGTCCAGCTTTGGAACATCGAAGTATGAGTTCTTTTCGAACTCCCGGGGTCCTGGACTCGGGCTCGTGATGTCGGTGCTTTTGCTCGATACTGTATCGCTGGCATCTCGACTGTCTGTCCTTGACTGGTCCAAGGTAGAGCTTGAAATTGTCTCGAAGCTTTGGTCGAGTTTGGCGTCGGTATTTTCAGTTACATAGGATATTTCGACTTGCTTCTCCGGCACGTGGTATCGAGGGGAATTGGCACTCCAGAAACTCACGCCAGCTGCCATTGAGCCTGCAAGCTCCACTCGTTTCCTCAGGTATAAACGTGCTGAAGGAAAGTTGCTGTAAAATTGAGCACGTAGCTGGAGGTACTCGGCTTCGTAAGAAAGGATGAGATCCTTAATTCGCTGCTTGCCCTCCTCGGCAGAGATTCCTTCTTTTCTCATCAAGACTGCAACGGCGTTGGTTAAACTTTCAATCTTCTGGTTTGCCTGAGAGTATTCAATGTCCCAACTCCAGTAGTCGTTGTTAAGCATAGCAGCTTTTTCTGCCGCCCAAACAAGTGGCCGAATGAGTTTCTCTTCTTCATCAGAGAGCTTTTCACCAAGCCCAAATACTGTCTTTGTCCAGTAAATGCTATTCAGGTTAGAGCAATGGCAATAAATGTAGGAGACAAAGCTTACTCAAGACCTGCGCTGTGTCTCCTGAAACCCAGATAATCTTCCATGGTGTCCCATTCCACTCCAGCGGCTAGAGGAGTCCATCCAGCTTTACAACTCTTCGCCAGATCCATCCCAAGCGCCGGATCTATTCTCAAGAAATCAAGCATTACTTGCGCCACAAGCTTCTTTTTCTTCATGAACTCTAGGTCGTGATCACGCTGAGGTGCCTCTCCAATTGTGTCGGTCATTGCTCCTGAGAAACCGACCCACTGCTCTTGGGCAATTTTGTCGTTTTCAACCTCTTCGGTTGCATCTAGGTTTTATGATCAGCAAGCCTTTGGACAAAAGAAAGATGAGAGACTACCAACCGTCAATCAAGAAGAACAGGTCTGTAAGATATGATATAGAATCCAGGCGCTCGGGAATAGTTTCACAGTAAATGAGTGAACAAAAGCTTCCTACCGGAGAGAAAGAAACTCTGTTGGTGTCTATTTTTCGATTCCCAGTATGCTCCGCCCAGTCTTTGAGCACGCGCGAAGAGGCTGCGTTCGCGATGTCGTCTCGGTTGTTGATTCTCACTGGCAAAGTTGTAAAGCAGCCAGTTTCCCTGACCCTCTCGGGATCAATTGGAGTAGAGTAGTTCCACATTTGTTCCATAATGGTAAAAGTTGGATGACAGTATGAAGACGCTATTGATTTGGGAACGGACGATAGGGTTAAAGTTATACCTTTATTCGGCGCAACAGCTCTGCAAGATCAGCATCTGATCCTTTTTGCATCCAAGGTTCTTTTTTATAAGGATAACGACTTACTGGACATAAAGCTATGTTGGGTAGCGGATATTTGCTCTTTGCTGCTGTTTGGCTGTTTCCATCCTGGACGCGATCGGATATCAAGGCATTCTTTCCAGCATTCACCTCTGACTCATGTATCAAACAACACCATGTACGCGATTTTCATGATTGAAGATCAACCCAATTTTGGATGCATCCGTTTATGACTCGCGACTCTCACGTTTACTATTAGCAGGAATATTACTCGCTGTTTTCTCGACCTGCGTCCTACCGCATGGATTTATCCTATGGGATAGGGAGAACGGAAGTCATCCCGTAAACACAACCCGCTGCAACTCCGGAAATTTTCGCAAAGGGCTCCGCGAAGTTGTGAGCACGAATGGAGATCAAGGCATTTTACGAAGCAATCCTACATAGCCTATGACTCGTGTCTGCTCATCACGACCCTCAACGCTCATAACACACTGTCGGGGAGAAAGCTTACCTTGTCCCATGAGGTAAAAATGTGCGACAGGAAGTATTTGAAGTGGATGGTTACATTGGATCAGACATGATTATCATTTTTCTAATCAACCGCAAATTTATGGTTGTCGGCAAGTAGAAAAGAAATGGAGATATCATGCATAATTTTTTTCATTGCCGCTTACTCTTGTCCAATGCGCAAGAATATTCGACAAGTAAATTGCAAAGTATTCTAATCAAATCCATAGACGATAGGGGTTAGATATGACTGTACTTCAAATGAAAGTGTGCGTGGTCGAAAGGTATTGTTCTATTGGCCGTTGTGTGCGCAGTGCCCTCAGTTCTTCACGCACCCTAGGTTCCGGCACTTTACTCAAGGTAATGAACGGATTCTTATGGCTATATTGACATGGGCAACGGGCGCAAGATGCCGATATGCCCCACTAGGCCCGTCTTTACAACTTGATCGGCAGATGGCCCCTATCTAAGGTAGTACGTGAGCTTCGAAAAGTTTAGGCCAGAGTAAGAGTGGGTGTGAGTGGCTAGAAGTCCACGACTCACGCGAACTTCATCTACCATGGGTCCCTGCGTATCCAAAAATGGATGTCCAAATTGAAGACAACGTACGCTAGCATGGTCAAAATTTATCTGCTGCAGGATGACGGCGTGCAAGCTACATATGGACCGCAGTGACCTCTTGCCTGGTAGCACACAGAACAAGACGCTTGAAGGTCTAGCCGTGTGCATAAGATGGGAATGATACCAACTTGGCCTCTGGTCCTGTTTGCTGTGAGTATTTCCTTTGTTACCGAAATACCATTTCTGATAAGATACAGTTCGTGGCATATAGGCTGGCCATTGTTCTCTACAACCTTTGTATACATCCGTTGAGAAATGTTCCGGGCCCGTGGTACTATGCTGTTTCATGGCTTCCAAAATTTTATCGCCAAGTCTACAAGGCTGATTATTGGAGACATGCGAAATATCTCCATGAAAAGTATGGTCCTGTTGTAAGAGTTGGGCCAAACGAACTCTCCTTTTGCTCGCCCCAAGCTTTAGAAGAGATATACGGCGTTAAAACTCGGGGAAAGCTCGAGTTTCCCAAAGATGCAGTTTTCTACGATGTACGGCATACCCCTCTCAATGACTCCATGATCTCCGCCGACAAGCCTACGCATCGCGCGCTGCGTCATCAAGTGGCTCCTGCCTTCTCAGAAAAAGCTCTCAAGTCGCAAGAACCTATCATTCAGAGGTACGCCGACATGTTTATTTCAGAGCTGCGCGACAGAATCAATCAAGACGTTGACATTGTTGACTGGGTCACGTTTGCTACGGCTGATGTGATGGCTGATTTGTCGACCGGCGAATCACTGTACTGCCTGGAGAAGGGCGAGATGGATCCCTTTGTTGATATGATCTTGCATGTATCTCCCTTCATTGGTCTGCTGCAGCTTTTCAACAGGCTGCCGCTGACCAAGTTTCTTTACAAGATGGTGTCCTCTCAGAAAGGCTTGAAGACCTGGCTTGAGACCGTAGACATCGTCGCGCAAAAAGCGGAGAAACGAGAGAAGATGGGCAACGATCGTCCGGATTTCATGACCATGATCTGGACTGAGAACGACGACCGAGAATCGTGGACTAGGGACAAAATCATCAACTTCGCTCAGCTTCTCTTCTTTGCCGGTAGTGAAACTTCAGCGACCACCCTGTCCGTGGTAACGTTCTATCTCCTGACTAATCCACATGCATATGAGAAGCTGGTCGATGAGGTTCGGTCGATCGAGCATGATGATGAGATCACATTTGCAAGATTGGCGTCAATGGACTATCTGACGGCCTGCATTGATGAAGGAATGCGTATGCGTCCAGTTGTTGCAGCAGTTATTCCACGTGTCGGTCCTCCTGGCGGAGCTACAGTTGACGGTTACTTTGTTCCGGAAGGGGTGAGTGCTCGGTGCCGCGAATTTGTAGATCACGGATTACTGACACACATAGACTACTGTTGGTGTTCCGCAGTGGGCAACACATCACATGGACTCCAATTTCTCCGAGCACACGTCATACTTGCCCGAGAGATGGCTGAAGTCCTCCGTTGATGATCCACGTTTCGCCGCAGATCAGAAAGGAGCTTTCCAACCTTTCTCGAAAGGCCCCAGAAACTGCTTGGGCAAAGGGTTAGACCGCCGTTACTTATGAAGACTTCAGAAAACTGACGTTTAGCGAAACAGATTTGCGTATGGTATGATGCGTATGTTTCTGGCAAAACTTATTTGGCACTTTGACCTGGAACTCAAGCCCGAGGACCGTGATTGGGATGTGAGACCAAGCTTCAATTCTGTTGTATTTTGGGCCAAACCCAAGATGCATGTAAGACTGAAGCCGGTTAAGAGGTAAAAACTTTTGGGGTCTCGGTCCTGGGACCATCTTGTATGAAGTGTTTATGAGAAACTATTACCGTTGATTTCTATCTCAACCAATATCCCTACATAGACACCAGCCACGGTAGTTGTGCTCTTTAAGCTTACCGCCATAACATCTTTACTAGCTTCAATTCTTCCTGCATGTGTGGTATTTATGTGCGTCTTGATAATACGAAACTTTCCAATTGAGGACTTGAACTTTCTCGTTTTCATCACCGCGTGCAGAACTTATGAGCTCGGTCCCACATTACCTCTATTACTGCCTTAGCACTGTGCAGTCTCTCAACTATCCTGATCCCGTTCAATCTCACCCCATTCTGATTTTCCTTGATTATTTTCTATGAACTCCGCAATCCCAAGACCACCTCTTTCGTCTCTCAGCTTACGCTCCCCAACCACTAAGACTCTTATAACCACGTTAGGCCCCGGTTTCTGTACCAAGGTCATCAGTGGCTCAAGTAGCAGAGTGTCATATTGCGAAAGTGTGTCAAATCGGTCTACGATGAGGTAGACTACGCACGGCTTGGCTTCAGAGAGTAGCAACTGACTTTGCGCTGAAATTAAGGCAATAGATGCCTCCAGAAAGGCCATGGAAGCACTGGAACAATCCTTTGATGTTGCTCTTCTGTTCCCAGCACTCCGGTCTTCAATCAGCTCCCGACTAGTCTTTGCAGTTTCCAGGACGTTTTGAAATAGACACTCGAATTCCGGAGTGCTGTGACTGCCCAATGCCGCTCGACCAGCGGAGGTCAAACTCAACAACTGGAACCCAAGATATAGAAGCACAAGTGCGGCCGTTGGAACAGAATGAACACGTACGCTTCTGTCATCATACTTATTATCTGGTTTGCATAGGTGAAATGCCACAACAGCATCCTTTTTCTGTAGCAACCGAACTACTTCCACACTGGCCTGGGAAACCCATGCCATGTTGGTGCTCGAGGGGGCCTTTGTACGCCCATGAAGAAGCAGGAGCCTTGATGATTTAAGCTGCTCTGTGTCATTCATCCAGGTCTTGAAAAGCAAATTGGAGGTTACATCGTTATTTTCGAAAGGCGGCATCCTCTTGAGGTGCGAAAACTCATCGTCGAGTTCGGAAGCGAAATCTCTGAGTTGATTGGAAGGATTGCAGGGAGGAAGGTTAAGAAGTAAAGATAGCTTCTCAATCCTGGCAGTGGATCTTTCGATGCAACTTTCTGAAGCAAGATTAAGTCAGTTTCATTCATGCACAGTTTGATTGTAAAATACGCACGCGCAATACTGGCATCCATCTTGATCTCTACCCTACTCAATCGTAGATGGGCCTCCACGTCACGCTCTTTGACGACTTCATCAATGGCACTTTTAAGAGCCGAAATCTTTGCGTCTAGAAATATCTGCGGTGGCCGGGTTGCCACATGCCACAGCCTTCTCCGTGAAGAATAAGAGTAGTAGACGGTGGCCTCCTGCAGAAATTCGATTCCGAGACGGTACACGTTGGCAACACATTCCCTCAGTTTATTGCTGTTGTAAATGCCGACCAGGCTTTTGATACGGGTGTACTCGGACCTCAAAGTTTCAATCATGCTCTGAAGTTCTGTTTCTGTTCCGCTCTTGTTCACAGCGACCTACGACATCCTGTTAGCGATATCTGCAGCTGATGTAGCGTTTCCGAACATGTTCTGCTCGGCCGATTGGGAAAGCCAGTGAACTGCTGAAGCTTTCAAATTTGGTTACTTACCAGAGCAAACAGTCCCAATACTTCTAGTGCACTCGCCACGAAGGTCTGATCGATGCCACCCATCAACTGCACTACCCCTGAGTAGACTTTGCAATAAGCTTGGAACACCACAAGAATTTCACATAGATCCCTGCCTGTTCTTTTAAAGATTCTTGTGTCGAGGCGGTGAGATTCCTCCTGTGACGAGGCCGTTGTTATCATCTCAGCGATGAGTCTGTCAAGCTCGTCGAGATTTTGAGCAGAGAGAACAGCTGTTTCATACGACACGCCCTTGGAAAGCTGGGGCCTAAAAATTACAGTTCTCCAGCCAGGTTCCAGTACCTTACGACGAGTTCTTTGCCAGAGAGAATCTACTGCGGCCGAAGAAGTGCTAGTAGCTTTCTTCTTTACAACGCTTAAAGGATGCAGAAGTTAGAGATTTATGAGACCAAAAAGCAGGCAAATGAAGACAAATGTTTTTTGAAGATGCTCACGACTGAAACTCATGCCCAGTTGAGGCCCAAAACTCGTCTACTTCCTGGGCAGTGTACTTCGTTCCTGCTGCTGGCGCATTCGACCCAGCTAATCGTTCCATTCTATCAATATAATGCGCTGCGCAAGACTCAAGTTGGAGAATATGTGATGAAATTGAATATAAGTTGAGCAACCAAAAAGTCTTCTTGAGAAAGAGGGGGAAAAAAAACCATCAGAAGGCTAAGCCAGGCGATGTACGGAAGTTGGCGGCCCCGGCTGCTCGATCAGGCTGAGAATTTCTGCCTAACAGTGCAAAGTCTTGGGCGCATGGTCACTTTTTCTACGGGATGTTATCTAAAAACCTCTAAACTTGGAAAAAACTACTTCTCTGGGAGATCAGGCTGCCTCGTGTGTGCAGGGGCTGAAAAGATATGTAGGGCGTGATCGCGAGTGAGGTACCAGCTTAGTGGCTGCCTCGCCAACCTGTGGACTGCTGACCACCCTAAAAAGTAGCTGATGAAATATTTGATACTTTTGATTAGTTACGGTTGAATTATTGCATAGTTTGCGTAACCTACACTGCATACCGAATGTGTTGTTTTCTCATATACCAGCAACGAGGTGCATGAGACTATTGAATAGCACGCATGATATTTCACATGATTTAAAAGAGGTTGGGGGTCGTTGCCTCGCGGCTCTGCGATGTTTGAGTCAAAAGACTGTCTCTTTAAACCCTTAGCTGAGAGTTTAAGAGATTGCAGAGCTGCTCTTGTTTCATCTTTGAAGTCTTTTACTCCTGCGGCGGGGGAAAAAAAAAAGCCATTCTCCAGATTTTGGCACGTAGACTAGCTCACACAATGTCAACGGTTACGCACGAGGCGACGAGCGAAAAAATCACCACACTCGAACATAGATACGTTTCGCTTCTTGAGTCGAGAATCAAAGATCTAGAGTCTCAGATCAACAAGGTTAATGGAAGTGGTGCAAAATGTGGGCCTCTCCCTGCAGCTAAGAACAGCACCAATGCCGAGCTGGTAAGTGATACAGAAGCATACATGTCTCATGGAATTTAGTCTTAGTCGTTCTCATCATTATCCCAGGATGTGCCAAGTAAAGTTGAAACTTCAAATACGAGTGCTACCGTACCTTCGGATGCTTCTTCAGAGAATGGCCCTCGGCCACTTTGCCGCATCATTCAGCGTTCGGTCGAGACAGAAGACGGCTCGGCTGAGCGAGAACTAGAGCAGTCTGAGTTATTGAAACTGGGTTTAGAAACCCTTGCTGCTGGGAGCGAATATAAAGGAACACCGCCACAGCTGACATGGGTAAGGTTTGTCGAGACGAATAACAGATACTCCTCAAGCGACATACTTGTCGAAGGATCCGAATTGAAAGCTCTGTTGAGCGTGGTTCTTGAGGCATATCCCGATTTACACATTTCCATTCCTGATTCGCCTTCTTCTAAGGATGGAGCCAAAGATCCTGTTGTCTTCAACAGCCCTTGTGAGCCGCTTATCCACAACTGGAGCAAACTCAGTGAACTGGCGCTTGAAAACTCTTCTCTCAGTGCAGAGCTGGAGTTGCGCATAGAAAAGTCGGGCCCGCGTACAGGCATAAATACGGCTGGCGGAGATGACCAGACAGTACGGGCACTGGTGCATCTGGGAATGGCAGACAACTTGAAAAAGGCTCGTGAGCAGCTAGGAAGGCTGCTGAAGCTCGTCACGTTTCTACCAGAGCTGAGCAAGTATTTCCAGTCACTTGAAAGGCAGACCAGCACAGGCTATATTCAGTTCGCTCATTTATGGACCATATTCCCTCCGGGGGAAATCGTCTACTCCACTGTATTCATGGACGAGCCCCAAATCTTCATCGTCAAGGACTCTTCTGCGCCCGAAGAGGAATTGAGTTCTGGGGAGACATGGTCCATGGTTGCCTGGTCCTACGACTGGGACGGGGCCTGCTTCAATCGAGTACCGGTGACCTTCGAGTTCGAACATTTCACCGGTAGCAGAGTAATAAATACACTTCACTGCCATCCATTCAGATTCCATAAACCTGGGGAAACCATTTCATCTGAAGTAGCTTCACGAGAGGCTTTGGAGGCAGTGTTACTCGAACGGGGAAAAAGATTTACGGAGGTGTGCATAAAGCCAAGAGGGTCGCAAATGTTCGATTACAACGGTAGAGCACTCCTCCACGGCAGCGGCTTCCAGAACAAGTTGATAGAGGAATTGGAATATTTCAGAAGAATGTTCGAAAGTGGCCGCCCGAGCAGAAAGCAACGAAAAACTACCACGAAGAAGCGACTCATACAAGGCCGGGTCATGGTGGATTTTGAAGCATTCCTTGAATATTCCCCTGGTCGCGGCATAATTGGTCCCATGGGGTCGGCCATCTTTAAACATGGAGGTGGCGAATGCCTCTGTTCCGACTGCATTACCAATGATGCCCTCAGAGACAGTCAGAAGATGTACTACGACCGGGCGAAGGACCCGTCCCAATTTGAGGATCTCCAGTTCAAGTTATGCCCACCCAGAGTGCTTGGATATCATTTGGAGTCACGGACCTGGCTAGAGCTGAATATTTCAAAGCCCAAGGGAGCCTCAAGCGAGAACGCCGAGGACGGAGGAAGTTACCTCAAGGATATAAAGAAACTGCGGAGTAGAGAAGCGTTTAACAAATTACAGCTTCTTTCTACACAAAAATCGCTGATCCAGGACCTTGTACAATGCCACTCTAGCGGCAACAATTCAGAACCATTGATGACGGATATTATTAAGGGTAAGGGAAAGGGCCTCGTGATTCTACTACACGGACCGCCTGGCGTTGGGAAGACTCTCACTGCAGGTAAGTCAACCATTGTACGAGACCATCACTTCAGACCCCAAGTTGACAAACCCGGTTCTTCAGAAAGCGTCGCCCAGCTTGCAGGAAAGCCTCTATTCTCCGTCGGGGTTTCAGACATTGGCCTGATACCAGAGGAAGTTGAGCCAAACCTCGAAGCGCTCTTTGAGCTTGCAGCCAATTGGCGGGCCGTGTTGCTGTTCGATGAAGCCGACGTCTTTCTTGAGTCCAGGAGTGGTAACACATCTGACCTCAACCGAAACGCATTAGTCTCTGTTCTCCTCAGGGTCCTTGAGTATTACGATGGTATCCTGATACTCACGACAAACCGTATCACCCAGTTCGACATTGCCGTGCAAAGCCGCGTCAATCTAGGCATCAAGTACGACGATTTGGCACGCGAGCAAAAGCAGGACATCTTCAACAACTTCATCGACCAGCTCAAGCCGCATCAGATAGCTGACAAAAACAAAATCAAAGAGTGGTTCAAAGATGACGAGGAGGCCAGGGACTGGACCGACGGACTGAACGGGAGGCAGATTCGGAACATTTTGTTTTCGGCCGCAAGTCTCGCTCACAAGAATGACGGGCAGCTTAAGCAGGAACACATTACCCGGATGGTCAAGAGTACATGGCGGTTTCACGATGGTATCAAAACTGTTGTCGACGACGCGCGCCGACGAGCAGAGGTTGGAAGAAATTGACGGTCTGGACTTGTTCATTTTCGTCTCTGACCATCCCCTTTTTTGTCTTTTTTTTTTTTTTTTTTTTTGGTATTCTCTCACATTCTTTCTTGCAACATGTAATTGGAAATCTTAGTTGAAATGGCATCCATAACCGCCCCATGCTACCGGCTGCTGGCCATTAAGCCTCGCGTGAGCAGACGAACTTAACTACCTTACCTACATGACGGGCCACCGAATGAAAATCCCAACAGGTATATATTCGAGAGGAGGACTAACTAGTCAGTTGTCAGCTAAGGCTTTTTCTTCTTCTTCTTTTTTTTTCATTCTTTTTAAAGCCAGCCGGATGAGGTATCTTGTAATCATCAGTTACATGACCGCAGCAGCAAAACTTAGACGTCAATGGCATGTCGCCATGCGTCTCTTTGGGAAGGGTAGAGGTCCGTGCAAGATTGGAGACTGATCCTGTCTCCAGTTCATAGTTAATGGGACTTACTTTGTCGTTTTCATCGTCACTCTTCCATACAGGTAGTACTGTACCATGCGTGACTTTCCACCACTTTTGGGACAATACATCTGCTTACACCCACCCATACAGGAACTCTGTGATGCCAGCGTTTTCCCTCACAATCACAACGTCACAAGTAAACCAGTAGCAATACGAAACATTTGGATGAAAATTTTAATTCATTTTTCGTCCATCATTCTCTAATGACTACACGTTGATCTCCGGATCAACAGACCCCAACGCCAGACGATTCATGCATTTAAACGTCCTCCACAGACTATCGTAGCATCATAATCCATAAAAACTTATCTTTTACAATCCAGCGGAAAGAGTGTAGCCGCCGTCGACGGCGACATTCTGGCCGTTGAGGTACTGGTTGGTCGCGAAGAACAAGATGGCGCCGGCCATGTCCTCGTCCTTGCCGGGTCTCTGGGCGGGGACCTTACCCTCGAACTTCTCCTTCGAGAGGTCGCTCTTCTGCGCGTCGTCGGACTCTCCGGCCGTCATCTCGGAGGGGAAGACGCCCGGCGCGAGGCTGTTTACGCGGATGCGCAGGTCGTTGGCGGCGATCTCGGCGGCGAGCATGCGGTTGAGGTGGATGGCGGAGGCCTTGGAGGCGTTGTAGGCGAAGTGGTGCTGGGAGGTCTTGACCATGCCGCTGATGCTCGTGATGTTGATGATTGTGCTGGACCAGCCGGGGAAGCGCTCGGTGGAGCGCTTCAGCAGGGGCAGGAAGCTCGCGGCGGTGAAGAAGGTGGCGAAGACGTTTGTCCTGAAGGTCTCGGTCCAGTCCTCAAAGTTGGACTTGCTCTCGTCAAAGAGGCTGGCCTTCATGTCCTCGGCCGAGTCGGACTCGACGTCCACCTTGGCGGACGACACGCCGGCGTTGTTGACGAGGATGCAGAGGCAGTGCTCGCGGGACTCGATCTCCTTGACGAGCTTCGTGATCTCCTCCTTCTTGGTCAGGTCGGCCTGGATGGGGATGATCTCGCCTTCAATGTTCTTGCCGTACTCCTCGGCGACCTTGTCGAGCTTCTCCTTGGTGCGGCCGGTGATGTACACCTTGGCGCCGTTGCCAGCGAGAGCCTGAGTGGCCATGAGGCCGATACCGCTGCCACCACCTGGGGTTTGTTAGTCCTGAATGCTTTGTTAGGAAGAAGTATCAAGGGAGCTTACCAGTGACAAGGGCGACCTTGCCGGAGAGGTTAAAGAGGTGGTCACGGGTGAAGAGCTTGTTGCCCTCGGCACCAGCGGTCTTTTGTCCAGACATTCTGATTTGTGTATTAGGGTATCTCTTGTTGTAACTTGGAAATGTGTTTGCTAATGAAATTGCCGTCGAAGTACGTTGCGTAGACAGGAATCTCGAGTTGTTGCTGCTGTTGATAACAGATCTAAGGGGAGAGCAGATGGGAGAAGCACGAGTGCTCATATATGAATGTCTGCCCGCCAGACGGACGCAAGAAGCAGCAGATGACCTCATGATGTTCAATTACTGTCGAAAAAGAAAAAAAAAATAAGAGATGAAAGCCGAGCCAATGAGCTGATGATATCTTACAAAACAGCTACCTCACGGATTAGCATGGCAAAAACGAAGGAAGCCATAGCGGTTCCTTTATGGCGGGGGCGAGAGAGAGAGCCCGCACTGGCAATCGGAGTTCCCAATGGTAAATCGAATAGTCCTCAACACACAGCTACGTATCCGTGAGGTGAAGACCACGGGGGGATGAGGTCAGTCGCGGCTCCATGACGACACCTTTCCGCAATCCATGTGCGCGGGCGGCGGAGAAAAAGATCCGCTAGAAGCTCTAGAACAGTGGGCGGGGAGTGAAGCTATGGTGGGGGTACCTGTGGCCCCCATCTATTGGGTGGCGATGGCGACGGCCGGTGCCCCGCCCGTTTGGCTGGATCTGACCGGGAAACTCTAAGTGAGCCGCCTAAGGGTACGTATTGTTTTCAACGCCATGAATTACTTCAAGCTTCATCTTGACTCATCATCACCTTGCCTTTACTCGGTAAACTCATTGCGACGAAGTTTTAGTTAGTAACTTATGGATATGAGATGAAAGTTCAACCCAGCTGTCATTTGTAGACTGCGGCAAACCTGACCATCATGAGAAGCACATAATGTTGAATACTCATCTAGTGACACTCATCTAATCACAAACAAATCAAATGAAAGAGCCAAATCGCCCTGGGGTATTTATTCATACAAACTAATACAATACTATCACCGTACGGTAATATGCTGAATAGCAGCTTTCCACTTCTGCTCATCCGTCCTGTCGTCAAGTTAGCATCGTACTCTTGATCCGTAAACCTGAACCCTTAAAAAAAAAAGGGAGAAACTTACTTGTCAAACTTCAAAATCCTGCCAAGCACAGGAACAAGCTGCTCCCTCAACTTATTATCCTTTTGCTCCAAAAATTGCAACAGAATAGTCTTGAGGTAAAGACTATCAGCCGACCCGGGCGTAAGCGGCGCCGCGCCGTTGAGCCCTCCGGACCTGCTTGACTCCACCGAGCTCCGCCCCGACGTGACGCTCGCGCCGAGCTTCGACTGAACCGTCTTGAGCTCCTTGTTGACCTTTTCGAACCTCTGTTTCGACTCCTCCAGAAGTTTCCTGAGGTCCGACTTTTGCTTCTCGGCATCGCGGACCTGTTGCTCCGAGGCGTCGAGGGTGGATCTGAGGTCCGAAACCGCCGAGCGCATCTCGTTGACTTCGGCCGCGGCCTTCTCCTCCACGGCTTCGAGCTCCTCGCGCCGCTTTCTCCATTCGCGCTCTTTACGTTCGAGGTCATCCTTCTCGCCGGACAAAGTCTTGATGTCCCTTTCGAGATCCCGGATCTTCTGCTTCAGCTCCTCCGTCTCCCTCGTCTTTCTTCTCGCGAGGGTGCTTGACTCGTCCTCGATACGGTCGCGTTCTTCAATGGCCGCCTCCATGCGCGACCGCATCTCGCGAACCTTGCTATCGGCGCGCTCGTCGACATCGGCAAGCAGTCCGCGCATACGTTCCGCCTCGCGTGACCGTTCCGACAGGTGCTTCTGAATCTCAGCAAGTTCCTCCTCAAGGGATTCAGACTGAGAACGGGCCTCCTTGAGTTGGATGGTAAGCTCGGCCGTCTGGTCGCGCATGCTGCTGAGCAGACCCTGCGCGTTGGTGTACTGTTGCGTCTTGAGTTTCGCGTCCTCTTGGAGCGTTTGCTTCTCCTTTTGCAACTTTTCAACTTCCTGCTCGAGCTCCTTGACCCTCGGGCGGAGCTTGTTAGCCTCCTCTTGCACCTTTTGCAGCTCCCTTGCCGTCTTCTCCTCCTTGGCACTGAGCTCGACCTTTTCGGCTTCAACCCGGCGGAGGTCGCGTCCGGATACTCTCTGCGCATCCTCGAGACGGAGGCGGTTGTTCGTCTCGTTGGTGAGCTTCTCGCGGAGCGACTTGATCTCGGTTTCGCGGTCCGTGGCAAGGCGCTGCGACCGGGCAACATCCGCTTTGAGATCCTTCTCCTTCTTCTCCAGGTTGCGGAGCTCCGCGTTCTTCGCCGCGAGCTCCTCCTTGACGCCCTTCAGGGCAACGGAATCTTGACGCAGACTCTTCATCTCGGGCTGGGCCTTCTGAAGCACCTCCCGCAGTTCGGTGAGGTCCTTGTACCGGGTCTGTGCCAGTTGCTGAGCTGCGCCCAGGTCGGACTGCAGGGTGGAGGACTTGGACTTGAGGTCCTCGTACTCGCGCTGAAGAGTGTCGAACTCGCTCTGGAGCTTCTCGGTGGCCTTGGCGTCGTTGGCTGACGATCCTAGCTCCTTCTCTAGCTCCTCGATCCTGGTCTGCAGAGCCTTCTTCTCGATCTCGAGGTTCTTGATCTTCTCCTTGGCCTCGACGTGACCCTGACCGATATCGGTAAGCTCGTCGCGCAGCGTGTCAATCTCCTCACGCAGATCCTCTTCCGTCTTGCGCTGCTTCGTCAGCCTCTCAATCTGAGAGTCCTTTGTGCTCACTTCCTCCTTCAGGCGGGTAATCTCCGCCTCCAGCGCCTCGGTATCGGCTTCCTTTGGCTCGTCAGCTGCCGGCGCAGGCTGTTCGGCCGCAGGGGTTGCGGTCGCGGGAGTCGCGGCAGCACCGCCCTTCTTGTTCTTCTTCTTATTCTTCTTGTTGTTCTTGGAAGCGCCACCCGCACCAGCACCAGCAGCCGGTGTCTCCGCCGCCGACGGCGTTGTGGGTGTCGCAGGCACAGGCTCGCTCTGCTTCTCCAGTTTCTTGGTAAGCTCGTCAATCTTGGCCTCATTGTCGGCCTTCTCCTTCTTGATGGTCTCAATCTGCCCGTTCAAGGTCTTGATCTTCTTCTCAACCTCGGCCTTGGAAGCCAGAACCTCCTTAACACGTGCTTCTTCCTTGTCGGCCCTGGTGTTCGACTCGGCAAGCTTCGAACGGACCTCCTTGGCCTCCTTGGTGGCATTGGCGAGCTCACCCTTGAGCTTGGTCTCGACCTCCTTGAGCTGCTTTTGCGAAGCCTCCAAACGCTCGGTGAGTGACTTGATTTCGGTGTTTCTCGCGTCGAGCTGCGTCTGAAGAGAGGTCGTGACAGCCGCCGAGTCGCGCAGTTCGCTGGCCTCCTTGGTTGCCTTCTCCAGGCTCTCGGTCAAATCAGCGCTGGATTCCTTAGCAGAGGCAAGCTCGGTCTTGAGAGAGTCGACTTCGCCCTTGAGCTTCTCAATCTCCTCCTCCTTAGCAGCCATATCGGCATCGTACTTGGGGGCCTCGTCGTCATAGGAGAAGAAATCGCCAGATTCTTCCGCCTTGTCCGCCTTGGCGTCCTCCGGCTTCTGCTTAGGCGCGAAGATACCCATGGCCTGCTGAAGAGGCGACTTCGTAGCATTGGGGTCCGAGGGCTGGGCGGAGGCGTCATCCTTGGTATTTGTCGCCGCGTCGACCTGCTCCTTGGCTTCATCGTTTTTGTCCGCAGCGGGTTCGGGCTTGGCGGCCTTGAGCTCCTCGACCTCCTTCTTCAGGGTCTCTACCTCCTTCTCGGCCGCTTCGAACTTCTTCTTGAATTCGTCCTTCTCGACGGAAACCCGCTTGTACTCGTCCATAATCATCTGTTCCTTCTGCTTCAAAGAGTCGAGAAACTCGACGAGGGCGTCAGGTTCTCTGATAGAGCCAACGCTAGTATGCTCCTTAAGCACTCGTTCAAAAGGTTCGATGGATGTGGCGCGGCCATGGGCGATTCGGTAGGATCGAAGCAGTTCTGTAAGATGTTAGCATGGACGTCGCAATGACACGAGGTCGTACGCACCGGGATATGTTTTCTCGAGCTTCTCCAGCTTGCGGAGTTTCATCCGGACCTCAGGAGACAACTCCGGAGTGGCAGCCGGCGCAGCATTAGCCGCGCCCGCAGCCCCCTCCTTCTTCTCGTCTCCTCCATTCGGTTCTCCTTCCTCTACCTTCTCCTTCTTCTCCTCAGGCTTTTTATCCTCCATGGCGGCAGCAGGTGGCTTTGGTGTTCCTGCTCTACTAAGCTCCTCGCTGTCGTCGAGCACAAAGGCCGCTTCAAAGACGGCTGGGTCGGGGTTCGAGGGGCTATCGCCGTCCTTGGTATTATCCTGACTGAGATTCTTCTTTGGCCGAGGCCGTCGCGCGGGCGACTGATTGCTCCGCGACGTCGAATCCGACCTGCGCGGTGTTCCTGAGTCTGGGCTGAGAGCCTTTTGTCGTGCCTGATCCTGTCGAGCCTGTTCCTCCGCAATTGTCCGATCGATGGCGCCCTTGAGCCTCTGTTGAAAGCCCATCATGTTAGCCGTAGATAGTCCAACTGCTCGTTAGGAAAAAAAATGGTATGTAGAGCTTGGTATGAACAAGTAGATGAAAATAAAGGTTTTGTCGGAGACGCACCTGGAACATGTTTGCCGATCAAAGGGATGGATGGGATTACCCTGTGACCATGGATTCGTTATTCTGACGGGAATGTCAAGCAAAAGGGGAAAAGCTATGGTCTATTGGCAGTGGCAAAGCGCAGCATTATCGGTAATGGCGGAATGTAAGTCCAGTTAGCGAGGCAAAGGGAGAGTCTGTTGCGGATGCAATGGTTCTGTGTCAAAAAGTTGGTCGGCGTTCCGTTGGCTATGAAGAGGCATTCAAGGGACGGAAGACGGGACCCTACGTACATTTCAGTTCACAGGTGTCCTCAGCGAAACTAGTGGTTCCAGGACCTACTTCCAGAGTTTGAGGTAGGGGAAGCACGGACAGTGGGGACCTCTGCTGGAAGGGCCGCGTTAGCGTTCAGCCTCGGCACTAGCCACATTTGTTTGTGTGTGCATCTATCCGTGTTGCCGTCCTATAGCAAACAGTCGCTGTACTCCCTGCTACTACTACCTACTACTACATAGATTTGTTTATCATAGGCACTCATAAGAGACATGTCAAACAACTCCAATGGTAGCACATCTCACTGACTTCATATACTGCATTTATGTATGGAATATTGCTGTAGCTAGCCAACGGCGCACTCGCCAAACACCCACTTACTTTCCACCCTTGCCCTTGCGCTTCTTGGCCCCAGATACTCCTTGTCTACCAGTGGCCTTTGCGCCAGCATCCTGAATCTCCTCTACCTGCTCCTCCTTGACCTCCACGCTCGAAGCATCATCATCATCAGACTCCTTAAACTCCTCGCCAACAGACACGTCGCTACCGCTGGTTCCAGCTCGCGACCCGAGGACTTCTCTCATAATGCGCTTTCCTTCATCCATCTCGCCGTTCGTCGCACCGCAGCCCATGCACTTCCAGGTCCCCAGTTCCGAGAGAGTCTTGGTGCCGGGAGGCGCTTGACCGTTGACCAGTCGGCAGTGTGCGCAGATAAGGACGATCCTGTTCTTCGATGCCGTCTCGTCTTCGCCAAGAAGGAGATCCATGATGCGATCGTACCAGTGCGATGAGCCGGCGCCGTCAGCATGCACAAAGTGCTGCGACTGAGGCGGAGGTGGCGGGGGCCTTTGGCCGCCGCTATATGCGTTGGGTGCGAACTCTTCCGTAGGCTCGAGGCCATTAGGTTGTTGCGGCGGACGCTGCTGCTGTTGGAATCCGGGGGGAGGAACACCGGGGCCGGGACGCTGGATATTGGCGGTAGGCGGGGGCGGCATATTCGTACGTCCGCCCTCGTGTTGCTTGGGCCCCTGATGCCGCGGCTTCTTCTCTTCATCAGCCGCACTTTGTTTTCTGTTTCTGTTCTTGTTCTCATTGCCGCCATATTTCTCAAGGAGCTCCAAGGTAGAATCGTATCTCGTGGCCTCCTTGAGCTTCTGGATCGTCTTTGCCCGCTCAGCTTGCTGCTCCTTAAGACGAGCGGACAGCTTATCGATCCGGTAGTTGAAAAAGGCCGTGACGGTGGTTCGCGTAAGGTAAATTCTAGACTCAAGAGTTAGCATTCGTTGTCCAAAGAGCTCCAAGGTGGGAGACGAACACAATCGGACCTCCGCCGACGCCCACCCACTCCCACAAACCCATGCCATTCCATCCTACCACGAGGAAGATGACAATAGAGTAGACGAGGTATGCGAAGGCAAGATACAACGACCAGAGAACCCTAATGCGACGGGAGGTCGCCCGTGCGCCATCGAGTCGGGCCTGGGTTTCGGTGATTCTGGTGGAGAGAGCGGAGAGGGTCTTTTCGAAAGAGGCGGGGGAGGAGTCTTCTTTCTGCGATCGTCAGTTAGTCGCTATCGCAAGCCTCACAGGACGCCAAAGGGGCGACAATAAGATTCAGAAGAAGCGCAAACGTACCCTCCACGGCCAAAAGGACACCATGACGAATAAGTGATGCGACCACGTGCCGATTTCAAAGAGGCATTTCCTCAGCTGTTAAGCCGGCAACAACGAGAAAAGGCAAGAAGCAAACGGTAAAAAAGAGACAAATAAAAAGGCAGAAATGAAGTGAAAAAAGATTGTGAAATGATGCGATGCGATGCGCAAGTAGAGTTCAGACGAGCAAAGTCGTCGGAAGGGGACCCAGCGACAGCGATGCGTGTAAAAGGAGCGGGAGGCTGAAGGGTGGCCGGGATGACAGGCTGGGGGAGGGAGCTTCTGGAAGGCAGAGAAAAATGGCGAACGAGGCCAGCTGTTATGACGCAGCCAGCAGGAGCAGCGCAACTGAACCCTCAAACGGGGGGAGAGGTGGGTCCGAGCTTCTAAGGCAGCTAGCCCTGAGCTCTGCTAAGCGTGGCCAGTCAGCGGTTAGCTTCTGCCGGTGCCGTGCAGGGGTGGCTGGGCTCAGCTGTTGTGTGGTGAGCTCACAGGTTGTAATAGATTTGCTGATGCTCACAATTTTCTTGAACGGGGATCAAGTTGAGTTGAAATAAGAGGATAAGAGTTTTGACCGAAGCTTCTGTACTACTTGTCTACTGGTAGTGGACAGGTTATTAAATTGTTACACTTTTGTTTGACATGTTGCCTCGTCTCATATGTGTTAACTCATATCACATCATTTACAAGCCCTTATATAGATAGCTATTCGAATGATCTTTGTTTCTATTCCAACACATATTGAATCTCAATTCATAGCCTATGTTTTCTCGGCAGCAATGGTTAGAAGCTTCAAGACTGCACGACTACGGCCAGTGCTGTGTAGCCTTTCACAAGCGATTTTAGGAATAGAACGAGACAAACTCATTTGGACTCGTGTTATAGTGAGAGTATAATGCTCTAGTGTAGTAGTGAGATCATGAGAAGATGCACATGACGCCTTCCTTCTCGAGTAGGAGAGACTCATACCCGTTATCCGGCCTTTTCCATCTTCGTTCCTTACCTTGCTATTGACTCAGATAACATGGTGATTGATGGAAAGACAAGATATCCCGAAACCTTCCATGGAATCAATCCTATCATTTTGAATAATATCTCTGCATACGAAAACTTAGCTTGCCTTGTTCAGCGTCCATGTTTCGAAGCACTTTCTTGTAAATCCAGAAACGTTGCTACTACAACATAACTTGTAGCACATGTTTTACAGGAATGAAAGATAGCAGAACTCACTAGAGAGTTTTTGCCCATCAGAATATCCCATCCTATTCCGTACAAAGTAATCCTTGTGAGTTACAACAGAAAAAAGTGGTAAAAACATCCAATGCTCTCATAAACTTTGAACGTCAAAATATGTGGCTCGAAACCTTATGCCGACAATCACCACAGATTCCACATCCTTAATATGGTAAACAAACCCTCAAGGAACTCAAATGTCTCCTAATATTGAACTAAGAGAAGCCCTCTGTAAGGTGAAAACGGCAAGTTCGAACATCAACTCATCAGCGCCCCTGGTACCCGACATCTCCACCAGCAAGTCATTCAAACGCTGAGGCGAGGTTTAGAATTTAAAAAAAAAAAAAAAAGCCCAAACAATCTGTACCATATACCACAGTCACAACTGGACTCTCTAAACAAGGCCGCTAATAACCCGGGACTTGCGGCGATATACTAGAACATGTCGTCTCCCTACCTCAGCCCGACTCTGCAGGTCAACGACGGCATGGCAAGACGAGGTCAACCCTGAAGACTCTGAACTGCATCGACGGAACCAAGTCAATCCATATCCGTTGAAAGCTTCACTATCAGTGAACCGTTATTCGCCAGTGGCCAAGAAGACGCGCATACTCCCTGCCCTTCCAGCTGGCGTCACCCCTCACAGCAAAAAACACTCCGGGACATTCGATGGGTACCATTAGGATGCCTGCCTACATTGACGAGGGTGACTCTGTTTGGTGCTCTACTATTGTTTTATACTCAGGTCGACCCGTAATATACCAGGTCTTTCATATACCATCAAGAATTGAGCTGGACAGCATCTACCCACCGTTATCTCGTCAAACATGTCGGCAGTCTAGTTACTCCAAGTCAAGCAGCCATCCCATCCCTGGTACTAACACTATAAATCAACACCATGCTGTCGTTGCGCCGCAAATGGTACTATAATTTGTAGCTGTTGACAAGGTAATTAATAAGATAAAGACGGTGCCCAGTATACGAATGGAGACCATGACCAAGAGAATCGAAACACATGTTCAGAGTCACGTAGCCAGTACGCCTCAGTCCTCGTTTAACTTTCATCATGTTTCACTACTCAACTACCAAACTACTGCCCTAGAAAGAGGGGAGGCGCAGAAATATGAAAGGAGCCACCTCCAGTTCCATCCGTCGACCACACGGCCAACCAGCCCGCCTCCCACCCTACAACAAAGTCCAGCCCTCCGTTCTCAACTCGAGGTCAACAAACCCGACCAACCTCCTAAGCATCTCCAGCATCTCAGCCGTACAAAACACCCTCACCCTAGCCTCGTCGCTCATCCTCCGTAACCTCTCCCTAACCGCCCGCACCGCATCGAGCTCACCCTCAAGCGGGTCTTCCAAAGCAGCAACCACGGCGCAATCAACCATCTGCCCGACAAGCCACTCAATCTCGTCGCCGAGCGTGGCAAGGAGCTGATTCTTCACTTCATCCGCGAACCGGCCCCTTTCAAACTCAAAGTTGTCATGGACAGACTGCGTCACCATGGCACGAATATCCCCCATAAACTGCATACGACGGAAGTCAGGAGATGAGAAAGCCGCGTTGAGCATCTTGATGTCTCCTTCCGTGTCAACACTACCTTTCGAACGCGAAGACGAAGGGGTAGTCTCTAATTCTACCACGCGGATCTTGGTCACGCCGCGGCCGCTGTCGGGGGTATTCCGCGCTGGTGATGATGAAGGCGACCGAAATGGGGGTGTCGTCGGGGCCGGGGAGGCGGGTGTCTGGCGTGGCTCCGCCAGGATCTCAGCCGAGGAGCAGCGGGAGAGGAATTGTCGGGCATTGAAGGCAGGCAGGGCTGCTCTGAGTGCGGAGTCAGTACCTCGGCCCGTGACCAGGAAGGTATCGACCTCTGGCTGGGGCGCGGGGGTTTCTATCCTCGAAGAGGGATTCAGATCATTGAAGGAATAGGGAAGCGGAGGTGGCTCCGCGGTGGGATTCTTGGCCGGCATGGAGCTGAAATCGATGGGGATACCTGGATGTCTGTCTGTCAGTGTGTCAGATATTGGTAAGTGTGCTAGACTGTTGTTAATCTTTGGCTTGTTTCTGATGATACCAATGTTGGTTTACGCGAACAATCTTGGTAATATATAGCGCTCTTGTCCATGAGTCCTGGTCAGACTTGACTCTATCATGTTCATCACAGTGGTCGATTGCGACGGCCAGTCACTGGGCGCTGGAAGCAAACACAGCGTTGCAATTGTTGGCGACACAGCGAACAGTTCGGACTCATAAGTTAACTCGTTCGCATGCACTGCATTCCAGCCAAAGGATCGCTTGATCCACCAGGATGCTGGAAAACGATAGCCAGCCGTGAGTCTGCGTGGTTGTTGTCGCCACGTCATTGTCAATCCACAGGGTAGATCAGTGACATGCATGTCTTGACTCGTCACAAAAACCGTTGGGAGTTTTGCGCCCTGTTACCCTAGAGGGGCGATTAGGGACTGGCTGGGCCGCCGGACCTCCACTTCACTCACATAAGTTCCACGACTCCGACAGGGCACAAGGGTCCATCCATAAGGCAGTTATCAACGGGAAATTGACAACAGAAACTCCGGGAAAGCAAACACCCGAAGCCAAGACATGCTGTGGTTTTTTTTTTTTTTCTTCTTTCTTTTCTGGTCGGGGATGTTTGACTTCCTACAGTTGAGGTTGTCATGAACAAGACCAGATGAATAGATTCGGCCGAAACAAATTAGGTTGAGAATTAACCTCCACCTGACAGACAGCATGCTGGCATGGCGACTTCAGGCTAGCACGATGCGCTGCAGGGACCTGTGTATGCACAGATCCGGCGGTTAAGATCCTGCAAGGCGACGACGGGAGACTCTCCGCGAAGTGGTGTGTCTTTCGGTGTGGATGTTGGTGGGTGGTTGTATGCATGTTTGCGACTGTTATTGCAGTTTTGGGTAAATGCACCCGCATTTCGAACACGAGTTGCAGCCAGCTGCTCAGGGCCTTGCGTTGGCGATCGTAGAGGCAGGCTGAGCCGGGAGAGCCGGGCTCTGGACTTTATCAATACGCCCGGTGTTAGTTCCAGTAGGAATTGATATTTTCTGGGCTCAGTCAGCGGTGACAACGGTAAGTGGTAGGTCGGGATTTGAAATAAAAAATAAAAATCGCAGTAGCTTGGCTAGGGGGGACGGGCGGAAAGGCGGGCTGCAACGGTCGGTGGGCGTCTGCGTCTGTGTTTGCGTCTGCGTACAACGTCGATGGAATCTATCTGGATCAACACAATTTCCTTCTTGAAGCGGCAGGCAAGAAGAGAGGCAGGGAATATACTTGGCCGTGGCAGTATCGACACCCGTGGCGGTCCAGACGGGCGCATTGCAAGCAAGTCTGTGACAGGATGGTGGTCGGTCATGTAGTAGCTGAGGTGAAAAATGACAATAAAACCCCACCAAAAGGTAACGGCCGAGGCTTTGTAAATGTATAGTAAACCGTAGGAGGGCGGGCGTCTAGACCGAGTTGGGTCTTTTGGGGAAGTGGTGCGGCTGGATTTGCAGGATTTGCAGCTACCACATGGTAGACATCTTGGAGCTTGAGCCAGCTGTTGGAGCTTGAGCTGAAGCTGGAGCTGCTGGGTTTGTAGTCTTGGTTGCGGTCTCGGCTTGGAGTAAGGATGGAGGGCGACAGGGAACAGGGTCGGAGCTACGGCAGCCCGTTGCGTCGATCACCACTATGGATGAGAAAGATGTGAGGTAGGAAACCAGAAAAGCTGGAAAATGATGGCCAATGTGTGGTCCTTTCAATTTGAAAAGGGCGTTGTTGTATGAGTAAAGATTGTCGTTAGAGCTAGGTGGTGATGGTGATGTAGTTGTTGTGTTGTTGCTGCTGCTGCTGCTGCTGCGGGGTGTCACCACCCACCACCACCACCACAACGAAAAGTAGCTTAATACCCGCCGCACATGTGAAGAGTGACAAGGTACGTATCCATTTCAGTGCTAGCGGGTCTTTAATCTTATGGATAGCATCCTTTTTCAATGCCGTCACCAAAAACAGAATCTTTGGCCCGATCCGGGGTGGAGGACTTGAAGAAAATAAAAAAAGATAAAATAGACACCGGAAATAAAATCAAAAAAAGAAATGGGGATCTCGAAAATGGATCGAAGATGGATCGAGAACACGGCCACTGAGAAAAATTAAGAGAGCCACGGGAACATTCGGGGGGGAGAAATCGGGGATCAATAAGGAAGTAGTCTTTGGTAGCAATGCATGCAAAAAGATACCTGAGCCAAGTTAGAGCCCCACTTACTCTCATTTGATTGACTACGGATGGGGCCGGGTGGGTCTGATACCTCGTTCGATTCCCTCAGTCAATGGGCTGTTGGTCTCGACGTTCGACGATGCAGCAAAATCAGACCACTTTGACTAGTTCTCGAACCAAACACACCTCAGCCAGGATTCAAACCAACAAGTCCTTTGACCACGCTCATCTCATTGTGTCACCGGCTTCACCCTCAATGTCCAGTTGATCCATTCAATCCCTCACAGAGCCTCCAATCGACGCCATTGAATTGGAAAATTCTGCTGACCTCGCTAAGCACCGCCCAAAAAAAAAGGTCACAGCCGCAGCCGCGATGCGATGCGATTACGATTTTCCCTAGTCACAAGACTCAAGATGCAATGCTATTACGGGCCCTTGTTGTCTCTTTTTCTCTCTCTCTCTCCGGTGGTACGCTGTTTATCTGATGCCAATCTTGAATGGTGATGGCGGGTATTGTTGGTGTTGGTGTTGACGTTGGCGGTGGCTTTGCCCCGAAATACACTACCAGCCTCAGCTCAGCTCCATTCCTTCGGCTCCGTCTCTCGGTATCCTCGGTGTTTTCAAGAGTCCACCTTTCGCATACACGCACACAGACAGCCAGTGAATTGTGAATAGAGGCGCATACTAGTCAACCGACCACTTGGGTCTGCCTGGCCACACCAGCATAACACATCCTTCGTGCACATCATTGTTCGAAATATGTCACTCGTTTACCGTGTACGGTATGGCGTCTCCAAGGGACCTACTCTTCGACCGCCTCCTCCAATTTGGATCATCCGGTACTCCAGACCAGAACTTGGTCGGAACCTGGAACCTCGTTTTCCGTGCCAGGGAAGTGGAATCCCCAGCGCAAAGGAACCTGGGTGGGAGGGACCCTGGAGATCTCGATCGCGCACATCTACCATGTCGCGGGCCACCTGTCAAACTGTCACCCGCAGCGTCAAGACACTGGCGAAGCATCAAACAAGAACTAAATCATCTTCACCAAGCAAGGCACAGCGGCATCCAACAAATGCACACACGTCCACGCCTGATACCCACCGCCTCCCACGCCATCACAGCTTCTCATGCACGTCAAAAACACATCCAACTAACCGCCGCCCGCTCAATTACATCCCCAGCATCGTAGAGTCAGTCCTTCCATGAAGGGCAATCCTGCCCTTCACCGGCCCCATCCGCCAATTAGGTAATGTTTGACACCTCACTTTTTTTCATGACGCCTGTCACGAATCACACGCACTCCATCTCGGTCGATGTCATTCGGATCTTGGTTACGGAAAGTCTTGGTTTTAGGGAGGATTGGGCTAGAATCCCGACTCCAGAGGACCCTTTTCCCAGTGTCCCTAGCATCCTTAGCATCCGAAGTCGTTTCCAAGGTATTGGCATGGCATGAGATTGATAGCATAGCCGATATCACCAACCAAGGCATTTTGACGCCCGTGACCAAGGTTTTTTTTTTTTTTTTTTTTGATAATATTGAAGCCATCGACAAGCGATGGGCAGCAAAGGAGCCTACCTTATGGTCAGATCCCATGCAAGATGATGAAGGCTGAGGGCAGATAATCGCAAAGAAGCGCTCGCCTCCGATGCCCCATGGTCTCATTTGCCCTGTGTCGCAATTTAGTCTCAATATCCCTTTCCTAGTCGGTAGCTAACGCACCAAAAGTCGGCAGCGGGCTTTTTCTGCCCGCCAAGGTTCCGAGGTGCCCCTCCATCGTTCTATTCTCTTTCCATCTCGTTGTGTCCCGTTCCGGGATTTGGGCCATTCCACCCCTGACCCTGTCTGCCCTGCCTACTTGCCGAGTTTCGCTGTCTCTTATTCTCTCTCTTTGACTCTCTGACTCCGAGGGGCTTCGCTGTGGTTGTTGCGCTTACTCATTAACTAAGATTGTCCAGGCAAGCAATTGACATGGTGGGTGGAAGAATACTTCCGGCGCGAGGAGAAAGGGGAAAAAAAGAAAGGGAAGGGTATGCTGTCTCCAAGGCCATAGCAGATTACATCTTCTCGCATTCGTATGCAAAGACATTACACACATCCCCATGTACACACACACACACATACATACACATAGAGCTAGCTCTCACTCTCTATCTCTCTCTCAATGTCCAGGCCCATGCCAACGGAAAGACCTCCGGGCGTCAAAGTACACTACGTACTGCGTTGGGAGGGATTCACGCACACATGCTGCTATTTTTCTCATTCAGCAAGCAGAAAATCCACATTCGTATGCACAGCACACGCACCGAGCTGTTCCCGCGGCGGCGAGAGAGAGGGGAGTCATGGGTCAGGGATGACATAGGGCCACCAAAGTTGCCCACCCACCTCTGGTGTATGCTCCGTGGTCCTTTACCTAGAGTGCCTCTCTCTTCTCATCCCTACCAGGCACGTCTTCTGTATGGACCGCTTCCTCCCAGCTGTCCAAGGCCGAGTCGGAGGATCCTCCCTTGTGCATGTGTCAAAGAGACCCCCCCACAGCACATCTTATGTCAATCATCAGTCTTTCCACCATCGGATCCGTCCGTCCGTACCATACCATAGGCAAAGCCGGGGGTGGTGGTGGTGGTGGTGGTGGTACTCAGGTAGAGGTGCCCAGCGACCGTCAGCTCTCTTGGGCGGTCGTACCTTTTTTTTTTTTTTTTTTTTTTTTTCTGTCACATTTCCATTGGACGACATGACACCCGGTGCCCATGGCTCTTTGTCGTATGACGGGCCCGTCCATCGCCAGTTTTGCTCGCCGTTCCAACCCGCACCCGCCTTACCATCACCCCCAATTCCCGCGAGATGGCCCACACCCTACCCGCGTACCATAGCTCTTGTCTACACACCCCCTGTTCTCTTGACTACCTTGTCCACGCTGCCAAGTAGTCGTTTTGCTGGTATACCCTTTTTTGAATCTTTTTCGACTTGTGTATATAGCTTTACCTCGCCGTCTATGTCTCCCCACCTGTCCTATGCTCGAACCATCAGCCTCAATCAAGAAAGTAACATCAGACATTCACACATCTCACCATACACATATTTGGTCTTCTCACCCACACCAAGTAACGCCACCAACCTCACACACACAATACTACTCACTCATACTATCAATCAATCAATCAATCACACACACTCAATCACCCAATCTCTCATCCCACCAGACCACCAAACAAACACACAACCCTAGACAATTACCCCTCCATGAATCGCACCATGGCCCAACAACAATCTTTCGAATACTATCAAGTACCCCAGATGTCTCAATCGGGAGTCGCAATGGTGAGTGCTCTCAATTCCTCTATTCCACTTTGTCAATTTTCCCCTTTTTTAGTGTTCTGAATAACCTCACCCGGTGTTCCTCCTCCCCCCAACACTACTCACACTCTCTTCCACTCTCAAACACCCGTCCACAACATAAACTAACAACCAAACAGAGCCCCCCAGAACTCTCTCCCCTCTCCTTCTACGACACCCAGGGCGACTTCAGCGCCGACTCGGCCCCCTCCCGCGGTTCTCCCGTCTCTCCCGTCTTCCCCGCATCCTCCTTCACCCTTCCCTCCGCCAACGACTGGCCCGCCTACTTCGAGAAGCCCACACTTTCCCCGGATCTTGACGTCTTCTACGGCGAGGCCTTTGGCAGCCCCATGTCCTTCCTGTCCTCTCAGAACCTCACTCTCAGCCCCACCGCCAACCCCGCCGACCTGATGTCGGAGACCGTTACCTTTGGTCGTGAGGGTATCAACGACACCCAGCCGCTGTTCCAGAGCCTCGACACTCCCGCCGCGAGACCCCAGCCCCAGCAGACACAGAAGTCGTCCCCAAAGATCACGAGACCCTCCGCTCCTGCCACCACCACCATCACCGCCCGCCCAGCCCAGCAGCGATCCCAGCCCCAACAAACACAACAACAACAACAAACCCGAGCCTCCCCGAGGAATAACGAGCTGAAGCGCAAGTCCTCCGCCTCTTCCGCCTCCTCCCGCTCCGCATCCCCCGAGCCCCCCGCCAGGAGGACAAAGCACTCGGAGCCTTCCAAGAACCCGCACAACATGATTGAGAAGCGCTACCGCGTCAACATCAACGAGAAGATCATCGCCCTCCGCGACGCCGTGCCCTCCCTGCGCTGCGTGGTCCAGCAGACCGAGAACCCCCAGGCCGCCGAGAGCGACGAGGCGTTCGACGTCGTCGAGGAGCTCGGCGGCCTCATGCCCGCTAGGAAACTCAACAAGGCCACCATCCTCAGCAAGGCCACCGAGTACATTGTCCACTTGGAGAAGAAGAACGGCCAGCTGTGGAAGGAGAACCAGGAGCTGGAGAAGAGGCTCGCCGACGTCCAGCGCTGGCAGAGGAGTCAGACTGAGGCTGGACCTTTCTGGTCTTGAGTCTATCGATTACGACGACGACGACAACAACAACAACAACAAAAAAATAAGAAAAAATGTTGGATTAGAGCGTTCGGAAACGGCCTGTACATATTCGGGGATTTCTCTCCGGGGGGAGGCAAACCCCCCCAATTAGAGAAAGAAAAAAAGCGACCATGAGCGATGTAAAGGGCGGGGGGAAGCGGCGAGGCAGAGCTGTTTTTCGACGAATTCCTTCCACAAAACAATGGCGTTTATCGGTTGGGCATAGGGCAGCATTACTGTTTTCCTGGTTTTTTTTTTTTGTTTTCGGGATGGCGCGAAGACAAAGATATTTTGTATACCACTGATTGGCGCCAAAATCGGGCTTCCATCAAACCATTGAAAGACGGCGTTTTTCCTTTTTTTGATATTTGATATTTTGTTCGCAAAGGGAAACGAACTTGGGTTTATTTAGGGGGACATGTATTGTTCTCATTTTTTGGTTATGGATTACGGACTATAGTATCCTCTCCCCTTTTTTGTTGCCGCGTGCCGCGCGGGTAATGAAACCTTTATTTAGTTACCTTTGGTTTTTGGTTCCTTGTGATCTTATGTTTGCTGCTTGCGAAAATGAGTCTAGTTGAATCTGACTCTTTAGGTTCTCTTTACGCATACATTTATTTGATGTGTATGCGCATATTGTCCTTGCCACGGTACTTGATTGGCTATTCTAGAAGGAGTATGCAAGGAACCGAGGAACGACATGGTCTTGGCGGTGTTCATGGTCAGCAGAGAATAAATCTTCACCCTACCATGAGCATATCAGCAAAGGTCAGATGAGTTGCAATGTGCAATTCGAATTATACCGCTGTTCCTCGCTCGCTCTGCGCATGACCTCTCAGAAACATTATCATAGTAAGATGCGGTAATGATAGTACCCCTTCAAGTGCCATTGGTCCACATTCTTGCCAAGCCCTCAAACTCACACTTTGGTTGTCACTATTATTTCGTGTGACGAACTAGACACATAGAAATCAGGCTAGAAAAGGTGTAAAAGAGTGACTTAATTCAGAAAGAGGGTGTGTACTGGAGAAAACACATACTTACACGTCTACGGTGTGCGTTTTCATACAGCTTACGTAAACATACATCGCTCGGTGTGTTCGGTGAACGTTTGACACTATCGTCACATTTCGTATACTGGTGTATGAACGAACGGTGTATTGTTTTCCGTGATCCCCGTACCAGCCTTGGTACTATGGCATAGAGTTTTGTATTGATAGAGATCGCTGACTTCCGGCAACTCTTGAATCTCTAAAAAAATACATTTACCCTTAATTTAAATGCATGAATTAGCAAACGGGCAGACATAGGAGCCCCCTATTTGACTTTATTCCGCACCTGGCGAAAATGAGGTCACTGGCAGTCGATGGGATAGCCAATTTGGCCGGAAGTAACCCGCAGATGGCACCGAACCCGTCCAAGAGTGCAGGCCTTTGAGTTTGTGAAGATTCCAATAAATATTCGCGGACGTCCCAAGTCCATCGCTTTCCTATTCTGAGCGCTTAAGGCAGTCCATTCGCGCCTCGCCTTAACAAGATGGGCTGCTCCCTTTCGCAAGTACAACGATGCGATGTGACCTGCTCAGGTATTCGTCATTGTAATCTTGAAGAAGGGAAGCAAAATATGCCGCGGGTGGCCTCAACCTGCCAGGTGAGAAAATATACCAGATATCATAGCTCGAGCTAAGTAATTTGCATTCGTGGACGAGTCCGGCATAGACGGGTATCCTACGAGCTGGTAAATCCGCTCCTTGGATCAAACTAGCCAGCAACCTCTTGCTCGACACCCAACGATTTCGGCAACCCGACTTCAATCTGAATGTCGCTTAAAGCTACTACGAGATCTCAGTCACTTTGTTCCAAATCTCTTTGCTGTTTAAAATTACTTTCCACTACAGGGTGTAACGCATCCAACCGGGGGGTTAATCTTTGCGTAACTGGTCTGAAATACAATAGCAGTACCTAGTTTAGAACCGTTATTGCCCTCGAGATGGGAGAAAACTAGCTATGCGAGGATGTAGCTTTGCTTTAGTCCACAGCCGGCATTGTCATGTCTGAGACTCAGCAGTCAGCTTTATCATCGCGACGATCTTGCTGATCATTTCTAGTCATGGTCGCAGCCATCGGCAGAATGGACTTTGAGAGAGCAGATAAACGTGGCAAATGATGTTTAACGGCGGCAAGTAAATACTCTAAATGGCAGATGAGAGCGTTGCACAAATTCCGGCCTGGCTTATTCGGTGGTTCTGAAGCAGTGGTGAAAAGTCCTAGAAGCTTTCCCAAACCATAACCTGCCCTGTCTATCCCACCAAATGCGGAATTGCTCCATTTTGGGACAGACGGATCCTACCCATCTTCAGTTATCTAGGCAAACATTCCTAGGCAGTCTTGGGCAATGAATTTGATTGGCTTTTCCCCGCCCGTAGCGCAAATAAGACTATACCGTACTCGATGGAATAGAGACAACCAACAACGATCCATGCTATGCTAACACCACCGTAACATAAGGCAAGCGGTCAACCTTTCTGTCACTCATCGGGCATCAGAACCAAGTTAGTCACCGTACGGCGCAGCAATTTGAGAAATATCACCAGGGCGGACACCATCGTTCCATTGCCAGTCGCTAATCTCCAATATTCCGCCTTCTGGTCAGTAGACCACTTCACGGGCTATCTCACCTCATTTCAGCCACACAAACAAGCAAACAGTCCGAGGAATCCATCCCACTTACAACTCCTTTGTTCACCTATTCATCTTTGTCCATCAGCAAGTGTTTGCGCAGCTCAAGACTATGACTACCGCTACCACGGCGACGTTCCACCCATTTCCACACCTCCCCGCCGAGCTCCGCACTCGCATCTGGGAGCTGACCGTCGAACCCCGTATCGTAGAGGTCCGCGTGTTGTACGATCAACCAAACCCTACTTACGTCGACGGATTCGAGCCACCAGTCAAGTCGCCACCGCAGATGCGCTACCTATACTCGCTTACCCCAGTCCCGGCCCAGCTGCAAACTTGCCGTGAGGCCCGCGAACACCTCACCACATGTCCCTATTCCGCATATCGATTCGAGAAGGCCTTTTCCGAGATCGGTACAGTACCCCAAAACGGGACTGACCCTGTGCGCTACGTCTGGTTCAACTTCGATAAAGACATGCTCTCCGTTGGAAGGACAGATTTACGCGAATTCCGGGCTGTAGCCCACCAGATTAACCGGCTACGACTTCGGCCAGTGCTCCCAGACGATTGGTATTCCAGCGCGGAGCCGTTGTCAATCGACAGGTGGTTCAGAAATCTTACCGAGGTCCACCTAGTCTGTTTAGAGGGCATTGCGTTGGGCTACTTGACGACTTTAGATTCCGACTTCCCCTGTCGTCCCGAGAATGTGTATTTTGTTGACCCAGAAGCGAAGGGCGTGACGATGATGAACAGTAGCGACTTGAAAGATATGATTTTCAGAGATGATTGGTGGGTTTCATGGCCAGCAGAACAGATTTAAAGTAAGTTCAAAAGGTCGTTCAATGTGACTGGCATTAAAGCACTGACTGCTTATTACAGCTGAAGGGCGTATACATTAGAGATGACATTTTGTAATTTCTAAAAAGGCAAACTCCACCGTATGCAAACTTAAAATGGAGTATAATTGTACTTAGGGATTTCTCTGAACAGTGGATTTCAGTGAGCGCTCTTGACAAAAGATATAAACTGTGACTACTCGGTACTACGAGCAGACGAAGTGTCCGCGAGACCCCTTCCCATTCAGTCAGTGACCTGAAAAAGCTGAATAGAATGCATAAAATACGAACACCGAGCTGTTATACTGATTCTGAAGACAGAGAAGCATATATCGCCGCCATAATACATCCAGACCATCAGAGGCAGTAAGAAGTGGGCATAGCGCGGGGAGAACACTAAACACGCACGAAGCCGATAAGTGGAGTGAATATCCTCGAGACCAGCTCGGATTCTTATAAAATATCATGACGCCTGCGAAGCCCCAAACTTGAGTGATTCCTGGGCACAACTTCCCATAATCGCATCATCATTCGTAACCATGCCCAACCGTGCCAGTCGTTCAACTCAAAACCGCATTTTACCAACCTAACTCCCGCAATACACAAAACCACCGAAGCCATCAATCACCCCGCCAAGAAAACCAAGCTCAGAGGCTACCCATGCCTCTCTCCCGAAAATCTGCCCATAACACGCTGCGCGGGGGCGTCTGCGTGGGTGACAAAGTGGACATGTCTACCGGAACAGCAGCGATGGTGACAACGATCGTCGGAACCAACATAGGTGGGACGTGGAGGACTCTCAAACGTCGCGCGAGTTGGAGCGGATTCAAGCTCCTCGAGTTGCAGGGCCTCCCAGTGCCGCGCCTCCCACGCCTCCTGTTCCGCGGGCGAAAATCCGGAGTGGCGCGGGGCGGACCGGAGAGATTCGTAGATTGCGAGTTGTTCTGAGTCCATGCCGATGGATTGGTGAACGGGGGCGGAGGCAGGTCTACCGCGAGGAGGACGGCTCGTAGCTGAGATATTGCCGGAGGGCTGTGAATGGGAAGCGTTATTGTGGATGTTGATGTTGTTGTTGTTTCCGGTGATAACGACGCCGCTGTTGGTGTTGTGTGTTACATTGTTAGTGGTGTCTCTCCTCGTGTTCGTGGTTGTTCTGGTCGTGGTTCTGAGGGAGGTGTTGTGGGAGTCCCGCGTGATGGGCATCGACATTAGTTGGCCCTGGACCATGCGGTATTCGCGTGTGCCTGTGCGGTAGGCTCGAATTGCGTCAAGCCCGTAGATGTCGAGGCATTCTTCTGGTGAGCAGCACTCGATGCAATAGTCGCTGGGGGGTGGTTAGTAACTACGGTCCTGAAGGGATGGGAACGACGAGACGAAAGGAAGAGAGGGCAGGGATCGTTGACTTACCGGCTTAGCGGCGCGCGACTGGGGCGCTCGCAGTAGATTTCGCGACTTCCATCGGGGTTAATGCGCTCCATTACCGCCACTCTAGAGTTCTCGGCGCCCATAATTGCAATGGTTGGCTAAGGATAAGGAAATATAGAAAGGGGGCTGCTTAACCGGGGATATGTGGCTGTGAAGGTGAGATGGTGAGAGTCTGCCGGACGAAGTATAAGGACCAGTCCAACCAGGATAACTGATGAAAGGAATAGAGACCGATGGGTGTTTGTGTTCAGAAGATGTCTGGGTAAAAGGGAAGAGAAGGAGAAGAGAATTTATGGAGAGGAGAAACGAGGTGGGCCAAGGCGATCTGGGCGGGTTGCCGGGTGAAGACGGCCTACCTATAGTGAGGTGAGATTGTTTCCCAGAAAGGAAATAAAATCAAATTCGTTTTAAAAGTCGGCAGAGGGTTAATGGTAGCTACAAGTTACTGCGGTCCGTCTGAAGTCAGGATTCGCGGTTAGGGCAGGGCATGTGAGAGCCCCCCTACGAAGGCGTGTGCCTCTCCTGATGACATTCACTGAAAAGTCCGACCCAACAAGACTTTTTGAAGCTGAAGGAGGATATTTCTGCTTTCCTTTGCGAGGTAGTTGAAGTAAATTCATCTTGTTCCCCGGACCAAAGAGTCGTCGGGGTCACCTATCGACGAGGTTCTAGTACCTATCTAACGACTACACAAAGTTATCACCAGCGGTTATACAACGACTCACAACCTCAGGAATCGCATATTCCTTAGTTGTCGAGGTTCTCGTCGTTCATTCAGATTCAAGGCGAACGGTTCCCTCAGGGGGCCCCTACGAAGATCGTCCCTCCAAAGAACACGAACCCCCCGCACTTCTCGCCAGATGACAGCCCACGCGCCATAAGGCACGAGTGCTATCAGAAGCATACACGAATACGAAATGAGCCGGAGTATAATGGCAGGAGCTAATACGACTACCCACATCAACCAAGCGATAAAAATGATGGATATGCGTGTGAGGCGAAGGAATTCCGCTAAATTGGCAGGCCGTTCTTCGTGGGTGATCCAGATGAGAAATGCTACAAGGAGAGTGGCTGGAGGCAGGAGGTAAGCGGTGTGAGGGATGTGAGGTAGTTGGCTGGGAAGGACAGGGAGGAAGCTGAATATGGTAAGACCGCCAAGAATCAAGACAGATAGCAGGATTTCGGTGACGACCTCGGGCAGGATAATCCGTGGCATTGTGGGTTATGCAGTTGCTTGGTTGTTAGTCAAAGGACGAGTGATGATCAGTGGGAAGCGCATGAGGGCATATATACCTCGTTGTATTGACAGAATCTTACTGCATCCTTGAAGTTCAGCGCAGCATTAGTATAATGATATTGTTCAGACAAGATTGTTGTTCTGTTATATCTTCCCATTTGACAACAAAGAGTCATTAAATTGTGAGCGAACAGATTGACAGCCTCGAGATGATAAAGAGCAACCCAGTGTATTCTTTGTTGTGGACATGGCGTTGGGCTTACTCAAAATGCAGTATTGGTTTAATGTAGATATGGTTTGTAAGAATTCTTTGACAATAATTGACTACCGTCTGTTCGGACATGTTCCATATCAGCCGAGAGAGATAGGTAGTTTGGCAAAATTCACTATCGAAACCAGTGACAACTTTGATCTAGAGCAGCCACCTTGTATTGACCCAGATTCAATCCTGAGCTCGAGCCACAAACATGCCCACGTACGTTCCCCAGCACGGTATGTGACGGCCTTAGATTTGGTGCCTCTCATTTAGCAGGCCATTGGAAACTCTTCACAAAGCTTCTTCGGATTTGAGTTGCTGTCTAATTCTCATCAAGTCTTTGTTCATAGTCAGCATGCTAGAGAACAAGGGCAGAAATCAGTCACTCACATGTCCCTCTCACCAATACTGCGTGCAGCAGCCCTACTGTAAGCCGGCTCAGTGATGATGTAATCCTTGATTACAGCAGTGCCGTTACGGAGAGCCGCAACCTGCTCGTCGGTGCAAGTGCTCAGGTCGAGGATGTAACAGAAATCCTCATACTGGGGCGGGATCTCGCTCTTGATGGAAAAGGTGTCGGATGGACCCTCGGTACTGTAGGTAAGGTTCGCCGCCGTGTCGATCCTGCCAGTGGCAATGTCTTTGTTAAACAATGCTCTGTTGAAGATACGGTAGGCGGACTCGGGCTGATATGACGGCACTGCGTGCCCTGCTTGGTAGACTCGGATGAACGACAAATTTCCGTACTGTCTGACTTGGCCGCCTTCGTAAGTGCAGTTGGTTTGGAGAGGCTGGTACCCCGCAGCGGCGAACTCCTTTTGATTTTCCCATGGAATCGCCAGGGAGACGTCTTCGCCACCAATCCAGTTGCATGCAAAATCTCTGTCGCCGTACATGAGCGAGACCTTGATACCACTATGCAGGAGATACGCAAGGTCCTCAATCCAGCCTGGTCGGGGATAATCTCCGATACCACGGAAGGCGGAAGAAGATGCGCTGGAGCTACCGCTGAAGTTGAGAGGAACACCGAGAGCAGCTTGTACGTGTCGTTGGTTGAGATATCCAGGAGTGAAGGGAGGCGGGAACAGCGTCGGGTCAACCTGAGTTACGTCGTAGTAATCTCTGCCAGATATCTCAAGGTACGGATCCCGGAGGTTGTTGGTGCACCATGTCTCGGCATCCTGGCAGATTTTGTTGACCGTAGCGTTGATACCAATGTTTTCCGGGTCATAGACGGAGGAGACCGCACGACAGGCGTCGATTTGGTCACGGCAGCCTCCTTCACGGTAGTATGCGTCGACCATCTCTGTGTAAACCGTCTCATTGACAGTCTCAATGCCGTATGTATTGTTGAAAGCCATTTCCGGGTATGACAGCCATTGTACCTGACGGTCAATACATCCATTGACAATCAAAAGAGTATCAAAGTTGAGGATATACTTTTCGCCCTCGGTGCCGTCCCAGGTTCCGTTCCGAATCTTCTCATTCTGCTCCTGGAAATAGGCTGCAAATGCTGGCCCATAGCGGCCTCCGTATGACTGAGTCGCGATACTGATGCGGTCGTCGTTGGGGTGGTAGCCAGGAAACTCCTGGAACCAGACCTGGGAGAAGTGCCATAGAGCAATAGCTGCGTTACGGCTGCCCCAACTTGTCGTGTTGCGGTTGTTGCTGGGGTAAGTACCCGTGTGAAACGTGGCATTCTGCTCAGGAATTGGACTGGATGCGTTCAAGGTCTGTACGCCACCAAAGAGGTTTCTCGTGACATTCCGCAAAGAATCGTAACTGAAGCCGACTTGAACAGGCTGGTCAATGTACAGCATATTGACTGGTACATGTTAGATGATTTCGTGTTGTGAGTTTCTTGCGGCCTACCTTTGTTATTCCATGACCACTCGCTAAGCCGCGTCGAATTGGAGTCTTCGTTGATGTAGCAAGGACCGTTCTCATTGAACAGACCCGACATTGAAGAACTTCCAGGACCGCCATTCATCCAAATGGAGAGAGGCGCATTTTCGGGGTCATGCTTGGCTTCAAAAAACCAAAAGAATGTGTTGATGTCATAGTCCTGTTCTTGACCGACACCCTCAAGAGTGCCAGGTGGTAGATGGATGTAGCCTGCGTACGACTTCACTCCTTCAGTCGTTTCACATAGGCCCGGCTTGGATCGTCAGTCACAGCTAATTAACACAAACAGAAAGCTACCTACCTCTTTGTAGCTGATGGTGATGCCTTCGTCGAACTTTGACTTCAGCACTGTCACTCCTTCAGGGTTCGGAGGGAATTGTGCCAGCGAAGAAGGAATGAGAGCTGCCACAACAGCGAGAGCCGGAAGAGAAGATCGCATCCTGCCACTTCAACGATTGAATCACGGAACTGACCACTGGACACACGCACGGAAACTCGGATCGCTCTGTTCCTCCACAACACTCGAGAAAACGACGGGAGTCTCATTTTATTTCAGTATTCTCCCCGCTTCTCTCACTATTTTGACCTTCCTACTTCGGAGTCTGGTTCACACTAACATACTATCGCTGTACACTTATGTAGATAGGTTGCACTGCCAAGGTGTCGTATCAAGTTGGCCCGGATGCCGATTTGGTCTCTCACATACTATGCAGGGGGAGATGCGGGGTTAATGGGAGAGCCGGAGGTAGCCAAGACTCGGCTACGGAACCGAGCATTCGTAGTCTGGACAGCATCATGCATTGGCCAATAATACGGCCGCCTGCCTCCTATGGTTCCCGCTTCGAATGTACCGCCAGGAACAAAACGTCCTTATCATAGTCCAACTTAATCTGGAAGTTGAGGATCTGCCCATGTATGCGTCATATCGGATGGTACTTTCACATTGCGGTTATCTCAAAAGATGCTGGTGAAGATGACCCAACACATCGGATGCCGCTTGAGCCTCAACCGTGTCCGCTAACAAGATCAATGTTAGCTGACTGAAGGGTTCTAACTTGCAATGAAAACAAACTTACGCTAATGTACCAATCCATTTGATGTTGCGGGTGCCGTAAAGCAGAATGGTGAATTTGCTGAACTTGACCAAATTTTCAAATTCGTAAATGCAATATCGAGCGTAGCACTTGAGAATCAACACGGGCATGATTCTTGGCAACGGCGGTATGCCGTCTAATCCACCCGGACCGCAAGAGCCCCACTCGGTGCCGGTTCGCCGGCGGACAACGCCGTCGTGGCATTAAACGAAACGATGCCGGAGCCGGGATTGACCTAGTGCATTCAAGATATAAGTCTTATTAATCCGGAAGTTACTTTGTGTGCCGAATCGGTGTTCAGGTTGATTTCGCCGATGCTGCCTCTAGCAGTTTAACACGAGATTGGCTTGTGATTGCGACATCTCCCAAAGAATGACGCCGCCAATTCGCGTTTCAGGGTTCCCCGCAATATCGCAACACGCGCAGAATGACGCCTTCTCAGCTTGGGATGGCAAACTAATGAAAGGCCAAGATAACCAGTAAGATACACGATATTGGTCGTCAGGTTTGTGCTGAAGGTATGCTCTCTGACAAATGGGATACACAATTCCACTGCGGTGATTGGTCTATTGTGGTGTTGTTGGTGAAATCACCTCACCAGTAGACCTCGGATGCACATTCCCGACTTAGCTGATGATTCGATGTCTCCACTAACAAGTGTTTTAGTAATGATAGGGCGCAGTGCCTTGATACCCGTGATACTCGTAAAAGCGACGATATAAACGCGCAACCCCCCACCCCGTCTGAGAAGTTGTCTTCAGATCAAACAACGAGACATCAATTTGAAAAAGTCAACATGGCCGCCGCTGCAGTTCAAACACCATTCCGCCCCGGACCCCCGGGCCAGCCAGACATTGGCTACACGCCCAACCTTGATAACTACCTAGCAAGAACCAAGCGTCGCCAAGAACAGGAGAAGTTGGACAACAAATTGCCCGAAGGATTTCCTCAAAAGCTAGAATCTGAGCTGGTTTGGGATGGCAACACCCTGGCCGAAACCTATGACTGGAACTACGTCCTAACAGATGCGGACAAGAAGGAGGTAGATGAGGCACTGCAACACTTTAAATGTGAGTGAGCATGCAGCATTCCTCGCCAGAAATCATCAAGCTTATTTCCATAAAGCGCTTGACAAACCTCTTGGTGAAATCAATCAAGAGACTTTCCCTCTGCCTAATCTCCACAACAACCTCCGTGAAATCTCAAATGAGATCCACAACGGCCACGGCTTTAAAGTCGTTCGTGGCGTTCCCGTCACCAAGTACAGCCGTGAAGAGAACGTTATTATTTATGCCGGTATCTCATCTCATGTGGCACCTGTTCGTGGACGACAAGACAACCAATTCAACGGCGAGCCTGCGGATGTCGTCCTTGCTCATATCAAGGATCTTACTAAAGTTGTCGACGCCCATAGAATCGGTGCTCCGGCGTACACTACTGAGAAGCAGGTTTTCCACACCGACGCAGGTGATGTGATTGCTCTGTTCGCTCTTGGTGAAGCAGCGGAAGGTGGCCAGAGTTACCTTTCGAGCAGCTGGTTCGTGTACAATGAGCTGGCCAGAACTAGGCCTGACTTGATCCGCACCTTGGCGGAGCCATGGAATGCTGACGAGTAAATATGCCGCGCGCAGTGATGAGGCAAGACTAAGGCAAGACTAACGTGCTAGTAGATTCGGCAAGGATGGTAGAACGTACAGCACACGACCCCTCCTACACTTTCAGCCATCAGAAGACGGCAAGCCTGAACGTCTCGTAATCCAATATGCCCGCAGGAGCTTCACCGGCTACTGGGGCTTGCCACGATCATCCGACATTCCACCAATTACCGAGGCACAAGCCGAGGCTCTTGATGCGCTTCACTTTGCGGCTGAGAAGTATGCTGCATCTCTCGACTTCCATCAGGGAGACATTCAATACGCCAACAATTTGAGCATTTTTCATGCACGAGGTGGGTTTGTCGATTCTGACGAGAAACAGTAAGTACCACGACGTAAGGAAGCCACGTAGAAATTGTCACTGACTGAGAAACCAGACGCCATCTCGTTCGACTTTGGCTTCGCGACCCTGAGAATGCTTGGAAGACGCCTGAGGCTCTGAAGGAGAGATGGGATCGCGTATACTCCGGTGTGACTCCAGAGAAGTCTGTGTTCCCCCTTGAACCGCAGATTCGGAGCGCCAGCCGAGGCGAATTTAAGCCAGAAGAAAATGCGGAGGGGAAGGCTTAGCATGAATGAAGTGGGAGTGTTAGTTGGGCTTGGTGCTTTCATGAAGAACGAACTGTGTTGAACAGCGTTGTCAATATGTGGAATTTTAGTAGTTGCACACGTATTTAGCAGAAGTTGTACGAGAGTGACGGCATATCAATAAACAGACAGCTTTCACGTCAAGTTCGAGCCGCAATTTTAGTTTTCAGCGAAGAAAATGCTCCAAAAGTCCAGAGAACGGAAGCCAAAGTACAGAATGAGGTAGGATATGGTAGCTACAACGATCAAACCTTGCAAACTACGTCTTGCTTTGCTGCAAGCACTTAGATCTGTGTATTCTGACCGTGCTGCAACTCGCCTGTCTCTAGTTGCAAGCATGTCTTTTAAAGATAGGCTCATATGTAACTCGCCAGTCGTCCATCAATAACCATCTCTGCCTGATCGATAGATCCTGAGGATATACAATATCCAAGTTTGCCCCAGCTTGAAGAAGTTCTTTTGTAAGAGATGGGAACTTTCCCGACTTGACGCCTTGCTCAAGTGCCGCACAAACCATGCCTAGTGCTGATACACCTTCTTCCCCAGGGTGGTCGACAGGAAATCCACCTTTGAGAAACCATACAACAACATCAACGTTGACCGCCTCGACGGCCCAGTGAAATGGGGTGCGTCCCTTACTATCTTTCGACATTGGATCGGCGCCTAATCCCGCTAGTAGGGTTACGCAGGCGAGGTCGTTGACGGCAACATGCAATGGCGTTACATCAACTACCCGGAGAGCATGGTGAGTCAAGGGGCGCTCGACTGGCTCAAACAGTTTGACTTACAAATGTTGGACAAACGAAAAGATTGCTTGTAGTTCGCTCCTCGCTCAATAAGGATCTGCAAACATTCAGACTTGCCTTTGCCCACTGCGACATGTAGGGCAGACAAATCATTACCGGAATGCCACTTCCATAAAGGCATTGCAGTTCGACAATCATTGATATCCGCTCCGTGGGCCAAAAGGCGAACGACGAGTTCTGTGTGTCCAGTCTCTACAGCCGCACAGAGAGGTGTCACACCATCTTTGCCCATGTAGTTGACATCTGCTCCTTCAGCGACGAGAAAATCAATCATGGCTTCCTGAGCGGCAATTCGAGGTGGCGTCGTGCGGATAAGAGCCATGAGAGGACCATGACCGAAGCTGGCATCGGCATTTATCATGACACCGCTATCGATGAGCTGTACAGCTAGATCGATGTTGAGGGCGCTACATGCAAAACAGAGACGTGAACGCTCCTCTTTAGATGCGGAGTTCGGGGTAATGGCCCAAGCGGCTACTTTCATTGCCTTCGAGAACGCGCTTATCATGGGTTTTTTCTTTCTTTCCTCGGTCACTGCCACTATCCTAGCTCTCAAGTGTTCAATATTCTTGCTGTCACAAGGACTTCCTTGCCCATACGATGATGGACTGGCCTGTTTGTTGGTTACGGGCGGGTCGTCACTTGAATAGGCTAAAGTTTTCTCGTCATCGTCATCGTTATTGCTGTCGCAGTCGGTCTTACCAGCATCATCGAACTCAGTGCCCTCTTCAGCCTTTTGTTTTTCGTGTGTGACCTGTGATACTGGATGTACTGGGCCCTCTGTGCTTGGTGACATTTCGATGCAGTCTTTTGCATAAATATTGAAATAATATCACAGTCAGACTGCAAAGTAAAGTTCTCAAAATTGGTATGGACGATAGTACCCATTTGTGAAAAACCCTCCGCATTGAAATGTTCGCCCCAAAGTAACCACATCAATTGGAGAACTGGTGCCTGAAGTGTGCCCTGCGTTCTTCAGCTGAGCTGAGATGCTTGTTTAAGTACAAGCGCCAGCGCTAACAATTAACCGTCCCACAAACCCCGTTAGGCTCGATTTTGAAGACATGGAAATGCTACTGGGCGCCACCGACAATTCAACGAATGAATGAGTGAGGGAAAGTGAGTAACCTCCATATACTGGTAGCATTCTGAGGGAATTAGTGGGTAGTCGCAGCCCCTTGGCGTAGTCGTGAGGCTACGACTTCTCAATCATTATTACTTGCGGGAAGGACAGATAACTATTTATAAACTTGGAGCTTCCATTCTATTGTTGTTCTCTTATAACCACTCCAGCATCTAATCTGAGGGGCGGTCTAATGATATTAGGTAAATACAGTGTTTCAAACCCGTAACTGAACATGGCTATTAATTAGACCTACCCAACCAATACCTCTTTGTCCCAATCAGTATTGGAACCGCCATCTGGGGTCCTTGTCGCCAGGCCAGTCGTTCAAGTCACCAATGGCATTGACCTCCTCAGCGATTGCCTCGCGCTTCTTGTTTTCTCCCTTGAGAACAAAGTACAAGATAGTACATACCACGATATTTGCGACAAGGTATCCAAGAGCGAAAGAGTGTCCCACGATATATCTTGGGCCGTCATTCGAACGATATAGCTGAGTTCCCAACACTGCACCGAGGTTTCCAATGGTGATTTGCATTGCGTTGCCGACAGCACGCTTCGTCTGACCGGACACGTTGATAGCAGGCCACGACAGGACGAGAGCGGTTGCGGGATAAATACCTCCCGCTGCGAAGAAAGTTCCGAGGTAGGAGACGCCGGGCTTGCCGGCAGGGTCACTGTTGGCGAGAAGGATGATGTAGCCAATAGCAGCAAATGCTGAAGATCCCATGATGAAGAACGCTCGGCGGCCGGTCCGTTCAGAGTAGATTGCGACAGTTAGTGTTGTGGCAAAGGCAAGAGCGTAAGGCGGAATGGTAAGGAGCTGGGCTTTGGCAGCTGTATATCCGAGGTTCTTGATGATGGTGGGCTGAGGATGTTGTTAGCTTGCTTGCGCGCTCCAAGTTGATTGACTAGCAGAGTGGCAACTTACCAAGAAGAGAGAAAAGGTGTATAGTGGCAAGCTCATGGTGTGGAATCCGAGTCCATAAAGCCAACATTTAGGGTCCTTGATTGCATCCAAGACATTGCCCCATGTGAAGCGCTCATTATGAGTTGCGTCGCTGTCTGACGCAAGTCTGGATCGTATGAAGCGTCGCTCCTTGTCGGAAAGGAAGAGAGCGGTGTCGGGATAGTTCTGGATGAACCAGTAGGCAGCGACTGCGATAACAACGGTAGCAATACCTTCCTGCTTATCGTCAGTATCGGGTTCCTATGGTTTGGATTAGGCGTACAAACCAGAATGAAGATCCATCGCCAACCGTTTTCCCATACAATGCCTTTCATATGTCCAATGCCCTATTTATGTTAGTAACTTATATGCTGGCAAACACTCAGTCACTTACCCAAGCGAGGATACCACCGAAGGCTCCAGCAAGAGAGGCCGCACTGAAGAATAGGGAAATACGGTATTGGCGTTCACGACGCTTGTACCACATCGAGAAGTAGAAAACTACACCAGGAAAGAGACCGCTTTCTGTGACACCCAGAAAGAACCGCGCAACGAAGAAACCGGCCATGTTCGTGCAGATACCCATCAGAGTTGCCACGATTCCCCAGGCAATGGTGAGTGTTGGGAGCCAAAACCGAGGGGTTGTTCTTTTGAGGATGATATTGCATGGAATCTAAGCACCAGGTTAGACAACGAAATGTTCTTATCTCCAACAGCATTGTGCCTCACTTCAAATAGGACATAACCGATAAAGTAAAGTGTCAAGCCGGTAAGATATTCGTTGCCAGCTGTGAAGGTATCAGTAAAAAGAAGATCAATATCTCGAACAGATTTAAGACTTACTCATGCCCAGGTCATCCGTGAGACCCTCAATTCTTGCGTTACCGACTGCGCTCCTGTTAACGAGGAACCTCTCCAAAAATGACCTTTCAAGGCTCACCATTGGATCTGTCAAGGAACGACAGGAGATACAAGATGCCGACAGCCGGGAGAAGCTTTGCGTCGAGCTTCCTCAGTAATGATTTCTCGTTCACGGCATCGTCCCCAATCTCGACCTCGGAAGGACTATCCGCTCCGCTTGAATCGTTGGCGGGCGCCTCAAAAGCCTTCTCGGGCGCAAGGTCAGGCTTAGGTGCGCTCATCGTGCCTAATCCCCTCGAGCTTCAATGTCAATTGGTTTCTCTGCTGTCGTTCAAGTTTTGCTGGTCTGGAAATCTCGAAATCGAATTGTGACTTCAAACGAATCCGAGTTTCACGCGGTTAATGTGTTGGGTTGAAAACTCTCTGGCCACGCGCACGGCTTTTCAATGCGGTTCCAAACAAGCAGACCAGACGGTCGGGTTCAATCTCTGCGGGCAAATAAAGATATTAGATTGGCGAACGGGGGCCACTTCGGCATTCTTCCCTTCATTTCCCCTCCTCCCCTATGTGTCACTGTGTTAACTGTATTCGCTTCACACACTGCCGTTTTCCCAGGTGTCCATGGCATCATCGGTCCATGATGACATTCTCCGGGGCCTTATTCCCTTTCCATCTTAGCTACCGTTGCAGATTGTCAGTGCCGGGTAGATTGCTCCAGCGACAGTGGATGATGAAACACAATTTCTGTTGGACGTGATTGGTTCGCCGCTCCCCATGGGTGGGATCACGACATGTTCAAGACGATGGCGACATCGCCAACTGGGCCCTCGCTTCTCCCCAACTTTCTCCAAATGGACCCCCAATTGTTGATTTTGGGTGAGAAATTGGCTCGCTTGGCAACTTTAAAGATGAACCCTCACGGTCATTTTTACTCGGCTAAAAATCTTGTTTCTCCGCGCACTCGTCTTAGTCTCTGGCACTGCCGGGCAATTCTCCGCTTGTGTGTGAGGTACCCTCCGAGGTATCGGCCTCGGTCGGTCGGGTGTTCGGCCCCACTTCAGTCACGGTGTCCCTTGGTCCCCACAAATGCCGAAGTTCTAGTAGGGCGACCTCAGGTGTTACGGACGTTAACTAAACCCGACGTTGGATAATCTTGTGCCATGATTCTATTGTTTGATATTATTCGACATTATCAGCACAGGCAACGATACAAGGGGGGTGTTACGTTTTGTCATGCGAACCTGAGAATATCCACGTATTGACATTAAACCAACCCGAAGGCATGAAACTATGCAGAGCTGAGTATGGTGAGTGGTGAGAAGCTGGTACATTCAGACTGAGATATCAGTTCTAGTCAAGATGGCAACATAACGAGCAAAGTTTTCCAACACCAAATTTCAATTGTCTAATATACAGCTACCTTTTTTGTCCTTTTTCCTTACGTTTAACCAATGAGCGACCTTTATCACATAATAAAACCGTCTAAAAGAGTGTGTACCAAGAGCAAACAGAACCTTCATCATCATCACCGCAACCATTTGTCCTAATATCTCCCAGATCTCAAACAAGCAACCCAATAATGACATTGCACAAGCGGGACCAAGTTATGCAAGTGCTCGCTGAGTCGCGGCCAGGTCAATGATCCGCCGGTAACAGGCAGAACCTTTTCAAGTGGGTGATAAGCTTAGCAAGCAATGTCGAAGGCGACAAAAGTCTGGCCATTGGCGCGAGGGGGGAGGCTGGAAGCGGCAACGTTGAACAGACGGCACTGGACCGGCTCGTTGGCGGAAGGCTTGCCAAACTCGATACTACGAACTCTGTTAGTTTCTTTGGTGATATCAGAGATACAATTATAAACTTACGCCTTGCAGCCAGTAGTCTGGCGGCACAGAGCCAAGCAGTCATCTTGAGACTGAACATCCTGACGGCTCAAGAGAGGAGTAGGGTTGCTACTGGCTGGGCCAGCAGGAGCGGCGCCGCAGACGTTGGCGCGCTTCTTGGGCTGCTGGTTGTTGTTGTTCTGGCCAGCTTGACCGTTCTGGTTGTTCTGTCCGTTGTTGTTGCCGTTGTTTCCGTTGTTGCCATTGTTGTTATTGTTCTTAGCAGGGGCAGTGGTAGGGACACCGGTACAAGCTTTGTCAAAGACTACCAGGTTGGCATTGCTCTGAGGGGGGACCTGAGCAGCCGCGACGGCGTACAGGAAGCACTGAGGAGTGGTCCCGGTTGTAGGAAGGCCAAAGACAAAGCTCTTGCAACCAGAGTCGGCCTCGCAAAGCTTCTTGCAGGCATCAGCAGTGGCGGCAGCGGGCTGGGAGCGCGGGGTAACGTTGGCGTTGGTAGGCCCGGCAGGAGCAGTGTTGCAAACGTCAGCGCGAAGGGAGAGAGGGCCAGCCTGGGCGGCGGCGATGAAAGCGATGACGGTGGCGATGGTGAACTGCATTTTGACTGTTGTTGGTTGAGCGAAAGCGAAAGATGCTGAAACAGCTAGTTGGGCAAAAAGTGAAAGATGATTGGAAGTGATTGAAGAGTGAACTGATTGATGGTGGTGAAGAACAAGAGAGTTTGATTCCGAGGGGGTGAAGGCTGTCTTTTATGTTCGAGATGATCCCCTTTTTCATCACCCTTTCCAACTATTCCCAATCGATATCTACAAACATTCACACAGATGGTGCATTCAACGGAGAGTCTGACGACGCAGCTGATGCGTCGCAACACTGCCTACCTTCGGCAAACGTGGGCAGGACATGATCGTCATCTAGGATGCTACACAGTCAACGGTAGGCCTTCGTCAAGGCGTCAATGGGTCGCTATTCGCTATCTCAACGGGGGCCATTACTATGACTTCAACCTGACGTTTGATGTTTCGGCAGTTTACTTGGGGTCTACAGCCCAACGAGCCTCGATATTTTCCGCGATGTGGGGAAAATTCTAGAAACGTCAAGGGTTCAACTGGCATCTTCATGCGATGAAGCAAATTCTCCTTGATCTTTTCCCCTGTGGCTGGAGTATTCCGGGAATCCCCTCTACCGTCAGACCTCATGAAACTGAGGCTGAGGGCTGGGGCAAGCCCGACGCCAGCCCCTATAATGCTCGCTGGCTTGAAATGATACTTAGACGGGTCGTCGATACGTAACAGGCGAAGGCTTGCCTAACCGACAGCCAAACATCTGGCACTACAGCCATTGCGCCGCAAAAAGGGAGGCTCAGAAGCCAAGCATGAAGTTCAATCTTAATGTTACGGCCAGCTAGTGACAGTAGGGTTTCTGCTAACAGAAGTTGAGGCTACGATACTAACAATAGGTCTTGCGTCGTATACAGGTATGTCGTACTGGTAGATCGAGGGTTAGGGTAAGGTGATCAGTCTTACACTAGGTAACGAGGTATAGTAATATCACAAACTGTGAGCTAAGCTGAAAGTCATCGAGGATGAATTACAAGTTGATTGCTGAAGAACTATCTAGAGGGCTTGAGCAGGTGCTCAAGTCCTGGTCTATATACAAGTCCCGTTTCCCAAGGCCGACGTCCGCGTCGTCGCTTGCCGATATCTCGATTGTCGGCAGCCGACATGCCAAGAGTCGTATCTCTTATTCCTTTCTTATCATCACGTGACTTGAACATAGTTCTTCCTTTTCCGGCGGGGCGACCCTTGTCCCTTCCGTCGCCTGCATATATCTTGTCTCTAGCCGCTGTCCTCGAGTGGGGCTAGTTTCTCTGTTAGGCATACTTAACGGGTCGTAACACTTAAAACCGACCTTGCAGGCCTGCTTGCGACGGGGCGCTGGTACAGCCATGGCATTTTCCCGGGGTGCTGCGGGAGGCGGGGATACCCCTGACACGCGTCGCTCCAAGCTTTGCGGCTCCCGACGCCAGTTCCCCCACATTCCAGAACCATTCCATCAAACAACCAATTCGGGTGTTCAGGGGTGATTTTCAGGGGTGCGTTTTTTGACATTCTTCCTCCTGAATAGTTTACTCGACATGGATATCCTTCAAGTGATGTGGGCTCATGTTGCCAGGCATTCGCGGTCTTCTGCCCTATTCAAGCCTTTTGGGGGATTTTATTCACGGGGAAGAAGCCGGTTTGAGGCATAGGAATGCTTTCAGTTTTTCCTGTCACAGGTGCCAAAAACCCCGAAAATTATGCTTCTAACTCTTTTGGTTTTAAGGCATGAAAGCTAAGCCGGGGAGCTTTCGAACGAGCAGCCCTGTCTATATCACAAAAACAACTTTGTTCAATATTCAAGTGCGGGGCAGCCCTCGTGAGGCTGAGTTGCCGTGTTTGACGATGCCGTTTTCGTTGATTCTTGATCAACGGTTATTGGTCAAACAGTGAAGGTGACGAAGCTGTCCATTGGGGGCTGAATGGCTCTTCAAGTGGACCTGGTGAACGGCACATATGGGTGACGGGAGTGAAGTTGGTCGGTAAAGCATGACGATAAAGATATCCTTTCAGCGTCGTAATCAGAGTAAAAATAGACCTTTATTTGGGTGTAGGATTTTGGGCCGTTATTGCGGGCGAGCGAAAGTCCACGGTTGTAAAAGAAAATGAGGATCATCCTCAGTTTCCACCACAGATGCTGTGGGGCCTTGAGGTTCTGATGGCATGAATCGCGTGAGCTGTCTTTGAGGACAAAACTCAATTAGACAGCACGCAACTCTACTATGCATAGCGTTGGTGAATGTATTACTATGTTGTTAAATTCTTTCGCTCTTTTTTTAACTCGATGAAGAAAACTTGTGCAGTTGGTCTCATTCTTGCGGTGTACGGCATTCTTAGCGTCTTGGCGAGTATCCGTGCATGGTTCAGTCATGGATTCATATGCATATCATGAAAACACATTAAATGACTATGATAGCAAGTACTGTTAGCTCCGAAGTATCATTCATGTTAAGAAAATGGATAAAAGAACACTTCGATACACTCCAGTGCTCTTGCAAGAGGGGCTCCTGCAAAGGGGAAAAGTATAGGTGATCACAAGAACGTAACAGAGGTGATTCTACAACTGGTTACTTTCCAGAGGCTGCCGTTTCTAGATGGAGAAACTTTGTGTGTGTGGGTTGCAGTGAATATTCTCTGCAGAATATTCGGCAACTCAGCTTGCCGGACAGCTATCAACGGAAGCAGGCATTTCAGGAATGTGGATAGTATCATAAAGCTAGCCGAACTTCAAAAGTGTGTGGCGTTACTCCGTACTTGAGGCAAAGCGAGTATTTCATATGCTGCAGAGTGGGCAGAACTGGGGCTGAGACAGTTATACCTGAACTTGGCTTTTAAACGGTTGTACGATCGTGAGAAATCTTAGAGCCACCATTGAAAGATCATTTGGCATTGATCTTCTAGGCTTAGATATGGACTATGATACCTTTTTTGAATACGCACTATTTGTTGGCATTCCATTGGAACATTAGCTTATGGAAAAGTAATTATTGCTCTTCGTGTATGAAACTTGATCTATGGAATACACAAATGAAACCCAATTCGCCTGTACCCATTCTTTATCGCAGACTCAAGGAAACCCACGCTCAACCCAACGCGTTCGTGATGATATCGGATACATGAGATTTAGACACCCGAGTCCTCCTGCTCAATGGAGTACTCCTCCTGGAAAGTGCTCCAGTCAGAGCAGACATTGTTCAGCGCAGTGGAGTTGGTGAGGGCGGAAATCTCGCTGTAACGCTCGACGAACTGCATGGAGAAGCCCTCGGATGTGTGCCAGCCAATGTGGCAGTGCATGAGCCAGGCACCCGGGTTGTCGGTCTCCCAGGCCATGACGAGGTATCCGGAAGCGGGCAGCAGGGCCGTGTCTCTTCTGGGAGGGTTGCTGGTGTTGAGGGTGACGGAGCTGGAGTAGGTACCGGAACCCTGAGCCAGGATGAAGAAGTCGTGGCCGTGCAAGTGAATGGGGTGGGGGACGGCAAGAGTGGTCTCCACGACGAAGTAGACCCACTGGCCGGCCTCGCTGAGTTTGATGACGGCGTCGTCGGTTTCCCAGCTGGTGGTGCCGTTGACGATTTGCTGCAGGGTCGGGCTGGCCCAGTCGACGAGCATGCTGGTGCTGTTGAG